GTACGATAATACCGTGCCTACTGATGCAGAATTGGTCCATCCGAACAAGGCATTAAAAATACCCCAGCCGCCACCCCCGTTCAACTCTGGGCTGCAGCACTAGAAAACCAATCTCCATTAGCTAGTTCCATCATCTCCATTAGCAACTTTTCGAGAACTTACATTAACATGCCAAACGCTAGATCGAATATCGTATGATCCAGGACCAACCCCAGTTTCGGCTGCATCACCACCAACTATCATGTTCCACTATTCCCGGGTTAGCATTTGTTGGAGAGTCAGTGGCGAGTAATTTGCGACCGTCATTTTACCTTGTATTGCTCAAAGAATCCCACACTTCGGGAAAATAACCCGCTTGCTACTAAATACAAGAAACAGGTTGATATAATGAGGAACATCTGGATGGGGGCAAAGTTTCCCCCTCTAGAGGTAGACGTTAGTAACGCGAGGTCAGCTCCGAAAATAAGGCCCATTTGATGATTCATGAACATACTTGTAGATCATATATCCAATGGCAGCACCTGCAAGCAGCCCAACAATGGTTGGTATCGGGATCGCTGAAGCAGGGGCACCCAGACTAACGCCCCCGATAAACACAACGGCCTCTAACCCTTCGCGCAGAACGGTAACGAATGGCAACATGAACATGGCATACTTTTCACACCAGATCTTGAATCTTCCCCAAGCTGACCGGCGTCGACTATCATCTGACTTTGACTCTAGAGCCTTTGCCAGCTTGACGCGCCACTTTGCTTGGAGTTTTGAGACCCGAAGCAAGGCAGCCCCCATTAAAGTGATAATCAGAGACGCTATCAAGGCAAAAACCCCTTCCCATAGCGCTTCCGCCTTTGACCATTCATTTCTCCCGAGTGAATAAAATACGCCAATCAAGGCGCATCCGATGATCAGACAGACAGCCAGGCCCAAGACAGTACCTAGCCAGACCTATCCCCATAAGGATTAGAACCACTCATGCATTTGTCTCGAGTACGGTTTAAACTGACCTGCTTCCTCAATTTTTGGTACACTTGGGCATCGTGCTGAGGACCAAGCTGATTCCTCAGAAACGTGAGAAGAATGGAAACTATAATGCTTGTTTCCAGTGCTTCTCGAAACACGATGAAGAACACTTTATGCAAACGGTTCATCAGCTGGTAATGCCCTCTGACTTGATGGAGAGGTGAGTGGAAGTACCTGGAACATAGAATACGTTCACCATGGCAACTTGGTTTTGGAGACGAACAGTTGCAGGCCGCAGAGTTTGAATCCCTCACTGCAGGTGGCTAACTGGCATAAACCACAGCAGCCCCTCTCTCTCATATAGGACGAGAAAGCAGAAAGACGAAAGATGGCTTTTAACTTACCATCAGATAAGGCAACAGCTCGTTTCTTGTGGTTCCTGTGGATTTTCTCGGATCAGATAAAGGAAATTTAAGCGATAAAGGGCAGCTGCTAATGAATGTATATATGAGACGATCGGGAATTCTCTCGGCACAAACGGCAACCACAGTGGCTTATGATTTACGACCCTGAAAGTCACCCGAGCAGAAATATCAACGGAAGCCTGTCTACCAGCAAAGCTAGTTTTATTAGCCTCACAGATGAGAAAACCTTGCGTTGTACCAGCCCACCACGGTAGCTAGACTCTCCTGTGCTGTCTTTTGCTCTATACCCTTCCGGACGTACATAGTATGGTGCTCATCAGATGCCTTCACGTTTGGCAGCCTATAAAAAAAAAAGAGGGCTTATCGAGAACAAGACGGTCCAGACAAGAAGCTTTTTCAAGTACTGAGGGTAAATTGGCTTTTCTCGGCATGCATTTCCACTAAATGCGGGCTCCTCTTTTTTGCAGGGGGATCCTTAATATACATATAAAGAAAACACGAGACAACGAGATTTCTCGCTCGTTTAATCCCTCGGATTCGACTTTGTTTTTTTCTCCCTATTTCATTTCACCCTTCAGTGGGCAGGAGCCAGGAAGGGTCTTCTTCAAGCGAGAATTCAAAAGTGGCATGATATAACCCGGCAAAACGGAATCAGTTCGGCCAAAGTGAACCAATAGAAACATTATTGTCTAATGAGGAGAATTGCATCCGAAACATATCCATATAATTCCTAGCACGGTGCTCTTTGGTATATTCTCGTCGTCTGTCTCTTTATAGATATCACTATATGACAACTTACATAGACCACGAGAATTCAGGGTGATTGATAAGATTATCAGTGGGCCCTGCCATCTTATCTGATCTCGTTAATTATTTCTCTACGTTTATTAACTCTCTTCCACCACGGGATAGCAACAAGTTCCTTTAGCGACACAGTCTTTTTCTTTTCTTTTCTTTTTTTGAAGCGAGGCTTCCCTAATTCTGGAGGGGTTAGCACATTCTATTATCTTGAGCTGCCGTGTTCAATTTGTGTCTGCTTCTCCGCTCATCAGTTCAGACACTGGCCTCTGGGTATGCCGTATATATCATCAAGATATCGTGGATCATCTTTCAAAAAGGGCGCTATCCTGGCATTACCATGGCTTCCTTAAAGCCATACGTTTTAATCCTGTGTATTTCTCTATTTACATGTTTCGTTCACGCGGCCACCGTCACATATGACTTCAATATTACTTGGGTGACCAGCAATCCAGATGGAGCCTGTGAACGGCCAACAATTGGAATCAATAACCAGTGGCCAATTCCTGAGATCAGATCTAAGGTTGGTGATCGGGTCGTTATTCATGTCAACAACCAGCTGGGGAATCAGTCCACCTCCCTTCATTTCCATGGACTATTCATGAATGGGACCGCCGAAATGGACGGTGCGACAGCTGTGACTCAATGCAAGATACCACCTGGTGGCTCTTTCACCTATAACTTTACGGTCTGTTTTGTGCTCCTACTAAAACGATATCTACTCTAACACGCTATACAGACTGATCAACCGGGCACATACTGGTACCATTCTCATGGCTATGGCCAATACCCAGATGGCCTGCGCGGACCCATGATAATTGATGATCCAAAGTCACCACATGCTGATAAATGGGATGAAGAGATTGTACTTACTCTCTCAGATTGGTATCATGAGCAAATGCCCCCGTTGATCAAACATTTTATCAGCTATGCAAACCCCACAGGCGCCGAGCCTGTTCCTCAGTCCGCCTTGATGGCCGATACGCAGAATTTGACTATACCTGTAAAGCCAAGCAAGACTTATTTCATTCGGGCTATTAATATAGCGGCGCTGGCGGCACATTATCTATGGGTCGAGGGTCATTCACTACGTGTTATTGAAGTTGACGGCGTGTGGACTGAAGAGCAGGAAACGGATATGCTGTATCTCGCCGCCGCTCAGAGATATGGTTTCCTTCTGACCACAAAGAATGAGACCACGGACAACTTTGCTATGGTCGGTAGTATGGATACAGTGAGCACCCCTTTATGCTTCCACCGCTTCTACCGGTTTGACGGTTAACAGTATATCTATCTAGGACCTTTTTGACCAGATTCCTCCCCATTTGAACCCAAATGTGACCTCGTGGCTCGTATATGATGATAAAAAGCCTCTTCCACAGCCCAAAACCGTCGACAAATTTGCGCCTCTGGACGACTATTCCCTAAAGCCTAGTGATAAAATGGAGTTACTCGATCATGTTGACCATAGCATCGTCCTTGACTTGAAGATGGATAACTTGGGAGACGGCGCAAACTAGTAAGTCCTGTGAAAATGCATCATGGATTTATGTTCCTATGTACTTACACTCCTGGTTTAGCGCATGGTTCAACAATATCACGTATGTTAGTCCAAAGGTACCGTCACTATATACCGCACTCGACGCGCCTCGAGACGTGGCAACAAACCCCGTGATATACGGTGAAAACACAAACCCATTTGTCCTCGAGCACAACGAAGTAGTCGAGATTATCCTAAACAACAATGATCCAGGGAAACATCCCTTCCATCTCCACGGACATAACTTCCAGTTAGTCTACCGCTCTGAGGACGAGAAGGGCCCCTACAGCGCCGACCAAATGGCCGATTTGCCCCGAGTCCCCATGAGACGGGACACAGTTCTTGTCAGGCCAAATGGAAACATGGTTCTTAGATTCCGTGCCGATAACCCTGGAGTTTGGATATTCCATTGCCATATCGAGTGGCATATGGACAGCGGCCTGGTAGCCACGATGGTCGAGGCGCCACTCGCCCTTCAGGACCAACGGAAGGATGGGATAAAAGCGCTGCCAGCGAACCACATCGATGCTTGCCGGTCCTCCAACACTCCATATCATGGTAATGCAGGGGGGAACACGGCCGACTTCTTGGACGTATCTAATATGAACGGACCGCCCGCCCCGCCACTACCTGCTGGGTTTACTACCAAGGGCGTCGTAGCGTTGGTGTTTAGCACTATTGCTGCAGCACTGGGCATAGCAACCATCGTCTGGTATGGGCTGGGCGAAATTAAAACGCCAGGGCCCAATGGAGTCGGAGCCCCTGGAGTCCTGCAGTGATATGTGATATGCAGCAACCCAAAAAAAGATGAACTCGGCCGTTTTGCTTTGAGCGGAATGTCTCGCCTTATATCCACCTACAAAAGAGTACGGAGTACATTTATTCTATGATTTATTTTTGCAACTTGCAGTAAAAATAAATATGGCCGAGGTATTCCAGTAGTCTTGTCTTCTTCTGTCCATAACTACAGGGGTAGTTCAGCGTCGTACATCGTGGCTCACATGTTCATTAACCATGTTGTTACATACTTCGGAAAGCGTTGGAAAGTAAAGTAATATGACCACCGTTGGGCTCTCCGCAAGCCTGGCGGTGGAGAGAAATAATAATATCTCCACAAGTAAATAAGATATATCATAAGAATTAAATGGCTAAGAATAAAATGCACCAGTGCCTGTGCCTCGTCGAGCACGCTAATATGAACGCAATAATACTCCGTACTTGCTAATGGAATGAAGATGTAATGCCGATGTTGTTTCCAAGGCGGATGATATGTGTAGAAAGCGAGCCCAAAAGAAAAAAAGGAGAGAAAAGGAAGAGGGAAAAGGAGAACATTATGAACCACACGGCAGTGATATGCATAAAACGATATAAATAATTGAATATGGCTAAAATTATGCTAGAATGGAATAGGGGGAAAGTCCTCATACATTCATCGTGACGACGGGAACGAACATTACGTCGAATCCGCCATATCGCGCTTGTACACCAGGTGAGAGCCCTGCTTCGGGACTTTTCCGAGAGTCTCTAATCGCGATAGCACTAGCAATTAACTGTTGTAGTCCTGAGATCTGTTGTGACTCCCGCCTGGAGCGAAAGTTGCTCATGGTAGCGGTGTTTATATCTAGCCGAGGGCTCTGAAGGGGGGCACCGTTCGTGGCAGGTGTAGAAGTAGAGTGGTTGATACCACAATCTTCATTCTTTCCAAAGCGTGTAAGGTGGTCGGTTTCTAATGGGTTGAAGATCACAAACGTCCGTCGTTGTTCATCAACCGTGGATTCGGTGTCTTCCTTGCATGGATGATCGTTCTCCTCATCTGAACTTCTTGTACGGGCGGCAACTGTTGCAGACAGCTCCGCCGCAGCTTCTGAACACAGCGAGCGGGTGCATATTTCTAGCCACGGCTCATCGGTTGAGAAGCCTACGACGAAGTCCGCGTTGGCTTTGGCGCTTTCGAATGCTGCCACTCGGTATTCAAGAGTGAATCGCTCGTCATCGTCCCGAGGGGCAGAGATGATGAGTCCTCGTGATAGAAGAGGGGGTTCAGGCAATGACGCAGCAGGTCCAGGCAGCTCGTCTTCGTCTGCTAGGTCTTCTTCTGTTTCGGAGAAAGGGTTTTCGTCAACCCCGGTGGCAGCACAAGGAGTGGAGGGCTCTGTACTTTGGGTTATCGTCTGCGTGAGTGATATGACCGATGCTTTTCGTGGAGATGGCGAGATCGATAATCCTTCACTGGCAGACGCTCGAAGGGCATCATCGAGTTCCATGGTATACTCATGCTCCTCATCCGGGTTTTCATTTGAAGGCATACTCCCACCGCTGCTACTGATCTCCGTGCGGACAGAATTCGTCATGAATGCGACGGTCTCCTTTGCTGCGCGGCGAAGGGTTGGAATCAATCGATCAGCACCGTTTCCTTGCTGAGGCGAATCAATCATCCACGTACTCGCCAGTCCTGCCCATGCAGCGACGCTCACAACACCTTTTGTGTACCGCTTCCTTGACATATCTATATCTCGCGACACCTCATCCGGGGTTAAGAATCGGTTGCTTAACCGCTGTTGCGTGTTTAGGACCCTTCCGCCTTCCCAGATGATGAATGCATGTTTCTTTGCTAGACGAGCTAGCCGTCGTACACCTTCCAGCGACCAGTCATCAATAATATCAGCATGTACCTGTAGGACGCCAATATAAGGGCCAACGGTTCGAGCAAGGCGAAGGAGCGAACTCATGGTGCTAATGTTTGGGGAGGCGGAGACACAGACCAGCTCGCCATAGGGAAGAGTTGACTTGCATTGCCGTAATAATCGTAGATAGGTCGTGAGTGTGTTTGTCTCCGGACACGATCTCGATGGAGGGCTGGTAGTAGTGTCCATGGCAGGCATGTCTGGAATATCGGGTCCACCGCCGTAGAGGATGTCGCCTTCTTCCTCTATATACCGTCGATAGAACATTCACGTATCTCTTTGGAACCTCTGTTTTTTTTCCCCTTTATTCTCTTCTTAACATATGGAGTACGCGGGTAGGTTGACCTCTTATTCCCCCCTTCCTTACAACACACCCTGTGGATCTGCTGGATGAACTTCGTTGAGGCGTCGATATAACACTGTGTTAAGATGCGTATGCAGTAGGGATCCCAGCTAGTTCAACGCCCGCCCACCAGCAGAGTTCGGGAGAGAGATGAACAAACCAAGTGGCTCAGGTTGACTCCAGATCGAAAGTCTCCGCCTGGAAAGCTAGCTGGATAATAATAATAATACGGTGAGTAGGCCGATTTTCTGGATGGGCGGCGAATAAAATTTCCGTAGGAGTAAAATAGCAATAGGAGGGGGAGGTTAGGAAAAGAATGGAATTTTCTGGGGTAGTTAACTCCGTTCGGTTTATATAGATGGCAGAGTTCCAGCAAGGAGATGCAGCAGCGTGATGCAGCAAGGAGAACGCAGTAAGGAGTAATAGTGTAAGTATAAGAGGAGGAGGAAGGGGAAGAAGAAAAGGGAAGGGGAAGAAGGAAACCCTCAGGCAGAGAGAAAAGATGATGCCTTTTAGCTCGCAAAATGTCCTTCCGGGGCCTTGGTAAGGGTTGCGGTTGCACGACCTCCTTTGTTTCAAGCTTATCGCAGGCTCATATATGTAATGTATTTCGTGTTTATGTTTGCTTCTTACGAAAGCGATGCAGCCCCCTCCCCCTTCGCCTCAACGCCTGTCGTTTACATGGTCTCACACAGTACTTTTTCTATGTGTGTGCGTTGCGGAGTGTGGGATGTAGATGTGCCCAGTCGCCCCATCCGTCTGTCTGTTTGTCTGGCCGGTTCAGCAGGGTGGACCATACTCTTCTTCTTTTCTTTTCCTTGCAATCTTATTGCTTTTTACCGTGAACCTCACGTTTCTTTTTTGCCGTTCCCCTTTTAGGCAGCGAGCCCGGCTTTGGATGGACCAAAAATAGTCAGACATGCTGCAAGATGCTGCAGTCTATCAAGTGCTGCTGGACAGATCTGGTAACGCGCCCCGGCTGCGTTGGTCAAGGGTGTGTGGTTCTGTACGGAGTATAGACACCAGCGGTGCGGTGGGACGGGGAGGAGGATCCCCTTTTGATGTTAGAGTGGGAACTCGCCGCCCGCTGGGCCATCACTTTTAGACTCAAGTCGACCTGGCTGGGCCAGCGAGAATTGATCTGGCAGAATTGATGGCAGCGGTGGTGATATGCGTAGTGGTTGTAGTTGCTAACAATGCATGGTGTTCGTAATGACCTTACTATGTTGGAAATGCATCCCGTCTAGAGGTACCATATTCCGAACAGGCTGGTGCTAGCGATGAGATCATTTGGACGACCGGGCCAGAGGAAAAAGCAAAGGAGAAGGGCGAGAAGATAGAAAATCAGGCAAATGGAGCCGCCGAGGGTAAAAAGAGAACAGGATCACCCCCCCTTTTAAAATGGAGTCAACATGCAGGAGAAAAATGATCATGGGTAGGGAAGCATCTAGAGTTGGGGTGTCGTTCACATGCATTGGACACACAACAGTCCAGAAACATGCGCTGCATTCTGGTTTCTTTGCTTTCCCCGTTATGTCTTTCTTGACCCCTTTCGGCGTTTCGATTGCTATTATGGAGTGCCCGTAGTCCATAACCAAGTGTATCAGTTAAGTGCATGCATATAGTTATATACATACATAGTAGTAGTATACAAAATATAATCTCCGTGTTGATCTGACAATGATTCCTTTTTTTGTTATTCCTTTTCTCTCACTGGAAACACTCGGTTAACGCCGATCCGTCATTGGCCCTGTGAAGGATGCAACCCTTGAATCTGGATCGCTGATTGCTGGTGGTTGGCAAGTTGGTGCCCAGGATGCCTGTTTGGAGCTCTGATCTCAGTACTATTGGCCCCATGAGACAGGCTATGCGAAGATCATATCTGTGCTAAGACTGACGGCCCTTGCTTTGCCCCAGATTGACGTTGCAGGCGAGCGAATGGTGCCCTGTTCCGTATATACATAAGTATATATATAAGATGTCCAAATATATATAGTTTCAAGATATATATATATATATATATGGGAGGCGAGTTGCTAGCCGCTTGAAAGCCGTTCATGCCCAGAGACAGCAAATAGTAGACCCATCCGAAACGAATGTCGCCTGGCCCTCCATGGGCGAAAACGGTTATGGCTGTCGAAGAGTGACAGTAAAGAACGCTCCAAAGCCGGTGCGGATTATTGATTGGTCTTACCCCTTGCTCTAAAGCTGGAGAGAACCATCGTCTTCAACTCAAGAGTTAACTGACGGTGTGCAGTCCGTACTCCGTACCAGGGTGATGATCTGGCAACCCGTAGCGGTGATGGCCGAACTGGTTGGATTAGACGAGCCTGTACTACCTATAAGTACATATTTTCCGTACTCTGGCATGTAAAATGGGGTTTTTTTTCTTTTCTAAAAAAAAAGCGGATTCGGTATTCGCAAGCCGGTCGGTCAAATCAGCCTCTTGCCTTGATCCAACGGTTGTAATCCCGGCCAGATCAACCGATTGACCGCCGTTGAACAGAAAGATCGGGGAGCCAGATTGGCCCATGTCAACCTCCAATTTTAATATCTCAAGTTATATACTTCGCTGTGCAGGGTTGGTGCGCATCGTCTTTTTTTTTTCTTTTTGACAGCGAAATCTCCCCCCAGTCCTCGCCGCCGGCCGCGAAAGAAAGAGAAACCCAAGATGCCAGTTGTAATCATCGAGTCATGCACCATTTCCGGCTATTAGTTTGTCTGTACCAGTAATGATGCGCAGTCACCGTAGCGTTGCATATTACACTGCATAAAGCTTGGATAGATAGCTCCAAGGGAGCAAGGAAGACAAAACAGAACGGGAAGATAGACTCTGTGCCCTCTGGGGACACCACTACCATTTGTATAATCCCGACAGGCGATCAGTTGTGTAAGACCTTGTACCTTTGGAGCTGCCATCCGTCATATTCCTTCGTTTCCTTCTCTCTCTCTTTTCTCCCCTGGCACGGCTGTGGGCCTGATGGCGTTCATGCGAGTGACCCCTCCTCTAAACCTGGCTGTCTTTTAGCATTGCAACCTCTAATATCATTTCCTGAACCCTAGCATCCAGCATCTCCGCCACAGTCATGGTCATTTTGCTCAATCGCCACAGTCCTCTCTTGTTGATGTTGATGTATCGAAGTTTTGTTGTCGAAAGTTTTTTTATACCCGAAAAAGGGCAGGATGACTAAGCAAACCCCTTTAGGCAGCCAAAAAGAAAAAAAAATTAAATAATAAAAAATAAAAAATAAAAAATTTAATATCAAAGACGAGGCAGCAAGGAAGAAAAAGACAAGAGGACAACAGACAAATGCTATGGGAAGCAGATGAGACAAGACAAACGATTGTTGCGCCGGGGAACCAGACTTGACCAGTGTCGCTCGCTCTGTTGATATTTACACCTTAAAAAGCCTGCGAAACCAGCACCAAACTTCGACTTCTCTGGCCCCTTTAGAAAGAAATCAGGCCATTGCGGATTGTTTCAATCTCCGGCTCGCCCGGATTTCGCCCATTATTTACTTCAAGCCTGCTCTCGCCGAGTGCTTGCTAGTGATTGTTCTTCTTCAACCTACGCTAGCTGCCTTTCCTTTTTGACGTCTTTGTCGACAACCCCCTGTCATCAGAGCGATGCCTGCCCGGACGCTCCCAGTTTTCACCGCGGAGGAGGTCAAGCAACATGCCTCTGCGAAGTCTTGCTTCGTCCTGCGCGGATCGAAGGTCTACGATGTCACCTCCTTTGTCGATGACCATCCCGGTGGCGGCGATCTGATACTCGACTATGCCGGACGGGACGTTGGGGAGATCATGGACGACATAGTCTCACATCACCACAGCGAGGCGGCATACGATATCCTGGACGAGTGCCTTGTCGGTTTTCTCGAAGAAATGCACATCAATGGATCGAAGGGTGCCATCAATGGTTCGAACGCTAAATCCACCAAGCCAGTCTACAAGTCTACTGGCCTCTCCAGTGAGGAAGACCTTAGTGTGGAAACAGACATTGCGTCTGATTACAAAACACACAAGTTCCTTGACCTAAGTAAACCGCTGCTGATGCAGCTATGGAACGGAGGCTTCTCCAAGGAATTCTACCTCGATCAAGTACACCGCCCACGGCATTACATGGGCGGAGACTCCGCTCCTCTGTTCGGAAACTTCCTAGAACCGCTTAGCAAGACTGCCTGGTGGGTTGTGCCGACCTTGTGGTTGCCATGTGTTGTATATGGGGTTTTCCTGGGTATGAGTGGCATTAGAGTCGATATCGGTGCCATGTACTGGCTAGGAGGAGTTTTTCTTTGGTCGCTGATTGAATACGGCATGCATCGATGTCTCTTCCACATTGACGAGTACGTTTTCCATTAATATCCCGCGTGACCCTTTTAATTAACAAACTCGTTATAGCTACCTTCCAGACAACCGAGTGTTTCTGTGCCTTCATTTTCTACTCCATGGTATCCATCACTATCTTCCCATGGACAAATATCGCCTCGTCATGCCACCCACCCTATTTGTTGTCCTCGCCACCCCATATTGGAAGCTCTCACACTTCATCTTCTCATATAACTGGTATGCCGCTACCTTGGTGTTCTCCGGCGGCGTATTTGGGTATATCTGCTATGACCTAACTCACTACTTCCTGCATCACCGAAAGTACGTATTAAAAAGAGTTTGTCCCACTATTCGCGATCTACAATGCTAATATGGGCCTGCTAGTCTCCCGTATTACTACAAGGAACTAAAAAAATACCACCTGCAGCACCACTTTGCCGACTACGAGAATGGATTCGGCGTCACCAGCCGGCTCTGGGATAAGGTGTTTGGCACTGAGCTCCCGCCTCTCGGTCCGGCAAAGGTCGAATAGACACACACACACACACACACACACACACACACACATACACACCCATATATACCTCCTTCTCTTCGTTAACTGTATAAACTACCCTCTTGGCTTTACTGCTACAACCTTCTAAGCTGTTTAATTTTTCTTCGTTTGACTTTTCTTTATCCTATTCGGAAATGCCCCGTCACAGTATAATGTCCCATTGCTCCCATACCGATTCTCTTTGAAAACCCCTCGCTCCCTTTTATACACAAACCCCCGTTCGTCTCTTCCTTTCATCCCTTATTTTCATTCTCATTTTGAAGCAAGAGATACCTACATGTTTAATGTATGAACTTTACTCAACTTTATTGTCAAGAGGAATGAAGGCATGGCTTCATCGGTGCTAATAATTTCAATAATACGATTTGCCATCTATAACAATATCGGTTTACTACGTTTTCTCCCAGCATGCATCAAATGCTCCACTCCTTAGCATATATCCAGTCGCCTTCCACGATACCTGGAGAAACTAGGTCGCTTCACGAATTATAGATGAACATTTATGATTTTAGCCCGGATCGCTATCATTGAATGACGTGTAGCGGAGCCAGGGGGATTCTATAGCCCCTGTTTACCCTTTCTTCCGAACAGAATATGTAGTTATATATACATGCCGACCCTCTTTGCGGTTGGTTCCGGCATGTCTAGTATATCTATTCCACTGGGACGAAGGCGATCAATCATAACAAGAACAATTGCATGTTTACCCTGTTCAAGTAGGCTAGTTGGCGTAATGCCTCTCATGCATTCCGATTGACCAATCCCCTATAATTAATATGTGGCTTTTACGGCCATACATGGATCCATCACTGATACAGATGCAAGGAGAACTCAAGCCACATATATATAGTCCGTATGATAAAGTGAAGACCAGCACCCGTGGGGGAAATTTAGTGTATATGCAGGGCTGACCGGAGCTGAGGAAGGCTTACGTATCTTGATTTGATCCAGAGTCATAGAAACAGATCCTCTATTATGTTGAGGGAAATATATGAGAACGATTCCACATCGGATTCTTAATCTCCGACTTCAGGCACTGTCCCAAGGTCGAGCGAGAAAGAATGAGGCCTGACATTTCCGCATTGATTTCCATTCCAGCGACGTCTAGTAAAGTGATCTCATTTTCTGGGTCAATATTATTTCTTTTAATCCTTGAATCGAAAATGCCAATGTAAGTGATGACAGATTATGGAAATATCATAGAACTTGGTGACCGAACATCCGCAACTTGTTGAATATCCCTGACGATGGAAGCCGTCTGAATTTTATCCCCAAGTTAACAATAACTCTTATACCAAGAAGTTTCTCCTAGAGGAGCTTCGTCCAAGGGTTACATTGTTTGATAACATCGTTGTCACAATGTGTCCCTCGGGCGCCGTTGTCCCCACGAGGTCCCCAAATTCAAGTAGAATATAATCCACGTAAACAAAAGTGAATGGATAAGGGAATGGGAGAAGGCAAGCGTTCATCTACCAGCCGGGTGGAATCGGCGGGGTTAATAGAGGTATATCATATCACTTAACTGGGCCCAAGGATAGGCAGCATTTAGGGGTATTCGTGATAAAGCAGAGCTTCCAAAATGACAGCTATATATCTGGAGGACCTCTCCTCCATCAATGTGATTGTCTATATATCGTAGTCGACAAAGCCCTAGTTGCATTATAAATAAGATATATAACTTACGCGAAAAGCTGGTAGTTTCCCTTGGGATGTAGGATGATAAAACAGGGCTAGGAATTATCATACTTCCTAATATACATATCAAAACGGTCTGGGCCTAGGAGAGCCTGTTAGAAGAAACTTATATCTCTTTGCCACATTACGCATAACCTTTCTAACTTGAATATTCCCCAGGTATACCTATGAACGTGACACTTTCTGGAAAATTGGGGTTTAGTTGCTCCGGCTCAGGCAACTTGATCAAATATATTGTTCCTGTTCTCGGCATGACCATATTATTTGCCCGTGGCTGCTCTATATTGCACTAAGTAAAAAGCAGGTTAGATACTTGGCCTTGAAAAGAGAGTTGTGAAATTTTCTTCTCTACCATGTGGTATGAGGTCCATTATATAGACCGAACATCCATATGGAGGGTATATAGAGCACAAACTGGGACTCCCATGAGATTGCGGTTTGGCAAATCAAGTAATAAGCAGTAGTTGTCTGCGATCGCTCTCACATATAGTATGTAAAATAGGTATCATAAAAATATCGCTCCAAGCCAAATGACCAATGAGTAAAATGGCTTTTCGAAGTATCCCTCGGTTTAAAAGTCATCGACGATCAGTATTATGGAGGACCAGCCTGCGGTTGACCGGCTTTTGGTACAATTTGGAAGTACGGAGTACGGGTACTTGGCTGGTGCAATTAACTAATAATATATGCCATAATAGAGATGTGGTTAGGTATAGAAATCTCGTTAAATAATCATTCTTCTGTACTGACCCGACATGCTGGCAGTAACATCGATGAACATTTTCAAGCCACTTGCATAATCCTCACTTTTGCAGGAATTTAGTATACATACCTCCGCATAAGGCCTAAAAAGATCTCCACGAAGCAGGGGAGAACCAAGGGGGGCGAGGGTTGTGATATAAGACGCCAGCCGATACTCCATATCTCAGCTTCGTCCCTCGTGGAACGCAGTACAAGTGGGCACACAGAGAGTTAGTTACACATGAGAAGACGTCGTTCAAACTTGAAAGATGGTTATCCAGCAATTTTAAGCCATTGCTGGGTTTCAGTGTAGGCTAAAAGAAAAAAGTCAGCGCCGGGCGAAAACATCCATGTCTACATATTTTTGGCGGCTAGAACATCCAGCTGAAAAGAGAAAAAGAAATTAAAAAAAAGCCACCACAGCTACGATGGCCCAGGAAAGGAAGTCATACAATATTACTTATTACTTCTTAATATAAACACCCAATAGGAACCAGAACCAAAGAGGATACATCAATATCAACAACATCTGGGGGATGTATCCAACGGCGGGAGAAACTCCATGCCACCCACTGACATCATGCATGTCTACCTGCAGGATCCGACGTATCTCGCTTGCAGAAATCCAGTGGAAGAGATGGGTGGCCATATAGTTGAACAAGCCTGGGGAGTCAACCAGTTTATCCATCTGACCTCCACCGCAAGCAACGCCGATTAGGTCGCGTGAGCCCTTCAAATTTTCGATACACACCCTGCAGACAAGGTATTAAGAGCGCTTACACAACTTTATATACGAGGAAACAAGCGCAGAAAATTCAGTATGAGCCAGTATGCCCACTTGAAGCCCTTGTGCCCTTGTCTTGTTGACGTTAAATGCATGCGATGGCTGGGATCAACATACCTTGTGCAGGTGGATGGAAATTTTATATCCTGCGCGCATCCGAGGGTTGGCGCAGAGCATAAAGCAGTTCGGACATATATGGCCAGTTGATAGCTATGGACAGAGTACATACATACACGGTAACGGGGTATGTCGGTTTGGCCAATATTAAAGTGGTGGGACTGCGGGATGTCCCAATGGCTCCACGGTAGTACATACTCCGTACAGATGGACCGGATTTTCATTACTGGAAGAACCTAATGGCTCCTCCTTACAAACTGGTTGTTCCACAGTATATACACATGCATTGGAATGTGAGCGGTCGAGTCAGTTGTCAAGGATTCCATCCAAAATACGAGAGACATTTCGAGATGCAAATGGCTCGTCTCCACCAACATCTGCACAGCTACTGATATGTTGAACAAGAGTTACTATGTAGGTAGCGGCCAGTGCGTTAGTCAACTTATGCGGAAACCTCCAGAATGGGCTAACTAGAGGGCTTAAGCTATCGCTTTTTGACGGACGACGATGGACATATACCTTAGGATGACCCGTCATGGTCCCGTATAGCCGGTTGACACCGAGGACGGGACCGCTAAGAGAGCCATCAAAGCCGTAAAGGATGGACAATGGGGTTTACGTAGTACGCCTTGTATAGGGGTACCCCGGTTAACTGAACCCAATTGGAGGGAGAAAGCTGGCCAGGATATACATAACTAGTCGGTTGCCAGTCTTTTAAGCCCAGCCGGAAACGCCACCCGAGCAACAAGAATCCAGCGCCATCCAAAAAACAATAAAGTACATAATCGAGAGCTGATAGGTGACAGCCGGGTTAGGCGATCGACGGATGTCCCAAAATTGGTGGTGCAACATGCATGAATGGAATTGATTTTATTATTTGCTTTTGGCCCAGCCGGTGGCCATTATTTATCAATGGCTTGTTTTCTCGCAGCAGATTGAAAACTGCCAGACGCTTTTTGCCCAGAGCAGTTTTCAGTTCATACCTGGATAGATAGGTATTCAGTATGACGGCCGAGCCTACAGAGACAAGCAGCTTGCTCCCACGGGAGGACGTTACCGGGCAGCCCTTAAAAGATGACAAACCCGCGAGCCCAGGTTTATCATGGAAAAGCTTGCTCGGCATTATTGGGGCCCTGATCGGTATTGAAATCTCTGGCCCTTGTTTTTATGGCGGACTACGGATCCTGATGTTGAACAGGTGTTTTCCTTGCCGGTGCGGATGAGTCCATGGTGCTGGTAACATACCAGACCATCGCCTCGCACTTTCAGCGTCTAGGGGATAGTCCCTGGGTGCTTGCGGGATATAACCTAGGCTATTGTGTGGCTCTACCGGTGGTAATTAGCCCTTGTAGCATTGAATAAGCTAGCTATGGGTTTCGTGTTGCTAATTGCTAGGTATCTAGTACGGAAAACTGAGTGATACGTATGGCCGGCAGATACCCTTGGTGGTCGCCTACTGCCTCTTTAGCAGCGGTTGCATCTTGTCGTATGTTCACTCCCTCTATATTCCTTCTATTCGGCAAAACTCCACTCCCCGAGCCACTCTAACGCAACGTGTAGGGGTTCTGCAGCAGCGTTATGGCATGTTATTGCTGGGAGGGTGATAACTGGGATTGGAGCGGCTGGCATGGTCGCCCTGGTATGTGTTCTGATTACAGGTAAGAGTTGAAAAACATGGATCCTCTTGAAAGACATCCAGAAACTGATGATACACAGATAACGTGCTGCCTAGCCAAGTAGCCATCACACGAAGTTATGTGAACATGGTCAGCGTCTTCGGCCGTGTACTTGGAGGCCCAATTGGGGCATTCATCACGGATAGCGTTGGTTGGCAACTGTACGACCGCTCATTTACCTCGTCATCATAGAGAAACATGAAATAGAGGCTCATTGACTGTTATTAGGTCTTTCATTGTGCAGGCCCCTACTGCCATCATATGCTGTATCATCTCTATGGTCCTGCTGCCACCTGCCAAACCAAAGGAGAATAGCGTGAAGAAAGTTGCACTCCGTAAAAGGGTCGACTTCCTAGGAATCGCAATGTTTGCTATCTGCATCACTACATTCTTGGTTGCTATCAGGCTGCTAGGAGACCATGAGGCCTCAACGAGAATAACTATCCTTTTCGGCGTCGTTTCCCTTGTGTTCGGTTGCTTCTTCCTCGTGGTAGAAGGGTTTTATGCTAGAGAACCAGTCATCCCTCTTGGTTTGCTCAAAAAGATGGCAGGCCCTTACGCTGTACAAGTGCTTCTACAAGTGGGAGCCTTTGCGGTAACTGATCCCGACGCGACCCCCTTAACAGTATATTTAATGACTTTATACTGACTTGTAAACAGAACTTAACCAACATTGCACCCTACTTCATTCGTACAACAGGCGCGAGCAATACACGTGCGGCAGTTTACCTTGCTCCCGTATTCGTTGGCTTTACAACTGGCTCTATCACTTCCGGTTATATTATCAGAAAGTAAGTTCCATAAGTAAAGGAAAAGCTAGATACAAATGAGGAAATGAAACTGACCATTGACTCCGATGGACTTTTAGGACACATAGATATAAGACGTTATCTCTTATATCGGTGCTTCTCGGCCTCACGTTCTTCACCCTTATAGCGATAAGATGGCGAACTGGGGTAACAGGCTGGGAGTCATTCTACGTGTTCCCAGCTTTCTTGAGCTTTGGACTGCTGCTTTCAACCACTTTTACCGGGTTGATCGCATGTACTCCAAAATCCATCCATGCCACTGCTATTTGCGTCTATTATCTTTGCCAGCAGGTCGGAACCATGCTTGGAACCGTCTTTTCCTCCCTGACTATCGAGACAATCCTACGAGAAGTCCTCAAAATCCGTTTGGAGGATATCCCTCATAAGAAGGAGGTAAGCAGTTTCACTGAACACATTGCTTTGTTATCCTTCCTGGTCTGACTCTACTGTATCTAGATTATCGAGCGTATTCTGCATGATTCTAGCCCTGCTGCCATCCCTGAAGCTCTACGAAGCATTGTCCGCAACAGCTATCTCTATAGCTTCCAGTTTGCTGCCTGTAAGTTTGACTTGCCCATGCAAAGTATATGAGTTCTGCCCTTTACTCTTCTATGCTAATTATGATCATAGTCATACCCGTGGTCACCACCGCCATCGTCCTTCCATTAATGGCGATAGATAAGGAGGTAGAAGTTGACTAGCGGGTAGAGGTCAGTCCGCCCCTTGTTTATCCACCTACTTATATCCTGTCAGCACCCAGACCAGGTATCTAGGTATGGTTTAAATAAAAAAGGCCAAAAAGGCAAGAAACAATGCTTGCCATTAATATTGAACTTGATACTTTTACTGTCTTTATATATTTTACACTGCTATTTGTATGGTTGGCTCTCTGAGATTCCACTGTTTATATAGGAGGGGTGGCTATGTACCTGTTGGAGCTATAACTTATCACATATAAAATTATACATATTCGTACTCTGATCAACCAAGCAAGCACATGGACGTAGGAATATGTTGCTTTAGAGCATAGCACTGGGAGGAGGAATGGGAGATGCGGAGGAACGGACAGGTATCGGGACGGTCAACGCAGCGGGAGCGGGCGAAGAAGGGAGGGTAGAGAGATACCTCGACGCCTCCTAAGTGTGTATAGTTATCTTTGGGATATCAAACTGGAGGTTAGAGATTGTGAAGTTTACCTCGACTCTCCGCTACGTCGCTAGGGTGTTTGTGGCTCCATCTGCCGTATGGAAGGTATGCTTACGTCAGTCTATGTCCGTTGTGTGGAAACAAGTATTGTCTAGGCGCATATAAGCATCTTAACGGCGCAGGCCAGCTCCCCACGATGCTAGAGACAGGGCTAAAGACGTCACAAAGACATTTAAGGCCACGAAGCATAGAAGGGTGGTCCCGCACTCAGCGCAGGGGATGGAAACCTGACCTGTCTCTGTATGCCTGGCACTCTGCGCATCTATCGGATGCTATAAGTGCTGAAGCTGTTCTTCGGCCTTAGAACTATGGAGTTGTCCGGGGTGTATAGACCACCGTACGCAGGTGGTTCGCCCGACATCTTCGGCCTTTTGGGTATAATATACGCCGTATATAGTCTCTGGGTAATGTTCTTTTTCATGGACGTTCGCAATAGATGGATGTGTATTCTATCTGCATAGGGAACCTCACTACTATATAAGCAGCCATCCGGAGGCAACGAGTATGATGTAGTAACCAGTTCAACTGCCTGGAGGAGAACGGCAGCCAAAAGTCCGAAGATGGCATCTAAGAGTCACGGCATTGTAGGTATTTCGGACGCATGTACGAAGCTGTAGGCTTTCATCTCTGAATCCTTTTAAGAAGTCGGGCAGTTCGACGTTGACCACAAAGGGTTTAGCGCACCTGAAACCCTTACGTAATATTTCTTGAAGCAGTGTTGTGATTGGCTCTTATTAGATATAATTTTAGCCAATGGCAGTTACGATACTGCTTATATAAAACTAACAGCCACGTGACATCACATGATATGCTATTTTTCTGCCCGACGAAAAAAAAAGCATCGAACGACGTCGAAGTATTTCTTCTTCCTTCATCAACGAGTCCAACGACAGCAAACGCTGATGCGACTGGATGTATATTTGCGAGCCTGCGGTGGGATATAAAACAAGTTAAGCCGCTGGTGGTGAACGGCACTGGAGGTTCTGTGACAAAGTCTCAAGCACCAAAAAAAAAAAAAGGGTTCGACCGACTCGCGCTTCTTCCCTTTTTATTCTCCGGTCTCTCTCGCTCTAACGGAAGAAACAAAGTGATATTTTACTCCTGTTCATATACGCGTCTCTCTCTCCTTGTTCACTTCCATCTGCCGTTCTTTTTTTGTTTCTATCCCATTTCTATCGACATGTCTGGCATCGACGTCGAGGCGTTGCTTGATTCAACAGCCGATCCTGGGCCTAACGCCACCAAACCATCTGGCACTTCAGACCAGAAAGACCATGATATCGAAAAGAAAACGGACCGTGATGGACGCCGTGAGCGGGACGGCTCCCGGGACCGTGACAGGGACAGGGATCGTAGACGCCGTGATCGAAGCCGAGACCGACGCCGCGAGAGGGATGTCGATGGAGACGAAGAGATGAAGAGCCCAAAAAGCGATCGCGCAAGTGCTAACGGGAGCCATAGAAGCCGAAAGAGAAGCAGAAGCCGCGACAGCGAGAGGAAACGCTCCCGCCGTGACCGGGACCGGGGCGATGACGCCTACCGCTCTTCTGGCGGCGGTGGAGACTTCTACAGAGGCGGTGGCCGGACTCGATCCCGCTCCCGATCCCCGCTCGACGATAGATACTATAGGCCCACTGGCAGGCCTCGTCGGGATGGAGATGATCGGGATGATGACAAGCGCCGCTCCAGGCGTGATAGGGACGGCCGTCGACGCTCGCCCAGCAATAGTCGTCGCCCCAGCAAGACTCCTGAACCTCAACTGACTGAAGATGAACGCGACAGACGTACCGTATTTGTACAGCAGCTTGCTGCTCGCCTAAGAACAAAGGAGCTCATCGCTTTCTTCGAGAAGATCGGCCCGGTAAAGGAGGCCCAGATCGTGAAGGACAGGGTTAGCGGGAGATCCAAAGGGTAAGCAGGTCCTCGACCTTTTTTTTTTTTGTCTCTTATTGCAGACAACTAATTATCCTTAGTGTTGGTTATGTCGAGTTCAAGAACGAAGAATCCGTCCCACTTGCCATCCAGCTTACTGGACAAAAACTTCTAGGAATCCCCATTATCGCCCAGTTAACAGAAGCCGAGAAGAACCGCCAGGCCCGTAACCCTGATTCTCACGCCAACAGCAATCACCAGGCTATTCCCTTCCACAGGTTGTATGTCGGTAATATTCATTTCAGTATCACTGAGAGCGATCTGCAGAATGTCTTCGAGCCGTTTGGCGAACTTGACTTTGTCCAATTGCAAAGAGAAGAAGCTGGACGCAGCAAAGGATACGGCTTCGTGCAGTATGTAAACCCTCTCCCTCCCTTTTCGTACCGGATAACTGACATTTCTCATAAGATTCCGTGACCCCAACCAAGCCCGTGAGGCTCTCGAGAAGATGAACGGCTTCGACCTCGCTGGTCGTCCCATTCGTGTCGGCCTAGGAAATGACAAATTTAGCCATGACCCGGCTCAGCTGATGCAACGACTTCAACAGCAGGGCCATAACCAAGGTTCATCGTATTCCCACCATGGTGGCCGTGGAGCCAACTCAGGCGGTAGCTCTGGCGGTAACTTCGACCGTGCCGGTGGCCGTGATAATGACAAGGGCGCTGGCGGAGCGAGCGCTTTAGATGACACAGACGTCGCCGGTGTGAACTTTAACAATTATAGCAGAGACGCATTGATGAGGAAACTCGCGAGAACAGATGAACCCGCCGCTGAACCCGCCCCTGACGAGAAACGTAAAGCTCCCAAAGCTCGCACAGAAGCTAAACCTCTCCCCGTCACTGTCAACATGGCAAGTCGCTGTGTCCTTTTGCGGAACATGTTCGATCCAGCGCAGTAAGCTACCTCTCCTTTTTTTCTTCTGCTCTCACTCTCACCCTCATTTTGCTACATCACGTACATATATACTAACACCCACCAGAGAGGAAGGAGAATCCTGGGTCAAAGAGCTCGAGGATGACGTCCGCGCTGAATGCGAGGAAAAGTATGGTCATGTTGTTCACATTTCGTTAGATCCCAACACCCAAGGCGACATCTATCTTAAATTCGACCGTGTTCAGGGCGGTGAAAATGCCATCAAAGGCCTGAACGGCCGATTCTTCGGCGGCCGACAGATCAGCGCCCAGCCCGTTGTCGACGCAGTTTACAGCAGTCTTTTCTCCCGAACCAAGGCTATATAAGATTGCTCACTTCAACTGACAGACATCTTTGGCGCGACTTCAGTTGCAGACGGTAGGTATCATCTACGCAACCTTTGGACTACTTTTTCCCGCGTGCTCTTGTTACTACTACCTCATCGTTCCCCTGACCTCTTAGGAGTACGTTGCCGTTACTCAGGGCTCATATTAGGGTCTCAGAGTAAAAATAAAAGAGAAGCATTCTCCGATAATGCCGATACCCCTTCGATATTCTCTCTACGCCACTACTACCACCATCACCTTTGAGCATAGCTAGTATCATCTAGTTTTGTTTCACTCCTTATAGCCACAATTTGTATAGCTGTTTGATATTAGTTTATAGCTTTAACTAAACATACAATTTATCCTTGCTATTCCCTTACTGAAGCCTTCATATCTATAACATCTGGTAATAGGCTAGATACCTACTTTGGTGTTGATACCTCTTAATCTCTATAGTATCCGTTCCTTGGTGATAAAGATGGTTTCCCATGTTTGTGTCTCAACTTTGATATTATAGTCTATGTAGTTAGGTTAATACCATGCTAAAGACAGAGGATTGTAGCGCTATCTAATATATATACAAATACATACACTGAAGATGGACAACTCCTAACTCTTTCCATATTACTGTCAAGTGAAGTGAAGTCCCATGCCCTAATATATTCTCACTGTCCTATAGTGACTGTTTAGCGTACTTTTGATCTCTTACTTGCAAAGTCCTTTCACTAGCGCCAATTTTGTGTGTTCTGATATCTTATTTATATCTGTTTTCTTCTTCTACGTTCTTAGAAATAACATCTTTATATTGCCAAAGAGCTGGCAACTCCCTTCTGTCTTTGGCTTACCTGCTTAACTGGTATTTATTTCCTAATAGATATTGTGCAAACGTAAGAATTGTTCTCTCCTTTTTAATGCTGCGTTTGATACACTATTGTGACTCCAAGATTCGCCTTTTATCACGATAATTCTCTGTGTATCCATTCACTGGTTGACGCAAGTGGTATCTGACTTATTTATATTGGCAGTGAAAGACCAAGCCATGTCTGGCTATCGTGGAGCTCCTATGGCTGGCCCCAGCGGCGGGCAATATCAGCCAGGCTTTGTGCCTCTGCCATCACGCGGCTCAGTCTCTATCCCACAGCCACAGCCACAGCCTCAGTCTCAGTCTCAGGTTCGGGCTCAGGACGAAGACGCGTTAGAGCTTGAGATAGAATACTTGAAAGAACAGCTTGAGCATTCTGAGCTTCAGCGCGAGTGTATCCAGAACCGACTCGACACTGCACGGGCTCAGGAGCGTCACGACCACGACATGATTGAAGGACTGCAGGCTCGTATCAGAGAGCTGGAGGAGATGCTCCAGCGTCATGGCATCGAGGATCCCAAGGCTTCTTCTATGGCTCTCGTCCGTGTGAACTCCGATACTGAGGGGTACGCAGACCCAGCATCCGGCAATGGAAGCGGGTCAGCATTGCGGAGAATGTCGATGCAGGAGCATCATGATATGTCGCCATCTACTCGATACCAGAACGTCTTTGGCCAGCCACCGCCACGATTTAACTTGCAAGCTGCTGCTGTTTCCAAAGTAGGCGGCAACAAGATCGATGGAGCAAATCAAGCTCACTTTAGCTTGTCAAGTTCAAACCTCAACTCTGCTGCTGGCACTGGCACTGGCACTGCTAGCGGATCTGGAGGCACGCCATCTTCACCCGATGAACAAATCGCCTCCTTTGTTTCGATGATTGGTAGGCAGCCCCAACAGATCATCCATACCCGAGACCCGCAATTTGACGGAGGTGACTTCGCGAGCCGTCTGATCGGGCTGTGGACGGCATCGAAATGTTTCGCAACGAAGTATACCAACACGACTTTCATGTACAACGAGAATGCAACGGGACAGGACCTGCGTGCATTTCTTAGCCTTGCGTGCGACAAATCCACCGACTTGCTGAGTGACGTATCGACCCGGTTCTTGATGGTTTCCAAGGCAATCAACTGGTTTATCACGAAGACGGTCCTGAAGACGAGTGTTGTAAACGGTTTTGATCCCGCCGTTGACTCTGAGATCAAACAGATGGCTACTCATCTCAACTCAGGTAAGCTAAAGAACCATCCCTCGATGAATAATTGCTGGTCAACATGCTGACAAGTAGAAGCCACCCCTTTTACGGTGAAAAACGCCATGATCCAGGGAATCGGGCAGCACATCCTCGTTCTCCGCAACCGTCCACTGTTCGACAACTTCTTCAACAAGCGTACTCACGAACATACTCAGCATCTTTTCCAGCTGCTGTCTCCACTGATCTTCTCCCGTGATCAAGCTGCGTGGTGCGATCTCGCAGACCTCATGGTCGAGGCACACGAGCTCGCCTTGAACATGCACTCTGGCCCGTACGAGTTCAAATTCCTCCATCCGATGAGCCACCATGTCTTTGACCCGACGTACATGACGGACCACAATGCCGGAATAGACGAGGACTGGGGAATGCAGCAAGCCAAGAGACAGTACACCATAAAGCTTGCCATTACGCCGGTCCCGTTCTTCAGAAACGTGACCCTTCAACCTCAGTCACCACTTCAAGTTTTGCATCTTGGAGATGTTATTTTGGGCCCCGAGATGATGCGCCGTGCGTAGGAGAATGGATATTGTTCACCACGACTTGCCGCCTGCAATCTTAATCTTTCAAAGAGAGGACTTGTTGTTATTTGCTCTCTTTCCCTTCTGGTATCCTTTTTGCAGTGCCTTGGAAACGCGCAAGCGACCATTTCAAGTTCAACACTCTGTCTCTCCCTCTCACACTCTGATTTTTCTTTTGTTACTGGTTGTTCAAGAGGCCATGCTGCCACACTCATGCCGGGCTTCCCTGCACACAGTTCGAGATCGCATGAGGCATATTCTTCTTAGATAGGCTCTCTAGCGATCTTTTCTATGCGGTCACTTTATAAATATCGGTGTCTTTACTTCGTAGCCCGCTTTTCACGCAAAAAATTCACGTTTAGACGAAGAATAAATAAGCTGAAGTTGAAATTTCCTTTTTCGGAACAGTTATCTATTTTATGTATTTGAGAACTTTCATTGGTATAACTTTGTAATAATTGTAATTACCAATACCATGTGTACTGGTTATTGCAGCATACACTAGTCCTAATATGTTCTGCTTAGTCATATTACCTAAGCAAGACGAAAAGGGAAAGAAACAAAAACTTCGACTTTTCGACTTCATCAACTTCAACTTCTTCGTCTTCGTCTTCGTCTTCTGCAATTCTTCTAGCCGCGGTGTGGCTTTAGGTGTCTCGACGCATTGTGGATATATAATCATCCATAAGAATCGGCCTTTTTATGTCGTCATTATCTAAGACTCCACTAGAGAACGCATGGATTGGCTGGTATTATTATACTCCTTCAATATATACTCCGTAGTATGGGAATAATACAGGAGGTTCCGTCCTGCTGCTTCCATTCCTACTTTTATATCTCCTTTATCCTAATCATGGCTGGAATTATCTAGAAACCATATACTCGAGTGCTCTAATGCACACTTATATACTGATCCCGCCACAATACGGAGTATAGTCAATTCAGTATACAATAGTGGCTTGCAGTTATTGAAGATTGTAAAAGGCTCTGTTCTCGGCCGTCTTGTCTTCTGATACGAGTAAGATCCACCGTGATGCAACAGTGACTCGTGAGAGCCAACAAGGTGAAGGCTAGCAGCGGAATACTGCTCAATCAACCTCGAAATATTCACAGGAGCAGGACTCGCCGATTGATAGAGAGATACGCCTTGTGCTGCAGAGACTGGTTCGCCGTGCTAGCTCAGATCAACGTTATCAGATCGACCCAGGGGGCGGCGCATTGATCTGCTGGACACAAGTTCATGCAAGGATTAAAATAACTCCGGCAAACTCGAACTCAACATTGTCACATTGTGACATAACAGTGTGGGAATTGTTGGGCCCTTGTCCTTGTGCTTGAAGCCCATTTATACTTACCTTTCAAATCGAGGACAAACAAGGGAGGGAGAGAGAGAGAGGATTAGATAGATGTCCAGTATGCTTCTTCTCCTTCCACTCGCTTGACCCTGCGTCATCGGCCAGCGCACGCGTGGTGAAGTGTAAAGTGCAGGACGGAGCAGCCTCCTGTTGTCTGCATTTCTTCTCCTTGTCTCGTCGTTGCAAGGATCCGCCATCCCAGCCTTCTTTTTCCGGCGGACGATTGGGACAGAGTGCCGCCCTCCCATATCTTTGACTACATTGGAAAGGAAAAAAAATCAACCTTTGATACCACCACCTTCTCATTATCAAACGGCCAACCATCGAACATTTCAATGAGCGCAGTTCCCATCAAGCGGGTGCGCATCCAGGGCTGGACCCTTGCCGATAGCTACGGTAATGCAATATTCTTCTCTTCCTCGTTTTTTTACCCAGTTCATATACTAACTCCTCCTACCAGCCTTCATCTCTCTCTTCCTCCGCCGTTATGCAACCGCAACCACTGCAGACACCGCTCATCCATCACATCCCACCGCAGGAGCGTCAACTTCACGTACCCCTCGCCGCCATTTCCATGACTACTTCGTTACGCACCTGCCCACATCCTCGTTGCACCCAGACTCCCGTGCCTCAGTCGGTCCTCAACATCATCTCCCACGTTCAGCATCTGTTCCGCACGCTTCCTCTTCAACTGTAGCTGGAACTAGCACCGGGACCGGACCACCGAAACGAGATGCATCACCGGCTACAATCTCACCTTCAACTGGCCCAGCTATAGGTCGAGAGACAACCGTCGTTCGCATCCCTTTGCGTAGTGCGAAACACCACTTCGGTGTCTCGTTTGCGCGTGGCACACGTCCCACAAACGAAGATACGTACCAGGCTGGAGTCATCGATCTACCAGCCTTTGCACGGCGGGCCCCTCTTTCTATTACTGTTGGTCAGCCTACGGCTGCCTCGGAAGGGAATAAAGTAGCCGACAGTGCTACTGGTGATCCACAAGTGTTTTATTTTGGTATATTTGACGGCCATGGCGGAGCGGAATGTAGCCAGTTCCTACGGGACAAGCTACACGGATACATCCAGGAGACGGCGATGGAGTTTGGAATGGAGTCTGCTCTGTCAAAGTGCGTAGAGAGCCAGTGGTTGACCAACCGGGCGATACGCCATCGAGAGCGCGTTGGAGAGGTCAAATATGGCATTTCCCCTGTTTCTACAGATGAAAAGCAAAGGAGTCATGCGGTGCAAGGCGACCTCCCGATTCTACAAAAGGCAAACCGAGAACACATCGGAGAGATGGAAAAGAAGCTAGTTGCGGATTGGCGGGACCTGGTAGGCGGATACTTTCGACGATTTCAACCGCTTCACTTTTCATACTCTGGTGCTGAACCGACATGCGCGGGAGACGAGCATAGCACTACAGTAAACGATGCAGATGCAGATGCAGATGCAGGCGGCGAAGATGTTCGTGTCAGCGTCAAGTCTGGCGTCTCGATCGAAGAAGTCGTCGAATACGCCTTCCTCCGAGCTGACCTGGACTTTGTGTCAGCCCAGGTTTCCAAGGGGGAAGCCTGCTCAGTCCCAGCGAGCCCAGAAAAGCCGCTTAACGAGTACGACATCCTCCACCAACCGAACAGGTACCGCGAAATGCCCGGCGGGAGATCCCACCACAGGTTCAAGGGTGGCAGCACAGGTAGCATCGCCATGATCTCGACCCCTACCCCGACTCCCTTTTGGAACCCGTCTGCTCCATCGTCACTCCTCGTCTCGCACATAGGGGATACCCGTATCCTCCTCTGCTCGACTGCGACGGGCCACCCGATCCCGCTGACGACGGACCACCATCCATCGTCGCCTGTTGAAAGTGCGCGCCTACAGCGCTACGCCGCCACCTTTGTGACAGACTCCTTTGGTGAGGAACGCATGAGCGGACTTGCCAACACCCGTGCCTTTGGCGATATCACTAGCAAACGCATCGGTGTCTCCGCCGAGCCTGAACTACGCCGTATAGACATGGCTCCGGGTGAGTATTCGTTCCTTGTCCTTATGAGTGACGGGGTGAGCGGAACTCTCAGCGACCAGGAGGTTGTTGACATTATCAAAGAAGCCAAGACACCAGACCAGGGCGCGCGAGACGTCGTAGCCTTTGCTACCGAGGTCTCTGCAGACGGAGATAACGCAACCTGTCTGGTGGTAAGGCTGGGAGGATGGGAGAGGAGACAGGAGGGCGGCCTGGGCAGCATGGCCACCAAGGAAGCAAGGGAATGGAGGAGTAAAGACGCTGCCGACCCTAGGAAGCGCAGGAGGTGAGTTCTTCTCTTCCCTCCTCCTCACGTCCTTGCATATATTTTGTTTATATCACTGTCTATACCGCTGTCTATACCACGATACACATACATTACTGCATAGCCATATTTTCATAGCATCTAGATATCCGCATTCCTTTCCCCCTTTTTTCCTTTCTATGTATATAATGATCTTTTCAATAGCATGTTGCTCGGCCTTGACCCTCGCCTCTTTATTTAATATTTGCCCCCCTTGCTAAGAAGCTCATCAGGTAAATAGTTCATGTTAAATCATCTTCTCTCCTTTTCCTTTACACCGTAATATTCAATTTGCTTCTTCTGTTATCATCGCTGTCAACTTCTTCTCTCGCGGGGGCCTTTTCAACCAACCAGTTTGCTCCCACAAATAAACAGCATCATCATCAGCATACAAGCCAAATATCCCTCGTTGTGGTCGTCTTCTTGCTCTATTTATAATCATCTTCTCTATCGTTGGTACTTTGCAAGCCTGCCAAGTTGCTTCTCTCCGATCATTCCGTAACTACAGCGAAAAAAAAAATAATGACATAAAAACAACACAACTAACCAACACATCCAAGCAAACGATTTGCTTCTCGGCTCAGCCTTTTTACCGGGCAATCATCCTGCGAACAACGAGAGACTGTGCTTGAAACCCGTCGAAGAACTGAACGCTGCTCCTCCGGCTTCTCTCACTCTCTCACACACACACGCGACCAAACCATGTCCGCTCGCACGAGAAGGCAGAAGGCTGCCCAGCAGGCCAAGGTCGAGGACGAGCATTCAGACTCGAACCCGAACGGAAACTCGAACAAGGTCGCCGAGAAGGCGAATGGAAGTACAGAGAAGCGCGGTGCCAGGCGCAAACGGACGCCGTCGCGGGACGAGGAGCAAAGAGAGAACATCTTTTTGTTCTGGCCCAATATCATCGGTATGCGGCGGACGGGGAGACTTACACCAGCGATAGAGGGCGATGAATGATGCTAACTGTGCTGTATAGGATACGTCCGCATCGTCCTTGCAACCGCATCTCTCTACTACATGCCTCTGCACCCTCGAACATGCTCCATCCTGTACAGCGTCTCGTGCCTCCTGGACGGCCTTGACGGCTATGCAGCCCGTGTCTATAACCAATCCACTACCTTTGGCGCGGTGCTCGACATGGTAACTGACCGGTGCACAACCGCTTGTCTGCTGGTATTTCTCAGCTCTGCCTGGCCTCGATGGGCTATCTTGTTCCAGGGCCTGATCAGTCTTGATCTTACAAGCCACTACATGCACATGTACGCCACGCTCACCATGGGCGGGTCGAACCAGAGCCATAAGAAGATCGATTCTAGCAGAAGCTGGATCTTATATCAGTACTATAACAACAAGGTAGGGCCTTCCATCTCCTCCGCATGTCGCCGTTAGCCCGAAAATCAAGCTAATCAAAGGGCCCAGGCTGTGCTCTTCACCTTCTGTGCCATGAACGAAATGTTCTTCATCGGCCTCTACCTGCTCTCCTTCTCTTCGCCGACTCTATCTCCTTCTCTCCTTCAGCCGAGCTCTGTCCCTATGGCGCAACCGACCACCCTCTTCGCCAACCCGTGGAGCGCCGGAGCCCTCGAGATGGCTCGTGCAAACAAGATGGACAGCTTCTGGCCATGGGTCCTCACAGGTATCTCTGCACCTATCATGGCTGGAAAACAGTTTATCAATATCGTCCAGATGGTCAAGGCCAGCCGCTGGTTGGCAGAAGGCGATATTGCTAGGCGACAGAAGTTGGGCATCGCAAAGTGATATTGTCTACAAAGCATGAGCACAATAGCTGGTGACCGCTACATATTACCCCTGCCCTTCTCTTCTTCTTCTTCTTCTCTTGTCTGCATTTTTATCACCTCCTTATCACACGCACACACTTAATCATTTTCACGGAGTTTTCTTGCTGGCCGGAAAAATGCTCTTATCTATATACTACATACAATAACCTCCAAGCCCTACGTTCCTTGTCGCTTCTTCTCTTCCCTTTGTTAATTTTGTCCCCATTCTACAGACTTTCTTCTCTGTGATATTTTTTATTAACCCTTCCATTTGCCTCCTTGTTTCTGCTTTGATATGAGTCGCCAATTCGCTTTCTTCCTGTTTATGACCTTTTGTATTAATAGCATTAGAGCCCTTAGGATAGGGCGAGGACTAGGAATTGGTTCTAAGCTGATGTGCTTATGTATCATGTTTTGCATTCTCAATCTATCACTCACTACTTTATCAATCTACGGCCAGAGGATAGATATTAATATTAATAGTATTGATTCACATGAGCCGATTTTCCTGGCTAGGTGATATCTTAAGATGTTTAGCTATTTTCTATGGTCAAGCAAAATTGATAATAACTCCATGTCTCGCGTATGTAGAAAACAAAGAAAGGGAGGGGGCCGCTCGTAACAATTATGTTAAAAAAAAGGTCGGTTTCATTACTCCGTACAGGGGTCATTTCTTGCTAGTTTCCGGCTTGCGTCCATATACAAAGTACCTATATCGAACCGTCAGCTATACCCTATGGTTAAGGAAAGATTAGAAAAGTTGGGTTGTCTACTCACATAGGCCAGTAAACGTGCAATTTCCTATCCTTCACGTCCCTCCGAACATCTACCAGGAATGCCTCGACCTGTTCCAAGGACCAGCCCAGCCCCCGTGTGAACGGCCCTATGCTCCACGCCTGGAGACCCTCGAGCATGTTCGTCATCGTCCAGTTCCCGATCTCCTTCAGCTTGGGGTCCTTTGCCCACGAGTTCAGAGGCCACTTGTGTAGTACTTCAACGACATCGACGAACCCAGCCTCTTCCATGCGCTTCTTATGGCTTTTCGCGACATCCAGGGGCCGCTCAAGCTTCGCGCATGCCTCTACACATGTCCTAGACCATCTGTCGAGTGGATGGTCTGGCGTCAAAGTGCCGTCGTCAGACCTCAGGGGGAGACAGATATCTTGCATTTCAACATAGCCGCCTGGTTCAAGGTTTCTGCATTTTTTTAGCCATTAGCATGGTATATATCTATGTTGTTATCGGCTTGGACAGTGTTCTCACTCGTAGCATTGGATGTAGAAGCGGTCCCAGTCTTTCAGGGAGCCTGTCAGCATTCGACCGTGAATCAAGTCAAATTTCTGATGATATTGCCATTCCGCCTCAGCATCATCGATCAAGAAGCTCAGGTTCGGAGGGACGCTGTGACGACGGTTAGTTTAGCTAGTACTTATACAGCGCCAGGAGAAAAGCGAGAATACACACAGGCTCGGTTGGATTGGTGACAAGTCAGTACCGATAATCTATTGGAGAGATGAGCTTTTTTGCCAGATTCCAAAGAGCTATTCGCCGTGTAAAGGGACAGAACAGACCTGTGCTGAGGGATGTTCATCGGCTATGAATTCGTCTCTGGTTTCAGCATTGATGCTCAAAACAGGGTGATGCCACGTTCAACATACCAAAATCAAGTGCCCACAGGCCAGTACCAGTACCTAGACATCAGGTATCAATCAATATATATGCCTATATATATTCATGTGAGGCTGTTGACCGGTAACATACCAACATCAAGCACATTCTGGATATTACTTTTAACTGGACATAGACACAGCCTGCCATCTAACGACCGAAGAAAGACTGCATGTTGCATATCTATTATTTAATCTTATTAGCAGCAAGCCAGACAGGAAGGGGGGTCATAAAATAGGTCACCTAGTCGGTCATTCTCTATCTACCAGTACAAACGATAGTTAGCCATTGTGTCAAGATGCGAGAGCTGCATCGAAAACACACTTCATCGTTTGGAAATGGATAACCTAATTTTTGTGTCAGTCACCCTATAGATGCTTGCTGGGATGGACATAAAAAACTCACTGCCTGCTTTGTACGCATGGTATCTTCTGCCGTTCTCCATACGATAGGCGAGGATGCTGGAAGACAGTGAGGTAGAGAGCGTCGACCTACGGACTGTCAATATGATATACATACTACCGTGGAACGGGTGAGACGTACTCATCGTTGCCTCCATAGGCCTCATCGTCCATATCTGTGACCTATACACAGCGATATTCTATCAGTCACCACGGCCACAGTTCCAGTCCACGATCTGCTTATTGTACGTATAGTCATATAGAAGAAACACCTGAGTTAAGATCAAAACGAACCTCGTCTATTTCTATTTGCTGATTCTCGTCCTCAGGCGCCATTTTCATAAGTAACTAGCTCGGCTATATGACAACAAGGAAACCAGGGTCAATATCACAGCCAACAGCAACAAAAAAAAGCGGTATAAGCAAGGGAAGGGTTCATAGCAGCAGCTAGTCCGCGATATATATATATATATAGTTATGTATATAACTATACAAAGCCGTGGCTGCGACGAAAGAACGAGCTAGTCAGCCAAGTCCGCGATCTCTTCCCACCCCCTGGAACCGAGATTGCCCTGCCATTTGCTATGCGGTTTGGAAGATATATACTCTGGATAACAGCCAATATATCAAGGGTCTATGTTTTATGTACTCTTTGACGCGCTCTCCGGCCGCTGAGGCCCCCTGGTTGTGCTGGGCCCACGGCCTCAATCTTCCCGCACAACTCGCATCTCTCGAAAGCAAAGGTGGAATTTGAACTCTACAAGCTTTGTCAGGCTCTGCCACGTATGTTACTCCGTACCATATGTATGTCCCATACATACTTTAGGCGTATGTATGGGCCCCATTCGAACCTTAGCCTGCGTCCCTCCAACCCCGGCAGTGAACAGCCATGAAGCATGTCAACCAGGACCAGATCACACGATGAGCAGCGCCTTTTCATTTTCTGCAGGGCTGGTGGGCCAACGGCCGCTAGCAACCAACGACAATGTGCAGACGGACCGGTTGGGCTTCGCTTGGTAATTTTTTCCCCTCGACTTTTGCGACAGAGTACTGCGGGCGGGTCGCGGACCGTGGCCCAACCTTGATGCAACCCGTCCGTCTCCACCACTCGGAATCCTTCGATGATTTCTTGTCTACTGGGGGACCTACATATCTGCATGGCGTTTCTTTCCATTTCTTCCTCCGTACCCGGTTCAAAGAGTGAGATACATATACTTAAACTACAGGTGACGGAGTATTCTCCACATGCTTCTGGGGTTTGCGGTAAGAAACCCTGCATGGCCGGAGTACGGAACAGTTTCTTATGCAGTTCATACGTGTATAGGACTGTCAAACGGTTCAAGAGGTGTCGTACTGCCTTAACAGGCAAACTCCGGCGCCAGGATGATCATGGTTACAGACGGGCGGTATGAGCGATACATATCTCCAACGGTATATAAATATCCTATCCATGGCCTTATAAAACATGAAATTCACCATCACCGTTCGCAGATGCATTATTGAACCAGGAATTAGAGTTATAGCTAAGGAGCTCCTCTTTAATCGCAATTCTATACTCCGTACTACAACCTATGGTGTTTGAGTAGTGGGTTAGACATACATGTAGCTGTGCAAAGAATGGCTTTACGATTTTAATGCTGTAAACATCTGATCATCAAATATATTAAAGAAAATATTGAATGTAGGAATTATGGGCAAAACATTAGGTCGTTCGTTATAAATGACTGAGGACCTTCAAATAATCCTCTGAGGGAGCATCCGGTACACCTAGTCATCAGTGAGTGCTAGGTATAATGATATAAGCTAGTTTGATATTGACCAGTTATGTCGGATATGCGGGTAGGAGGGTTTGTATCTTTAAGTCGTAAATATGTTTATACAAGGGAGAGGTGTGGTTCTTTAGCTACGTCGAACGGCAGCTAACCCCTGACCTTCAGAAGAAGGTCAGGGGAGAGAGTACTCCGTATATCCATAGATCCATCCATTACATAACTACATTGGCACGTGACTGGAATAACACCTTGGTTATGTACAGTATGTACAAACTGGTCCTTCTATTGCAAATACAGTAATAATAAATAATAAATAATATCTAAATCTGGCGACGCTGCGGACCGAGATTGACCAAAATTTGATTCTGGCGTGCTCTCTCTGTTTGATCGTGTAAGTATTAAGCAAGTCTTTTAAAGAACCCTCTTTCGTACATCTAGACCCAGCCGGACAGGAACTTGATTTTAACTAGAATGCAAACAATGAATTTCAGCTACATCCATCTTCACGCCCTTATTTTTCACATTTTTCCACCCATTCTCTAATGTTGTAGACGAACCGGCGAGCCACTCCTACAGTCACGCCTTGCCTGATAAAGAGTCTGGGTCCTGATCCTCATGAATCAGTTTGAGATCAAGACAGTTTTCGAGCGCTATACCACACGCTTTCTTTATGTCATCTTTGAATCTCCCACTACCCACACGTGTTTGCTGCCAGTTGCTGTATTTTTCCACCGCTACGTCAAGGAGGCCGGAAATATTGATTGGATCGAGGTGCACGGCATTTGAAGATGAGTGTGCGGCTTGAGCCTGGGTGATAGCCGACTCGTCAAGTATAGCTGGCGGAGATTGGGATGGAAGGACATTGATGTTGATTGGGTACGCTGTATGATGGCTGCTGGGTTTTTGTTGCTTCTCGAGCCGTTGTTGCTCCTCTGCGTAGAGCTGGTCGCGGACCATGTCAGGGATATCATCGTGTGTTTCTATAATACCGCCCTGCTCCACATACTTGACCAAGCCCTTCAGGTGATGCGTCCTGAGCTTGTAGTGTTTCTTCCCAACGGGATCTTGCCAGCAGTATTGCCCTGCCACCAGTCCAGATATATCCGATACTGAGCCCCTAGAGATATTTGCATGGGACCGATGGCGACAAGAACCGGTCCAATGTCTCTTTCAAGAAAGAGTGCCGTCTGGTTACTCGGTATGGCCACAAGGGCCTGGGACAGGGGGCCATTTATACATCCTCTTCTCCCCTGGATGTCAATGCAATGCCACGGTCGACCGGCATTGTGAAGGGCTTACATGCAGTAAAAGCATAGGGTCAGGGAGAAGGCTAGGTAGAAGTTGCATGTGTGAACCAGCGAGGGGCATATTTTCCATTGTACTTGGGCGGTTACCCTGCTTGTACCAGGATAGTTGCAGGTGGTGTATGGTTGCACTCCCACACTGCAATGTAGCGGAGGGCACAAAGGTCCGGACTGGGATGTTTTTATGCATGAGCTGTTAGATACATGTCGTTAGTACATGCAGGAATTCATAACCGTAGTGTTGAGGTGCAGGGATAGATAGCCGACTATTCCGTATGGAGACATCTTTCCGCGGTCAGGGGTAGGAGTTTATAATCAAATTTTGCCTATACCTTTGACAATGAATATGCAGCATCATAATATTAGTGGTTTGAGGGCAAGTTTGGACGATTCACCTTGCTGGCATGTTGTCGTGAAATGGACGAAAAAAGCGGATACTGTAAAATTTCCGGGTATTCATACAAAAGTAGCTGAAAGATGGCAATGCGCGAATGGATTGACCAACAAGTCATCTATAGGGAGGTCTAAGAATGAGCGTAAGTAGTTGGTATTCTTAGAACAGTGTTCATCCAACTGATGGACTACATAATTGGCAGGTTATACGTTGTATTATCAACCTGCTGGAAGGTTGTATGTCTTCAGTCATCATCTTTAAACCATTCATCCTCAAGCAACTCTTTAGCCGTAGGCCTATCCCTCCAATCCATCATCATGATCTTACCAATGAACTCCTTGTCCTTTTTGCAAACCTCTTTTTCTGTTGTTCGGCAGAAGGAGGTTGTTTCTGACTGTGGAATCTCTTGCATAAGCCACAGGATTGCGCTAACAGTGATAGGGGGCACTATGTCTTCATATTTCCCCGGAAATGGGCCAAAATATCGAAATTGCTGCTTGAGGACTTCTAGTCCGTACTCTTCATGGCCATATGGGACAGTTTTGGGGCGGAAAAGGTTGAAATTTCCTCCATATATCAGGCCTATAAGCTATATCCTAGTCGATTAGCACTAATTAAAGGCGTTTTGTTTGTAACCAAGGGTATCAAAGTACTTGCAATAGCCCCAAATGACCATATGTCTGTTGCTGTATTCCAGGGAGTCTCCATGATCACCTCCGGACTACTCCACATGGGTGCACCAACTGGTGTCCCCTTTTTTGCCCACTCCGAGTCCGCAGGATAGGCACCGCCGAGGTCACCGAGCTGGACGTCTGAGAATCGTACATCATTGGAGGCATGTTTGTTGTAGTTCACAAAGATATTGTCGAGTTTGACATCTATGTTAATAAGCTTAGCACAGCTGCAAATTAATGGTAGAATAATTGATTCACCAACCTGTATGCACATATCCATCTTCATGAAGCGTCTGCAATGCCTTGAGGACCTTTTTTGATATGTATTTCAGCTCTTTTCTGTTCAAGGTCTTTTCAATAGATGCGTTGAGTAAGTGATTATCAAGGTGTTTCAGCACGATAATCGTAGGGTCTGATGGATCTTGAATCTCATCAGTTAAACGCCGTAAGAAGGGGGTTCGGTCCTGGAAGCGCTTCAGAACATCTCGTTCATTTTCCACGCGAGGATGGCCGTGTACTCCTTTGATAACAACGGTTTTCTCGGTCTGATCTCTATCAAGAGTGAGTATATGGACTGTCCTGCTTTATAATATGCTTAAGACCTTACTTTGCAAGCCATACAGTCTCCTGGATCTGCTTGGTGATGGTGTATTTCCCCAGACTTCCTCGAAGAATCTGGCCAAGCCGGAGAAGCGAGGACGACATGATCATGGAAAAGAATGAAGCGAGGACGACATGATCATGGAAGAGAATGAAGTTTTCTCCTGAAATGTCTTGTAGAATTCGTATGTATCCCAAAGGTTACATACAGAGTACTACTCCGTACAGGCAGGAAAAGACAGGCTTGGAAGAAGTTCTGGGTTTGCTGGCCCGGGGCCGGCGTAACCTTCCAAAGTTGAACCTTAGGCCTAAACGCTTAATTTACAGTATATTGTAGTCAGGTGATATTGTTAAATGACTAAGCAGATACTTCCCCTCTTTGGCAAAAATACAGATGACTAAGAGGCTGAAATACAAGATACTTGAAACTTACGCAGAATAACTAATAATAGCAAGATAATAAATACGTACTAGTATTAAATACCGGATAAATATAGTTGCCAAACTCTATGAAACTTTTACAAACAGTGCAAACTACCCCGGTTGAGCCGCGAGCCGATGATCGGAGTGGGACCGCCGAGGTCGGGCAGGAAGTGGGATAAAGCTCGAAGCAGATATTATAAACATGCATCATAAGATGCGACAGACGAAGGACCAGGGAGAAGAAAAGAGGCATCTACTCTGTACAGGTTTCTCCTCTTTCATAAGTATAGCAATTATTTTCCTCCGAGACACTACATTGAGTTCACCATGGGCAATTATAACATCGTCGTCTTTGCGGGGGACTGCTGCGGCCCAGAGGTACGTTGCTCCTCCGTGAGCAGTAGATGCGTGCTAGCGATAAGGTGCTAATGGATGGTTTCTTGGGGCATTACAGGTCACTGCAGAGGGCATAAAGGTGTGCGGTCTAGGCTTCTTCAAGGGGAAATGAGATTGCTAAAATGGGCCGTTGAATTAGGTCTTGAAAGTTGTTGAAAAGAAAAGACCGGAGATACGGTTTACCTTCCAGGACCATTTACTAGGCGGAGTGAGTCGTCAGAAACCAACGGTCGAACTTGAGAGACGCCCACTAACCAGCTGTCCTGGATGCCGGCTTGCTAGGCTTCGATTGATGCGGCTGGAACGGCTCTTACGGACGAAGCCCTCTCCGCCGCCAAGAATGCAGATGCCGTGCTTCTCGGAGCGGTTGGAGGTCCCAAATGGGGTACGGGGGCGGTTCGTCCTGAGCAAGGAATCCTCCGCCTGCGTAAAGAGATGGGGACGTTTGGGAACCTGCGGCCCTGCAACTTTGCTGCTCCGTCGCTGGTCGACATCTCCCCTCTCAAGGCCGAGGTATGCCGTGACGTGGACTTCAACATCATCCGCGAGCTGACGGGAGGCATCTACTTTGGCGAACGACGGGAGGACAACGGTGACGGGACCGCCTGTGACACAGAGCCGTACTCGCGGACGGAGATAGAGCGGGTCGTTCGCCTGGCCGCGCATCTTGCTCTCCAGCATAGCCCGCCCTTGCCCGTGTGGAGTTTGGACAAGGCCAATGTGTTGGCCACGAGCCGTTTGTGGAGGAAGGTTGTGACCGAGGTCATGGACAGGGAGTTCCCGCAGATTACATATGGACACCACCTGATTGACAGCGCGGCTATGTTGATGGTGAAGAACCCTCGTGCCCTCAACGGGATAGTGGTCACCAGCAACCTGTTTGGCGACATCATCAGCGACGAGGCTAGCGTGATTCCTGGTTCCCTAGGCTTATTACCCAGTGCCAGCCTGAACGGCATCCCAGACGGCAAGACCAAGGTCAACGGCATATACGAGCCTATTCACGGTATGTACTTTCCTCCAACGACAAATACTATTTCAGTCCTAACTAAATGGCGGGGAACAGGCTCCGCACCAGACATCGCTGGGAAGGGTATTGTGAACCCCGTTGCTATGATCCTGTCCGTGGCAATGATGCTGCAGTTCTCTCTCAACCGTCCGGAGGAGGCCAGGGTAATTGAAACCGCGGTGCGGAACGTAATCGAGAGCGGAGTCAAGACCGGTGACATCGGCGGCAAGGCCACGACGAAAGAGGTTGGGGATGCCGTTGCTGCAGAGGTTGAGAAGCTGCTCTCGTGATTATCCTGCGGCCTTGTAAAATAATAATAGAACATTCTATGGTGTGGCCGTGAGTAGGTAGAACGTTACTATGGCGTGGGCTTGAGTAGGGTAGAACATTACTATGGTGGCCTTGAGTAGGGGTATTTGATGGGACAAACATGTGTATCCATATTAGCTAGGCTATGTATGAAGGGTATCAATAACAGCATCGCCTTCCACAGAGAGAGAGTGAAAGTAGGAGGATCATCTCAGCTCTGGCTCCATCATCCAGTCCTCCTCGTCGAACCTTGGAGCGCTGTCGGGCTCCTGCTCGCCATCGTCGGAGTGTAGCATGCCGGCCCCAAGATCGTGGTGGAGCAGCTTCTGGCCGTTATCCGCCCTGCCCATGCGGGCGTAGTACCTGTCGTCTCGAGCAAACACCTGGAACCCGCGGACATGCGTATCCTTCCCGTTCTGGTGGTTCTCGCACACCTTTACCTGCAGGACCATCAGCTTCAAGACGTTACCGTCCGACGGATCGTCCCCGTCCTCGGGCCCGTCGTACGCAGGGCCGTCGCTGTCGGTTTCATCGTCGGACTCCGACCCGTCGGACAGGGCAGGTTTCCTGGTTCGTCGTCTCTCCGTCCGGGCGGGCCGACTGGCTCTCTGGTGTCTGCCTCCGACCCCGTCCAGGCTGATGTCGACCCATCCGCAGGGCGTCTCCCCCTGCCATGTGGCGAATTCCACGAGGTCGTTGCCGCCCATGCCGGCCAGGAAGACCATCTTGGTAGGCGTGTAGCTCTCGTCCAGCTCAAAGTCGAGGTAGACGCGTATCCGGACGATGGAGACACGCTTGAAGAAGTGCAGGGCGAGGGTGTGCGGCTGGGGCCCGTCGGACTGCCAGAACTGGTTGGGAGACGGGTTGCGGAGGGCGGCCACACCGCTGCCGGGTTTGTATGTCGAGACGGTCCATGACGCGAGCGACGAGATCTCGCGCAGGTTGGGCGGAACGGGGGCTGAAGCGTGTCTCTCTATGTCTTCTATGTCTTCTATATCTTTGTAAGGAGTTAGCGTTTGCTCTTGGACGGTACACAGTACAACGATACGAGACACACCCTCGTAGCTCTGGCCTTCGACGGCTGAATCGTCCTCGACGGGATCGTCCTCGACGGCTGAATCTTCCTCGACGGGATCGTCCTCCTCGTCCTCCTCGTCGTCCTCGTCCGACCCAGGCGTCACCGGCTGCTGGCCGCGGGCCCTCTGCTGCGGCGTATACGACGGCAAGAGCTGCGGGATCCTCGCCGTCGAGACTGAGGCGCCGTCGCCAGAGGGAAAAGCCGCGGACGGTGCGTGCGGGCCACGGCGCGGCATGGGTATGTATCTGGTCGGTCTATCAAGGCTGGTCGAGGATATCAGTCCAGCGTCTCGTCAACTTCTACACCTTCAGGCTGTACGTAGTATGGGTTGACACGCAAAACGCACTGCCTGGCAGCCTCTAGCAACAAGTCAGCCCGGCTAGCTCAATCGGTAGAGCGTGTGACTCTTATAAGCCAGTTTTATACTAGTTCGCCATCACAAGGCTGCGGGTTCGAGCCCCGCGTTGGGCTTTTTTTTTAGTTTACTGTTACAGTTATAGACGTTGATTATAGTGTTTGTAGACGTTGATTATAGTGTTTGTAGACGTTTGATTATAGTGTTGATTATAGTGTTGATTATAGTGTTGATTATGTTGATTATAGTGTTGATTATGTTGATTATAGTGTTGATTATAGTGTTTGATGTTGGTAGACGATGTTCTAATGTATAGGTAGTCAAGGCTCGGCCAGCCTCGATGCGGCGTGGCGGAAGAAGACTCGCTTCGCCCATTTCCAGGCCTCGACGCCGAGGAAGAAGAGGGCGGACTCGACGAAGACGATGCCCCATTCCCAGGAGATGCCGGTGTGGCGGAAGACCCGGTGGTTGATGACGGGGACGTAGAGCAGCGGGAAGACGGTGACGAAGCCCGCGATGACGGCCCAGAAGAGGAACCGGTTGCGCCAGACGTCGTGCATCCACTGCGTCAGGTACCGCGTCGAGCCAGGCTGCATGCGGAAGAAGCTGCGGCGCAGGCTGACCATCTCCCACGCCAGGAAGAGCGCAAACCACGTCAGGCAGACGAACGTCGTCGCGCGCGCCCGGAAGACGGTGTCGCACGCCGGCGTGTAGTCGCGGTTGCAGTGCGTGCCCAGGTCGCCGTCGCCGAACCCGAACATCACCAGCGAGAACGCGGACAGGCAGAGCGCGGACATCCAGAGGCCGTACGCCAGGATGTCCACGATGACCTCCCAGGTGAAGATCCCCTGTTTCTATATATCGTGTTAGCTGGATTGTCAGGCGGGCTGGAGAAGGGGACTCACGCTCTGGGGCGGCCGGTCCATGATGTCCGGGGCGGCCGCCTCCATCCCAAGGCCCATGTCGGGCATGCCGGACGTGATCATGATGATCCACAGGATCTCGACCGGCGCCAGCGGGAAGACGGACTGGCGGTCGTTGTCCTTGAACGCGAGGCCGATCAGCAGGGTGCACGCCTGCGCGATGTTCTCCGCCAGCAGGTGCAGCACAAACTTCTGGATGTTGTCGAAGATGCGCCGGCCCTCCTCGACCGCGTTGAGGATGGACGCGAAGTTGTCGTCCGTCAGGACGATGTCCGACGCGTCCTTGGCCACGTCGGAGCCGCTCTGGCCCATCGCGATGCCCACGTCCGCGCGCTTCAGCGACGGCGAGTCGTTCACCCCGTCGCCCGTCATGGCCGCGAACCTGCCCCGTCGGTGGAGCGCCTCGATCATGCGGACCTTGGTGTGCGGCGCGCACCGCGCGATCACCAGCGGCAGCGTCGGGAGGCGGTCGATCTCCTCGTCGGACAGCCGGTCGAACTGGCCGGCCGTCATCACCATCGCCTCCGCCACGTCGCGGGCCACCATGCCCGGGTCCGCGGGGATGATCCCGACCTGCGCCGCGATCGCTCGGGCCGTTCCCGGGTGGTCGCCCGTCACCATGTGGACCGAGATGCCGGCCTTGTAGCACTCTTCGATGGCGCCCGCCGTCTCCGGGCGGGGCGGGTCGTAGAGGCCGATCAGCCCGCGGAACTGCAGCTCCCTCTCGACGTCTTCGCGGCGGATGTCGACGCCCTCCGCCGCGTGGGCGGCGGGCGTGTACGGCCGGCTGGCGAGCGCAAGCACGCGGAGACCCAGCCTGGCCAGCGCCTCCATGTTCTCCAGGATCTCGTCGCGGACGGCGTCGGTCATGGGGACCGCTCCCTCGCCCGCGTCCATCACCACGGTCGTGCACGCGTCGACGATGCGCTCGACCGCGCCCTTGGTGAAGACCATCTCCCTGTCCTCCGACTCGGTCAGCTTGCGGAAGATAACCGACATCTTCTTCACGTCGGAGTCGAACGGGAACTCGGCCCGCTGGTGCCATATCGCCCCCTCGCCTTTCACCCACCGGTCCCTGTTCCAGTTGAATCTCGACGCAAAGACCTGGATCGCGATCTCGGTGGGCTCGCCCCGCGCATGCCATTCGTTCCCCTGGCTTTCGGATCGGTAGACGTGCGCCAGGTTGGCCATGGCTGCGACGTTCAGGAACTCTTCGAGATGGGCCTTCCCCTCCAGCAGCTCGTCCGGGTGGACGGGCTCTGAAGTCTTTTCCCCGTCCATCTTGGCCGGCGGAAGCGCGTCGAGGCTGATCTCCCCTACCTCGGGGTTGAAAGGCTCGTTGGAAGTGCCCACCGAGTACGTCCCTATCGATGGGATCCAGGCCTTCTTCGCCACCATCTTGCCCTGCGTGAGCGTTCCCGTCTTGTCGGAGCAGATGTTCGTGACGGCGCCGAGGGCTTCCAGAGAATCCAGCTTTCGAACGATAACGTGTCTCTCCACCATCCTCTTCGTGCCCACCGCCATGGTGATCGTCAAGACGACCACCAGGCAGGCCGGTATCATACTAAGGCCCGTGGCAACGGCGTATATGATGACCTCGTTGTTGCTGCTCCATTTATTCGCGCTCATGACGACGATGGCAAACAGGACTGCTACCCCGAACAGAATAAGCGCCAGCTTGGAGAGCTTTCGTTGAAGCGGAGTTCCAACATTGACCCCGAGGAACCTTCCGACCGCATCAGTGCCGGTCAGAGCCCATGCTTGAACGTACCATCGTTTCTTCGTCTCGCCGCTGGGCCCGCGCTTCACCGGCCTGCGTTTGCTGTCGGAAGCCCTGAGAGCGGCGGCAATAGAGCCAATCTCGGTGGCCATGCCGGTGGCAATGACGACTCCGCGGGCACGGCCACGAGTGACGGTAGATGAACTATACGCGATGTTCAACCTATCTCCTGGGCCAACGTCCTCCTTGAAAACAGCATCACAGTCTTTCTGGACAGGGAGCGATTCTCCGGTAAGCAGAGCCTCGTCAGTCTCAAAGTTTACCGCCTCAACAAGCCTGCCATTCATAAGAAAAAAGGTACTCCGTTAGCCGGTACCCGATAGATGGTAATGTAGCTCCAAAACATACCGAAGATCAGCGGGAACAGTGTCACCGGTCTTCAATTCGACCATATCACCGGGAACAATGTCAACGGAGGGAACAACTATAGTTCGCCCATCCCTTGAAACCGTCCCGGTGGGCGAACTCAGCGAACGGAGAGAATCCATAGTCTTTTCCGCAGCGTATTCCTGGAAGAAGCCAACCACGATATTCAACACGATAACAGCAGCAATAACACCGCCTTCAATCCAAGATTGGATTCCAAAACTCACGGCCATTGCCATGATCAAGACCTACTCCAACAACTGGATCAGACTGACAAAGTTCCCATAAAGAAGGGGGGGGGGTAGAGTAATGGGCCGCTTAACTAGCATCATGGCATTGGCAACTTGACGGACAAGGATCTTGACGACCGAAACGCCTTCACCTTCGTCGAGCTTGTTCTGGCCATATATAGTGAGACGGGTTTTTGCCTCCTGGGTGGTAAGGCCGTCATCCGCATTGGTGGTTAGCTCCTGAGTGACTGCTTCTGCCTTGAGGCAATGAGCCGGGAGAGAGAGGGCTGCCAGGCCAGGCCTGGTGCCTGTAGCCGAATTCTTTTCTCCCATGCCGGGAGAAGAAAGGGTATGACGGGTAGAATTGGCTAGTTGAGAAAGGGAATCAACTAGGAGTCAAGTATATGTCCTCTTGGATCCTATCCAGGCTATGACTGTTGCCCTGCAGTTGAGAGATTCCCGCCGTTTGAAAATGGAAAGTAGGGAGAATGGTGATATATATGAAGACTGAGGGATCCATCTGCCTTATATACATGTCCATTGCCTCGGGGAGAAGGACGCCTTGCCTCCATCTTACCCACACTTTTACTCCAAAAAAAAAAAAAATCCCTTGGGAGATTAAAAGTGCCTTGCTTGGGTAGCAGGATGGTAGTGGCCGATGAGCCAACGCCCAGAGTTCACCAACAGTTCGGCTAAATTCTTTGCCATGGCCATGATCCCTATCTGCCCTATACGACCTCCGCCTTCCCCACCCTTCCGCCCATCAGCGAAAGAGCGTCGAGCTTGGTGGCAAGCGACCCATGGCGGAGAATGATGCCAAGGGATCCCTTGGCCACAGTGGTGAAGTACCCTTGGCAATCTGTCGAAGAAGCAAATTAGATCTTTTCTTTGGAATCTTTTGGTGGGCTCAAGAGACAGCATGGTTGAACTGCTGCCGGACGGACAGAAAATTGAGCTGCATGTCCATATGCCCGGCATCAACCGGTGAGCAAGTTTCCCTAAATCCTACATGGCGATAACCCATATTCTAGTTCCTAGTATATGGAACCGCGATTGCTGCAATTGCGGAGAACAGAGAGAGATCTTCCATTAGACCGGGGTCTAGAGGTTCTTCGTCTGTGTATAGATGTGATACCAATAGATCCGAATACCCGAGTAATTTAGCTGTGACGGTATAAGAAACAATCCTTGAGATTATGATCTCATCGTGGAAGTTTCTTTTAATATCTGGAAAGGCCAAGAGCACCGCCGATGACTAATAAATGAATGCCGGGACGAGGATGATATTTGGAGGCTTAGCCGGTCTAGGGTAGAGAAAAGGAAGAAGATGGGTAGATTTGTATTCTACGGTCAAACGTCTGTAAAGGAAACCGCCGAATCGCTGATACTATACATAATGTTAGATGCACATCGCTAAGTGGAAATAGCCAGTTCAAATGCACCAGGTGCTGAGGTCTGTCTTTAGACAACAACTTCTCCCAATGCCTCGCCATACTTTATCCGCTGTCCCTTTTTGATATGCCACCGCCATCCTCCTTCCCGCTCGCCCGTCCAAGAAACATCGAAGCTCTGGCGGTTGCCCATCGGCGCCTCGAACACTAGGACTATAGAGCTTCCAAGCTGGAAGCCTCCCATCTCCTCTCCTCGCTGTAGAGCATGGCCACGGAGCGTCTTGCTGGCGTGCCCGTATGTTGCTTCGGTATAGCCGGAATAAGGCTCGCCTCGTTGTGCAGCAAGAGCAGCCTGACGGTCGGCAGCGGTGTCGGTTGTCAGGCTGTTGGTGCGAAGTTCGGCATCGAAGTTGATCTTGATTGAACCGACGTTGGTTGCACCGACGGGCGTGAAGCTGAAGAAACCCCAGCGCCAGCGTCCTAATAGCACAACTCGTTCGTTGAGTGTGAATAGGCCGGCCAGGGTGCGTTGCAGGTAGGGAGAGACTGAATAAAGTTCCCCCGCAAAATGACGCCGGCTTTCGACAACCCACGAAGCTGGCGAGTGGAATCTATGGTAGTCCCCTGGCGCGAGGTAGATAACAACATAGTACAGTGCTCGGTTGGACGTTGGTCTTGGCGAATACCATGCCGGTTCTCCCTTGGCAAGATCTGCCTTAACTTTCTCTTCAGAGGTAGAGCTCGATTCCGTAGATGCGTCCATTGAGCCATCTTTATCAACATTATGCTTCGTAGATCCGGAGAGAAGCGTGGGTAACGTGTAGCTTAGGCCGTTCATTTTGGCAAACTCCTGGTCCGCAGCAAGATTTTCGGGATCTGTGTCGTCGTCTACTTTATGCATGGGCCTCGTCGTGGGATGCACAGGTTCAGAATCCGGGCTTGCGGTTCCCATCCCGAGCAGTGCCTCGAGGCTATAAGTCATTCCTTTGACCTGCTCGACCTCTCCACGCTCGATCATCCCAAACTGGAGGATGCGTCCGTCAGAGGGCGAAAGGAGGGCAGACGGGTTAGGATCCAGAGGCCTCACTCCTGGTTTCAGTCTCCTGTAGAAAAAGGAGGCTAGATTGGGGTATACGTGAAGGTCAGGCTCCTCAACCTCGTCCAGATTCACTCCGAATATCCAAGAATAGAGCTTGAATCCTGGAACCCGGAGAGGATATGGCAGGACAAGCTCGTTGAATCGGCCCCATATGCGAGACACAAGCTTCAGCGGCAATGTAGACATAACCTGGACCTGCCATGGACCCGTTGGACGAACCCGCTGTCTGGGGACGACTTCCTGGGGCCGCTCCCCCCGTTCAGCCTCCATCAACATCCTCTGCTTCTCAGCCTGCTGGGACTTGTAGAACTGCGCGAGCCCAAGGAATGCAATACCAAGTCCCACAGGAATAGGATACCATTCGACTTTGGTCTTGCGGAGTGCAGCTCCAAGCCTCGACCGAAATGATTCCTTTCCATTACCGCCTGGTTTTTGTCTGTTACCCTGGGACTCCTGGTTTCTCTGATGTCTCGATGACGAGAACTGTCTCCCTGGGCCTGCTGGATATCTTCCACTGCGTCTGGCTCGTGGAAACCCACCGGCAAAGGCGTTCCAGGAGCCCTGCCGGAGACTGCCCCTGGCCATGGGACTCTGCCTAAACATCGCCTCTCCCCATAAAATCCTTCAAACTCTCAACGTAACTGTATGGCTTGCTGAAACTCCTTTTCCACGTTCTCCTCTATAGTACCGTTTCTCTCTTCTTACCAATGATATATATGTCCTCTTCTTCTTTTTTTTTTTAGTTTCTTCTTCTCAGGTTTGCAAGTTTGATATCAAGAAAGAAAAGAAACTTTATGCTTATCTAATACTCTATCGGAATAGTATTATTCCTTGCCGCGAGAACTTCCTTGGCCAAATCCGGTAATTCACAACTTCTCGACATCTTTTTGGTGGTTTTTTTCTCTTTCTCGACTTCATCTTCGTTGTTTCTGGCTCAACCAAGGACGAAGCTGCGAGAATGTCACTCTCAACTCGTTACGGCATCTAACCCGGTTGAGCTATAGCTATAAGGCGACCACCAGCTGAAGCACATGAGCCGTTTTGGCGATCTGTCCAATAACTTAATGGGCTGTTAAGTTGATTGCTCTCTTAACTATTTTGCTGATAAGTAGCGAACTCCAGGGCCTTTTGAGACCAGCTGTGTCTATTGCTTGTGCTCTGAATATAATACTATTTGTTTTACACCTGGGGAAACTATGCTATAGCAGCCGCTGGCATATTATCATGCTCTTATCCTGACTTGTTTTGCGGGGCTGCGTTTAAGTCTGTGACACACCGAGGCTGGTTACCATCCACTTTATCGCTGCTACAGCGATATAGGACGGCTTCGACCTCTGAACGAAAATGACATCGAATACGACTATCCCAGGATTGGGCTCCAAGTCTCATCCAGCTGATGTGGACGGCCAACCGATCGTGCTCCATGTTGTTTCACCCTCATTCGACGCTCAACGGCGCATTACATTTAACGACCTCCCTCTATCTACTACAATATCAGAAGTCAAAGCCAAAATCACCCAAGAACTGCCGAGCAGACCGCCTCCAGAGAGCCAGCGGCTCATCTATCGGGGGAAGCCCTTATCGGACAACAATCAAGTCTTGAAGCACATAGTTGAGCCATCGGATGTACGCCACGCCCTTTTATTTTCTCAATTAAGTGTACGCCTGACTAACTCTGAAGTTCTTGATATAGACGCTTGTATACTCGATGCACCTTGTATTACCACCTTCCACCTCCTCGATTCCTACCTTCAAGCCAAGAGGAGCCTCCTCTGCTTCCGGCGTTCTATCAGATAACGACACACGACCCAACACCTTGAGGTATCGAAACTCTCAAGGAAGCATTGAAATCGCGCCTAGAAATCGGACTGCTGGACAGTTTACCCCGCTACAGGACCATGCTATTTCTCGTTTAAATGAGGAAGAACGCACACAGAGTCAGAGCCAGGAACGATCGCCCGTTAACACCACTACCCTGTCACATCATTCTCACCAATTCAACCCTACCACTGGTATATGGGGAAGGATAGGCCAGAACACACTCCAAGATTCGCGCGTCTCACCCACCACCTTTACCTCACCACAAAATTTAGGCTCAGTTCCACCAGTTAGAAACCCTCTTGCACCCAATCAGCCGCTAAACCAACCACTACGACCTCTTTCAGACCAGCCTCTCCAACATTTAAGATCGCATAATGGCTTGTCGGAAGCTGCTCTACCTGTACAGCGCACCGCCAGTCACCCGCCGACCCAGCCCGCCCAAAACCATCGGACATCAACATCAACACTTGATTCGGAAAGCAGGAGATACCAACTAGGGCTTGTAGTACGGAATATCATCACCATGGAGAGCCAGCTACAGGCAGGAATTATTCCCAGAGTCGATGAAATATCAGCAGCTCGTAGCCAGCTGTACCAACACCTCGATCAACAACATCGCAGCCTCCTCGAGCCTCGGGATGTGCCGATAGAGGGATGGATCATGCGGGTATCGACTCTGGCTACTCGTGCAGACCAGCTACGACTTTTGAGAGCTAGAAATTTGAACTCTACTTCCTCTCAAAGAACATCGCCAACCACCTTGATGACGTCCAACATTTCTCGTCACACTCCGTATTTGGTAGTCTCTCCATCCGGGTACCAGGGTGTCTTACTGCCTCCAACAGATTTGCTACCTGCGTCTATTAGCAGAGCTACTACCACCCATTTCCTACCGCCGGCTATACCATTTACTCCCAACGGCATAACACGACATATAAATGTCAATCGGCCATTGAACCCCGATCTCTTACGAGTACGACGCCGACATAGTGTAGTTATAAGAGGGGCTACCCTTGTCAAAGTCGTTAGAGCGTTATGGCTGTTCATCCGACTCTACTTCTTTTGCTACATTTTAAGTGATTCCGGAACCTGGTTCCGTGTTTTTCTTGTCACCCTTTCCATTGCCTGGGCCTGTCTCTCTGAGACCGACATCCCGCAGCAAGTCCGGAGAGCAATCTTCAACCCTCTTCGACGTCAAGTTGAAGGCCTATTACCAATCCAACCGGGTCTGACCCAACCGCCGCGCAGGAGGCAAGATCATGAGAATGATCTACAGGGAAGGAGAGCTTCACGAGCTTTCCCCCGAGACCACAACGAAGAAGAACCTCAAGGCCGCAACGCGCAGACGGGAATTTTGCAAAGAAACAGAGGCTTGGAGAGGGGGATTGCTCTTTTCTTTGCGTCTCTCATACCCGGAATTAGCGAGCAACAGATTGCCGCGATGAACGCTGCTAATGCTGTTCGGGAGAATGAAGAACGCGCCAGGCAGGAGCAAGAGGATCAAGCGGCGCAACAGGAGCCCGAAGCTGCGGCAAATGAAGAGCTTAATCCGCAAGCTGGACAAACAGAGGGCCACCATAATGGAGAGGGCCAACCACCAGAGCTATAACTAGATTAGCCTACTGGCCATTCGATCACTTGGTTCTCTCCTATATTATCTGCCTTTTACATTAGCTGCCTTGTCGCCTTTTTAATGATTTGTTTCTTTCTTGGTTTACTATGCGGCTTTCCAGTTTATACCCTTCGACAGCGTTTTGGCGTCGTCTTTTTCTGCTTGTATAATATTTAACTAGACAGGATTCATATTGTAAATGGTTCATTCATAGACAAGCAGACAACTATCATAATCTCTATCGGCTCGTCGTGCTGTTAGTGTCTATAAGCCGTATGCTCCGTACAGTGTTATTGAATTTTTGATAGATCTTGGGGGAACCTCGAACCTCGGCACTTCTGATCATTGGTAGAACTAGAAACCGCATTTTGATATCTTTCACCTTCTCATCATTTTCCCCCGCGAAATTGTTACGACCGTTAAAGCGCAATAGCCAGAGCATCGTTAAGGCAAAAGGGCTGTATACTTGGTAACAATCTGGCCTCAAATGCCCCTTGATACAATCTATTTAACCAGGCATGGCGTGAGTCTTCAGTAGCTATATCATCTTGTGCAGCGTTCCTCCGTTTCTCTCCTTTATATTGACAACCAGAATAACCCATTCAGCTCCGTCTAAACTGGTCCATAGACCTCTCGACAGGGACTTATCATGCCCATTATCCTACTCCGACCGGTATACCCGTCGACCCGACCCTAACTGGGCCTGGCGTTAAGCAGTCGCACGAGCTTGCATCGCATGTTAGCAGTGCAGAGTTCAAGCCGAAGCCGTGCAGGATATATAGCAGTCCATTTTATCGCTGTCTACAGACGATTCAACCGACAGTAGAGGCACTGAAGGAACTTCAAGAACACGAAAAGAAAGCCCACGTTGATTTAACTGTCAGGGTAGAGAACGGACTTGGGTATGTTGACTTCATTATTGATATACATCTTTAGTGTACAGAAAGAAATAGAATTGAGCCGACTTTACTACAGAGAATGGTTTGGATCTACGTCCTTCTTCACTCACCCATCGCCTGCATCATTTGGCGTCTTGGATCCGTTGTTCCCTGCGCTCATCTCTCCATCATATGCGGCACAAGTTTACCCAAACCCAAGTGGGGAGACGATATCCGAACTCCACGATCGTGTTGCAACGACACTGGAAACCATCATTGCGGACGTGGATGACGAGATGCGGGAGTATGAACGGACACACCCTGAAGCTGCTCAAGAGAGCCATGCGATCATCATATGTGCGCATGCTGCCCCATTGATAGCCATGGGCCGAGCGTTGACTGGGAACATGCCAGAGGACCCGTCCACGGAAGATTTCAAAGTCTTTACTGCGGGAATAAGCATGTTTAGGCGAAGACGTAGCCAAAGCCACGATAGTCCAGCACTGTCGCAGAGAAACAATATCCATGGAGGAGGCAAGTTGACAGCTTCAGGGAAGACGATACCTCTATGGCGCGGCGGCAGTGGTGTTGGCGGTGGGTGGGATTGTGTTGTGAATGGGGCATGCGGATATCTAAGTAACGGAGCCGAAAGGGGCTGGTATGTGATTCACTTTAACGCCTACATCTTGAATTCTCAATTGCTAACCAGTTGTCGTTACATTACCAGGCATTTCCATGGTGAGGAGGATTTCAATTCAATGCCTACATCGGGAATAGTAGAGGACTCTGGGTCGAGAGATGATGCTTCTCGGACATCTACCAAACTCTGACACTTATAGAGAAGGCTTACTGCTTGTTATTATATTACTTTAGGTATTAGTTAGAGATATACCCAGTTATAGATTTATCAGTCTAATGTTGCCATTAGATTGAGTAAAGAGAGAATATATGGGCCATTTACTTGGATAGTTATGAGTATACCGTACTGCTTGGTTCCCGCGTTATAGAGTGAGGAGATACAGAAATTCCGGCGTATATTCTTCCTATCCATGATATCAATCTTGGCCAACGATATGCAATGCAGGTATTCTTCCAGTATATCAATATCGAGAATGACTACCGTAAGCTGGGGAAAGTTGGCACGAGAACGGTAAATTCGACAAGGGATAACCATGGCATTTGGAGATCGAGATAAGTGCTGGAAGAATTGTCTCTGACTATCTAAATAGAAAAGCACCATGCTTTAATAAAATGCCGTGAAGAATTGGATACATCGTTACATCGTATAAAATGTATAGCGCCCACTCAGTCACAAAAGCAACGCCATGGTATCCCCCGTTCCGTTATTTGAAACACTTTTGTAATTTTTTCTGGCACCAGAAGAATCAGAATCTAGTAAAAGAAACCGATAACCTTTCCAGCAACGTGCTTGCGACGGGCTTCCTCGTGGTCCATGATACCAGCAGAGGTGGTGAGAACGATGTATCCGAACTGACGGGATGGGAGGAGGCGGACAACCCACTTCTCGAGCTCACGGAGCTGAACGTTGTAGCGGGGAGAGATAACACCGGTCTTGTTCAGGCTATAGACAAGAACTTGTCAGTATGGCATATATTCGGAGGAGTGGAAGGAAAATGAATCCTGGGTACACACCGGCCGTTGAGCTGGATGACGATCTTTCCAGATCGGTGGTCATCAACTTCCTCGAATTCACCAATGTAGCCTGTAGATGATAGGTTTATTAGTAAGAGATAACAAGGTGTGGCGATGAATTAAACGTTGCAAATCACTGAGGGACCAAAGGCAAAAGCTTTGGGACAAGAAACTTGTAAGATCGTCGCCAATATGAAATATTTCAATCTATCGGACACTTAAAGGGCGGACGTTGTAGAGTGGGTTAAAATCGAAACAACCGCCTAGTTATCAGCCCGACGGGGATGGATTTGCGGGTAACATTGTGGGAATACAAGGTGGTAGGAGAATTTTAACGGATCGTTACTCACCGTGCTTCTGCATGACAGACAGGAACTTGACGATGACCTTAGAGCTAGGCCTGATGAGGACCTGGCGCTTGCCAGCCTTCTCGGCGTTGTTGATGGCATTGAGCGCATCGTTCAAAACACTAGTCTTAACCATTTTGGCGGTGTTGTAGAATTGAGATTCTCAAATCGAAAACGGATTTGTTTTGGAGATGAGGTATCTATTGTAGAACTTCCCAAGTCTTTTTTATATCCTGCCGTCTTTATAGTAGAAGACAGGAGGATATAAAAAAGAGATCAGGATTGAACCGAGTTAGCCTTCAGCAGCCTTTTCCGAGCGCAAAGAGTGCCCTTTTCATCATTTTCACCCTTCAACTGTCTCTATTTTGAGAGCAACTGATGAAGAGGAAGAGGGTTCTTCAGCCCGTGCCGTTATACAGAGGAAATGCGTATCATCGCTGAGCCAGCCATGACAAGGAGAGTCTCGCCCTCGAGCCTTGCAACGATGATTGCTTTCCCCAGGCTAGCTAAAAGGGCTCATAAACAAGCAACATAACAAGGAATTCCCATCACATACCTCGAACTGATGAAAACTGGTTGAAGTTGAAAAGTGTTTTTGTCCTCTTGAAGTTCACGAAGAAAAAAAAGATCGAAGTTGAAGATGAAAAAGTTTCCAAGTTGGGAAGTGCGCGCCAAGACTTAGGGCTTTTCTCTTATTGCCCTATTAAGTCACGTGATATATGTAGGAAAGACGCAGAAGAAGAGATAGAAAATGAATAAAAAGGATGATGAAGACGGAGGATGAAGATGAGATGGAGAAGAGTGTTGTCTAAGCGAGCGATATGAATCTTTTGAACATATTCACTGCTCTCTTTGCCATCGTACATATACTTATGTAACCAGACTGCCCGTGGATTAGTAAGCACCTACGGCTCTCTACGAGTACCGCTAGGCAGACGCCAGCTCAAGGAAGCCAAACGATTTAACGGTAGAAAATGCGATGGAGGGTCTGAAAGTACTTGTATCCGTGGAAGCCTGTTGCTTAACTTGGCTGCAGTAACTAGGTTATTCTGAATATATCACTTGGCTGCCCAAAGCCAAGTCTGGTGGTTGAGTATTGAATATTTACACCTCATACCAGTCTAGGATAGCCATCAGGAATGATCAGCCTTGCAGCTATGAAGCCAGATCAAGTGTCCTATTACTGGTGGGTGATTAAAGCGATAAGTTAAATATGGGTGTATGGGGCATGCGTGACATAGGGACCGATAGATGGATTGATAAATAAAGGTGGTGCTGGGGAGGGGGAAAGGGGGGAAGGGATGGATATGTCTAGTCAATGGAAGTAGTAGGGGGTTTGGGGATAGGGGAAGGGGAAGCGTTAGGGGTAGAAACCGAGGAGGAAAACAAATAGAAACACACATCTCTTTCTTTTTCTCCATACACTCCCCTGAAAAGGTACAAAAATAAGGACATTCATATCACTTCTGACCCATGCTCGCTGGTGGAAAATCGAGTACGACTGATAAAAGTAACGAAAAAGAGGGAGAAAGGAAGGGAAGGGACAATGCTATTTCCAAATCAAACCCTTTCTCTACAATATAGCGGGTCTAATTTTTAATAAGATGGATACATGATTTTGGGGGCATACATGATTTTTTGGGGGGACAAGGTAGGGGGACGGAAACCTTTTCAGATAACAAGCTTCGATTGATAGTGATGAGCGTGAACGGGGGGAGGGGGTTGGTGGGCGGGACGGGGGGATGATGTGATGCGGTGCGGTGCGGTGCGATGCTGATAGTTTGGGAACGGCAAGCAGTTAACATCAACTGGTACGGACTGGAAAGCAAGGCAGGGAGTGACGGCATGTCATGCTCGGTGCGTTGGAAGGGTTGTTGGATGAGCTGTAGGCTTCCTGGGTTAACCATTCAATGGCAGCGGCCAACTCTGACTTGCGGCCTTTTTTTTAGAAGGGGAAAGGAGAGGTGGGGGACAAAAATTCCGGCTGCACTTGCGTCGATAGCGGCTCGCTAGAGCTTGTTATACGACATGCCATTTCATAAACGTCACCTAAGACATCGAGGCAGCAGTAGCAAGGCCTATTTGACGCTTGACCTGTCCCCTTGCCCAGCGAGCGGTCTCGATGGTCTGAGGTCCGTACTCGCGGCTGGTTCGGGCCTCTCTTATCAGCGAAGAGACGAAATCATTGCGGAAGAACGATGCGTATTCTCCATTGGGGAAAGCCTCGGCCAAGTCACCGATGACACCCATACTGGCACGTAGTAGGCCTTCGCTGCGAGAGGGCTCCTGTGCCACGAGATGGAGGAGCTGGAAGATTGATTCGACATATGGCTGGAGGATGTTAACGTTAGGGGCACCTTTGTACGCGAGTAAGATACCACCCCAAGCATCCATGATGCCCTCGCGCAAGGAGACTATATAATCAATCATGTCGTAGGAGACGTCGTTACTGGCAGTAACGGCAGAGGCCTGTTGAAGGACCTGTGCGACGACGGAGAGGTAGGTTTCAAAATGTGAGCCAATGGCTTGTGCAATATCACCGAATGTTTCCAGGATGGCGGGCTTTAGCTGGTTAGACAGACTGTTGCTTCGAAGGTTGTTGAGGAGATGGTTCATGAATGCATCGCAGAAGGGCTGAACTTTGTCTCCTAACGAGCGAGTGATGTCACTAACAAGGCCAATGGCCATAGCACAGAGACCGGGCTCTTCCTGGTTGGCGAGAGCGTTGTAGAGGAAGGGGCTGAATTGTTCCATGTATTTGATGAAGTCGGCTTCCAGAGAGCTGGCAAGCGAACCAACGGTTGCGAAGACGGTATCTGGCACACTAGACTTTGGCGGGATAGTAGTCAGCACCTGGAGGAGGACCGTCATGATGCGGTCGGCTTGTGGTTTGATTTCAGCTTCCAAGCGTTGGACGATAGCCTAACACGTCGGTTAGTCTGTAGGTATTCCTTTTAATGATGGTAACAGTTTACAAAATCGTTACGTACCAATAGGACACTAGTTAAGCTAGTCTGCAGCTCTTCCAGAGTGATACGGTCCTCCACGCTGACGACCTGCTGCTGCATGGGGACGGTCTGCTCTAGTCTCTGGAGGATGACATCCGACAATGTTGCGATGATTGGCAGCGAATCGTTAGCGGCGTTGGTCACAAATGAGTTCAGAACCTCGTATGCAGCGGTTCGTAGTTGATTATCCGCATCGGATCTATGATCAAACATAGGTTACAATACTGTATCAGATGCAAGGGGGGGAAAAGGAGTGGACAAACCTCTCAGTGACGGATAAGAGTGAAGTGATGCTGTCCTGGAAATGTTTGCTGAGAGGGTTCGTCTGAGCACCGGCATCACCGGCGAATCGGTCTGCAAGGTTCATCAAAGCCCAGCAGCAAGATCCAGCAATCTTGGGGCTGCTTGCCAGGCCGTTGAAGAGACATGAAATCAGCGGATGCAAGTGCACGTTGACCTCGATGGCGCCAGAGCAGTAGTCACAGATTCGACCGAGAGCGTAGGCGGTTGAGTCCCTGACGTGGACAACCTTATCTTCCATCATGGTGATCATGACAGGCAACGCCTGACGGACAAGGGGGACCAGGGTTTCATGTTCCGGTCCGTCCATGATAGCTCCAAAGGCAGAGACGGCAGCGTCACGGTGGTGCCAGTCTTCGCTGCGCAGATTCTGCTCGACGAACTCGAGGACTGGTCCGACTAGCTCGGCCTGGACGGTCTGAGCATAGAGCTGCAGCGCCTGGTAGGCAGCGCGGGAAACATCGTAGTCGTCATCGCTGGCATCTTCATCTTGGGTGGTCATTAACTGCAGGAGGACGGGGACGACCTCTCGACAGGCAATGCGGGCGAAGCTGAAGAACGGTCTGACCTCTGTCGACCCTTCGGCCTGTGCCTAGGAAGTTATTAACAGATAGCGTGAGATATGAGATAATAAGCAAAAAAAGGGAGGGGGAGGGGGGAGAGAAAAAGAAGAAGACGTACCTGGTTATTATCATCATCGATGGAAAGCTCTTCTTCGCAAACGGTACACCAGAACTCGATAGCAAGCTTGGCCACGTCTTCTTCGTCACTCTTCATACCCATAATCGTTAATCCAAACAGCGCCTTTTCCATATAGAAGCGCATCTTATCATAATAAATGCCCATGATCCTATTCAAGCAGCCGAAGGCACCGGCCTGTATCCGCGTATCCTCCGCCTGTGTGGCCTCGCAGACCACCTGCATGATGTAATTCCGTTCGCCTTCATTCTCGAAATTCGAGCGCACGAACTCGATGGCGTCGCTGAGCGCGGAGATGGCAGCATTCCGCACATCTGGGTTCTGTTCTTCCCGCCGCGCTCCCTGCACGACGGCCGTGAGGATGGCGTTTGAATGTGCGCTGAGGCTCTCGCGCAGGTCGGGCTCTTCGGACTCGCAGATGAAGCCGATCGTGGTCAGGGACGCCTGTTTGAGGTGATCTGAACCTGTGCTGATGTTCTGGACGAGCAGGCTCATGAGATCCTGCCACTCGTTGCGGGGCAGCTCTATGGCCGCGATCGAGGCTATGAACTGGCCGGCCGACTGACCGGCCCGGGCATCAGATGCTCCCAGTGTCTTCAAGGCGAGCTCCTTGACGTTCTTCTTGACCTGCTGGTCGACGCCGTGAGCCCATCGCCCCTGTACCTCTCTCAGGCGGGTGATATCTCGGAAGGAAAAGGCGTTCTTCAGTGCCAGACCAGCGGCCGTCCGGATCGACGAGGCAGCATTCTCGTTTGACAGCTCACCAGCCAAGGTCGTAAGGTACCCCGCCTGTCAAGTAGCATATGTTATCTCGTTAGTTTCATGTAGCAGTTATGGGCTATGGGCCTGGGGGTGACTCTTTATAAGGTGGACGCACAAAGTCGACTTCCGCGGCGTGAAGTAGCTGCTGCTCCGCATTCTGACGAGTAGCGGCATCTATAGAGCATCAGAATCAGCCGTCCATGCCCTCTTCTGCTCTTCTTCGTCTTCGTCTTCGTGGCGGAGGAGGGGGGAGGGCAGACATACCGGCAGAGAGAGTGCTAGCCAACACCTGATTGACATCCATGATGGAGGGACTTTTTTTTTCCTTTCACAGCGAGTTACAAGATCAAGTTTATCCTGAAAGACAAGGTTCATAAGAGGGAGAAGAAGAAGAGGTATCAGAGAGCTCGTTAAGGAGGAAGTTCTTGATCCTCTCTCTCTCTCTCCCTTTTTCTGCTCTCTGCGCGTTTGCTGTCCGAACCTGCACGAAAAACGAGTCGAAGAAACCGTGAGACCGCCAGATGAGAACGGCGAGAAGCAGTAATTGAGCGTCAGACGAGAAGAGCGAGCGAAGATGAGAGGAAGAAGAAGATAGAATATTATAATCAGGCAGAGAGAAGAAGAAGAAGAAGAAGAAGAAGTCCGGGTTTGTTGACAACAATAAAAAAAAAAAAATAATTGGGCGACCAAAGTGGGCTTCTTCCTCTTCCTCTTCTTCTGCTACAAACAACTAACTAGAAAATACTTCTTCTCTGCCCCGCGATAGAAGACGGGCACCTACGAAAGGGAGGAAGAAGAAGAAGAGAGAGCAAGGAGATGTTGATATTTGTTATCTTGTTTTTCTTTTTTCTCTTCTTGATGTTTTTTGTTCTTCGTTTTTTGGCTGCAGGTTTCTTGCTGGTTGGTTCAGGCGGACGAACAGCTAAATAACCAACAGATGGACCATAATAAAAACGGTTATAGTATAATCTACTTGATGGGTCTAGTCAAGGGTGCTGTCTAGGTCGAGGACAGAGTACCGCCGGCCGTCAGCGTACAGCACACACACGACCCGCCGTCCTCGTCGTCCGTTGACCTCGAGATGGGCTGGCTCTCGCTCGGCGGGCTGGGGGAAGCTGTGGCAAACCAGGCGGTCCAGGACGGGATCGAGACTCGTCGCCGGGCCTTTGTCGGTGGTAAAGTCTATCTCTAGCTTATCATGCTTGCTGGGGAGGTAGGGGATGCTGACGAGGTGTGAGGCTGCATATATGTGTTTGTTCAGTTATATAGTACAGGCAGAAGAGAGAGGAGAGAGAAGAGACTTACATCCGGACCTCCAGAGAAGCATCAGCGTGCCGTCCTCTACAAACTTGAGGTCTTGGATGCTGCCTGAGCCAAGCTCGACGGTTGCCAGGAGGCTTGCCTTGGACGAGCTCACCCCGTTGACGATGGTAAGGATGTTCTGGTAGAGGTAGACTGTCACAGCGTCATTATACATCAATGGAAGGGGGGGGAGAGAATATATCAATATACATAGATGGGGAACTTACATCGATGTGGGATGGTGCGTGATTTAGAGGCGATATAGATAGATGGAAGCCGTTCGCCTTCATATTCCTACAAGACCCAGCTTCAGCTCCTTCTTATGCAAAATAAGGTCAAGATACATACCTCAAAGTTCATAGCCATGTCCAGGACGGCATCGTCGCAGTCTTCGCTCAGCTTGAGGGTGGACCGAAACAGCGTCCCCCTTCTCTGCGTCTCTGCGACCTGCTTGAACACTCGATCACACTGCGCCGAAAGCCGGGCCGTCAGGTCACCCAGCATCGGTATCGACAGCCCTTCGACCGTCTGCCGCGACTCATGCTGCGATACCACCTTCTTGTACTCGCCGTAGAACGTGCCGTCGTCCTGCACGTCAATGTCCCATCGCTGTTTGCCGCCGTCTGGAGCGGCTGGCACCTGCAGGAAGCCTTGAAGCGCACTGTTTGTCAGTGCTCCCTTGACGTAGCCCAGCGTTGTCCCGTAGTCGATCTCGTCTGCTGCCCCCATCAGCTCATCCATTGTCGACGAGGTCGGATCCGTGGCCTGCAGCTTGATCTCATGTTGCATCCAGCCTGAGAATGCATGAAACTCCTTCAGTTCCACGCTGCTGTGAAGCACGACCTTGTGCGCCAGCAGGCTCAAGCAGTCCAGAGTCGCAACACACTCCTTGAGGTAAGTCGTCTCGAGTCCCAGGATGGGGCTGAGACGGTGATACTTTGACAGCCCCATCAGGCGGCTCAGCAGCACGCCGAAGCGCTCGAGGGCCGGCATCAGGCATTCATAAGTAAGTCGCCGGAGAGCCTCGTAGCCGCCTGTCACCACCTTCTCCCACCTTTTATGTCCCTAGACCCTACATCAGTAAGTTGAAGACCAGCCTATCCGACGAACAGTTACCACTTACTCTATCTCCAATGGTGGTGCAGAGGAACTCCTTCAACGGGGCAAAGCAGTCGCCAGTGACTATCAGATGATATGTAGCCGTAACAAAGTCACAGTGGCATTGCTCCTTTAACTCCTCATTGATATTCCGCAGGTACCGGATAGGCAGCTCTCGCGCATTCTTCCACTCCAGGAGCATCTGCGCCTGAACCTGCTTTATGTACCGAAGTAGATTCTGCAGCTGTGTGACTTTCGACGCGAGCAAGGGAAGATATCTGCCTGCCTTGGTGATGAATCTTAGATCTAGATTTAGGAGTTTTATCTCAGCCTCATTCTGGAACAGGAGCGCGTGAGTTGTGCTCATCGGGTGGGAGGCATGCAGTAGAGCCCTGTAGCCTCTTTTGCTATTAGTGCTAGTACCGCCTTTAGAACCTTCCAAGGAGTTAGAGACGTCTATAGAACCGATCTCGAAGCTCTCAAAAATTCTCATATGGATCGAGCCATCGTCCATCCCGGCGAGCAGCACGTCCACTGAGTCTCCTGGGTTCTTTACAGGAGAGTGGAAAATAGAATCAAGAGACACTCTGCTGCTGAAGACATCATCGCTGTAGAAACACAATGTTAGCATAACTATAATTGATGCAATAGAGGGGGAACAACGTACTCGTCGCCCGTAGATGGAAGGGTACTCAGCTTTGGCAGCGACCCTTCGATGTCTAATAGCGATAACTCGCGCGGTAAATCCGCTTTGAGGAATCCTAAATGGGTGGACAGCTTGGTATCGGACATCAGCAGGTCATCTAGAGATAGCTTTCCCTCTGGATCCTTCAGGTTCTTCAAAAGGCCCGCCGTCTCCGCGAAGCTGACCCCCCATCCGATGCAGGACACAGTCCCAGCAGGCTTCTGGGGCAATGAAAACGGTATAGGAGCTGACTGTGCCGTCAGACTGTGCACCATCTTCCCGCTGTAGGAGCTCAACAGGCGTATCCTGTTATCTGAACATGCGACAGCCAGTACTCGTCCTATCCAGCTCAGTTAGCCACTGAAGATAAAGCAGAATAGCATAGGCCATCCCGCATGTATATACCATTTTCCTTCCATTTCAATCCGACTGCTCTCACCAGTCCTCCCTTGCCGTCGTCTTCTCCCAGCCCATACGCGCCGCCAAACACTCGCTGTCCGTTCAGCCTGTAGGCATTTAATTGCTCATCTTCCGTCACGATGGCAACCAGATCCATGTTCGGACAGTATGCAAACGTCCGTGGCTTGCATCTTGCAGAGAGGTCCTTTTCTGCAACAGAATTAAGAGCCGGAAGACCTGTGTCGGCCGTGATGGTTACTGCTGTCGCTGGTGAAGCCATTGCCAGCTAGACAGACAGACAGACCGCTGTTGTCGCGTGTCTGATAGCCCGGGGGGTATCTTCGTGTTCAACTTTACGTCTAACAGTGTATCGTCGCTTTCTATGCATGGATATTTAATGAAGTTGAGGATCCTGATCGTGTTTGTCGCCGGTTTTTGTTGCGTCTCGAGGTTTTCTTGTTTTCTAGTTAACTACCAAGAGTTAAAGAATTGGTAGCTACATTCAATCGATATTTACACACACTGCAAAAGTATGAATATTGAAGTGTGTATTTTCCCTTGTACTCTCTTTATGAAGGATCAATATTAACGCGTTGATTTTTATAGATTTCATACCGGGGAACGCTGAGAGATGCGATATTTGACTTGTATACCTTCTTTAACGGGAATAGTCGACAGCCACAGCTATATACTTAATCAAGAATGCCATGCCTTCAAGCCATGCTATGGCTACATCATCATACAAATGAAACAGATAAAAAGAAGACCCAAACGCCGATTCTGCTCGATATAAGTAACCGAAAGCAAGGCAGATATGCATCGAAAACGAACGGTAAGCCGGCTAAAAGCACTTAAAAGAAAAAAATAAAATATTTCAAATCTGGTCTGGGTAAGTATCAATCATACCCCCGAGATAGCCCAAGTCATCAATCAATTCCTGCATCATGGTATTTATCTGGTCTTCACTGGAACTGAAGCCTTGAGTTTTGGTATCGAGAGCCACCGACGATTCACCTGTAACTCCGAGGCTGAATTTCTCGTCACTGAAGGGATCCGACGTCATCCAGGAGAAGGAAGGCTCCGCATCCTTGATGCCACCTTGGTCGACATGGAGGTCAGAAATCCCAAAGCTATCTAGGTAGCTGTGGGAAGCTGGCTCTGTCTTCGCTGCTCTATCGATATCACACAAGCTGCTGTCCAGTGAAGTACTGGCTGAAAAGCGGTAGTTTGCCGGAGAGGTGCCCTCGTTATTGAGTGTGGAAGAGGACGTCATAGAACATGGTGACACTACTTCTGTGTCGGTGCTGCAGTCAGAGAACCGGCTGCCACCCGGAAGCGGCGGGGATTGAATGGATGAGTCGACAGTGGACTTGGAGAAGTGGCTGTGTAGGTGGTCAAGGTCTAATGGTTGGTAAGAGGATGACCACATGGAAGAGATTGTTTCATCCATCACAGAAGAAGGGCTGTTGGGAAGCGTGGGGAGACGCTTGGAATAGAGATCAATGGGAGAGGTAGCTTCCAGCTCGTGGACATCGAGCTTGCATGGCACCTCTACTGTGGAGTTGTGGGCAGAAGTGCGAATGTCCTCATTGACATCGTAGTTTACAGAGTTCCTTAGGGGTGTTTGGGCTGGGCTTCTGGATCTTGAGCGGCTGTGACTGTGGCCGGGTTGGGATGATGGGTCCAGGCTGCTGTTATTAGTATTAAGATAGTAGTTGCCATTATTCTGGTGACCAGCGGAAGCGAGCAACCTGTTATCGATGACAAGGTCGGCTGGCGAGCCACATGGGGAGGCTAGAGCTGAGGATGTAGATGAGCCGGGATACTCTGACCGTAGATGATTGCTCTTTGGCTGTCCGTGACAGCCAGGACTGAGAATGGGTGTGCTCTGCGTCAAGCCTATATCCGGCACCTTCGCACACTTCTCCGAGTTCTCATAGCTGGCTGAACGAGGCGAAACACGGTTCAAAAACGCAGTACGGAGTCCAGATGATTTGGGAGCGAGACTGCTCATCGGCAATTTCAGGTCCAGAGATAACTTTCCACCGACTTTAAACTTGCTCCTGGTTACCCGGGGCTGCGAGAAGCTCCTACCGTGCGTACTGTGCACCGCAGTGGGTGATATGGGGGAACCACGGGCTTCGTGCAGTGCAAGGGCGGCCGGAGAAGTAACCAGACGTGGCAGCTGAGGACGTGGTGGCGGCCGTGGGTTGGTATACTTATCGTCGGGATTCATAGTCTGGTGGACAGACAGCTCAGAGCTTGTGCTAGCGTTGCGGCCATGGGAGGTAATAGCCGGAGGCAGGTATATAGGGACATTGAGCACATTGAGTGGTTGTCCAGGAAGCAGAGGGCATGAGGTAGTCCAGGCTTCGGACTCATTGTAGAATTCAAAGTCGCCATCCAAGATATACTGTTTGGCAACGGTCAATACAGACTTATATTTAGCACAATTGGAGCTTCATACGTAGTACCAGTAAGTTCCTCCCATCTTCAGGCCACCGTCCCGGCCTGGATAGATTGGATTACCATGACCATCACAAATGATGTTGGTGAAGGTATGGCATCCTCTCCAGTGTCCTTTGCCAGTCCGCGAGTCCTTTTCCATGCGATATCCCTTCGCGAAGTTGTCCCATGAGCCGAATAGGCTTACGGACCGGGTAGATGGGGGAGTTCGCCTGCAACCGTCCGTCAGTCCCGGGCCCTTCATGGCAGGTGTTTGGGTGACTTACACGAGAAAGGTCATTAACGTAGTAGTAGCAGAAGTAGCCATCTTGGATGAGAAAAAAAAAAAAAAAGAACGTGTCAACCGGAACCAGCCAGGTAGATGCAATGGACGGATTGATAAATAAGAGATGAAAGAATATAAAAGAGAATTAAGGGCCTTGGATGAGAAAGGCCTTCAAAGGTTGAAATTCAGAGACGAAGGAGCTTCACGCCTCCGATGTCAGCGAGCTCATCATAGTACCGACACCCTTCTTATGCAGACTCTTTCTCCGACTGCATCGGCCTTTTTTTTTGTCATGCAAGGTGGTGCTATAAATATTTGATAATCGAATGAATGGGTTTGAAACCGTCCTTTTGGCCCTGGTTTCAGGAAGCTCTGGGAGATGCTGCCACTTGCGAACCTGCCAGGAACACTCTGCCTGTCTAATATAACAGACAGCCAATAGACATGGGCCGGGGAGGGAATCGGAAGAAGTGGACTCGGTCCCCTCGCTCGCTAGGGGATACTCGAGATGGGCCACTGAGCAAGCTTCATCAAGGGGTCCCCCTCCTGGTCGCTGGCTCATCCATGAAGTTTGGCTGGCGGATTTGCTATATTTACGCAGCTCGCCCAGCAAGCCATGTTGCGGCCCTTTTTTCGTCCAGGGATTTCCACTGGACTAGCAGTTCCTAACTTCGAGAAGAGCCACTACCAAGCCCTGCTGCGGATCTTTGTTAGCCAGTGAGCGCCCATGGATAATTTGTCCTCATACTCAGCTCGTACGGGGGGCGTTGCGTCGGCGGTGCTTGATTGGATGCCCCGGAACGCCTTTAGGATCTCCTTGCAGGCTCGTCTGGTTTGTTTAATGCATATCAGAAGGAAGAGTTTTGTCTCATCTTCTGTTGGCTGCGTCCCTGAAACTCTTGCTTGTCGTTGATTAAGCGCCCAGCGGGTCGTTGGCTTCTACTAATATACAGAAGATGTTTAATCGCCTATAAGTTGGCAAGTTATTTAACTAGTTGCTTCTGGATGACTTACACATATTTACAGCCGTTGGGCCGTTTTTAGTGAAACCGGCTGTGAACCAGTTTACTTTGTAATGCTGGTCTGGGGGGAGCAAATATATGGGCTAGGTTACGCTAGTTACACTATCACTTGTCTATATCTAGTGGTTATACCTTGCATGGGGAGATGCGAATAACCGCTGACCAAGGTGTTGGATGGGGCCAGCACCTTGCTCTTAAGATGTTGGTATACCCAGAGTAAAAGACCACGGTGTTTCGAATACGTTGTTTAATGTTATTTTTAATGTTAGATGTAAGAGAGCAGTACAGGGAGGCACCTTCTGTACGATAAAGAAGGTAAGGAAAATATTTGCCAGATTCAAGGCCAGTGTGGCAGTGTAACCGCCTCAAGCGTACGGAAGAAAATTGTCAAAGCGAAGTAGAAGCAGTAGAAGACCTATCGCTGCCGTCCTCCGGTCGCGTTTCTTCTATCATACTTCTTGTGCACGGCACCAAGGACGACCTTCAACACCCCATCAGCGTCAAGCCCGCCGCCGGCCTGTGTATTGTCCCAAGGCACTGTATCGACCATATCACGGATGTTATTCTGGCCAGCCAGTGCGTCATCCAGCCCCCTCAGGTCCTCGGCAGCCTCTGGATCATCTCCAACCTGGAAGAACTGGATCCCCACCTGCCATGGGAGGGCGTTGAGTTTGTCCAGCTTCTTCGCTGCCAGGATGATAACGCTCTCGACATCGTCGGTGGGGACGCCGTCGGTGATGACGATGATGTTGAGTGGCCGGACAACACGGTCTCGTTCATCAGATGTCATGCTCTTAGACGCTTCTTCGAACCCCTTCAGGTACGGTTTCAGGATATGCATGAGCCTGGTCCCAGTTGGAGTCCCGCCGGATGGGGTCACGGCCGTAAACACCTCGCGCACATGCCCTGTGTCCCTGACGTTGGAGTACGCTCCGTTCGCTGAACCTGAGCGGTGGTTAAGGAAGTATATTTCTACTCCGTCCTTGTCACGAGCCGTACATATGGGGGCGATCTTGGCCAGTGCGTTCTCAGTCGCTTGCCAGCTCGCTCCATGCATGCTCGCGCTGTCATCTATGAGAAATACAGTATCAAACTGAGAGAGAAACGAGTCCGCCTGGTCCGAAGATGCTGTTATAGGGCTTTCTGAAGCGGAGCAGCTTGGAGCTGTTGCTGAAGTAGTTGAGACCGGAGTGTAAGCTGGTGGAGGCTCCAGATGAGGGCTTACAGAGGCTGTCGTGGGAGGAGGTGAACCCTTTTTATGTCGGGCTAGGAATGATAGAGGCGATTTCGACCTCGATTTTGATGATGAACCGAACAACGGCATCTTGCCAGACTGTATCAATGATAATACCTCGTTAAAAAGCGATGTGAAAGTCGGGTAAGATGGTCTAGCAATCTTCTGATGGTGGTGATAGCTGAGAGGTCAAAGAAGCGGCCGCTTGGCGGTTAAATAGTAGCTTCACGGTGTCTTTCACTGGGGATTGCCCGGATAAGGCGGATTTTTCATCATTCATTCACTTATCAAACTTATTTGCTCCGAAAGCAGAGGCAGACATCTTTGCCGCAGTGGATTATCTGGTGGAAGAGATACACAGCCTCTAGGGCCTTATATATACTCCGTACCTCCACGAGTTATATCGGATAACTTGACCGGCAGGTCATGCATGTCGCCTTCTGGCTCCCCCTGTGAACAACCCTGCAGTCCCCTTGTAATTCTGGCCAGAAACTGCCTTCAAAAAGAAAATAAAACTCATGGTCAGTTTTGATGTTTGAGGCTGAGGAGGAGGCTGAGTCTGATGACTAAGCAGACGTCTACTTAAACTCGAAGGCGATGATGGAGAAGAGTTGCATCTACGCTTGTTTGATGCATAAATAAAACATGTGGAGACATAGACGAGATGGCACATTATCAGGTGGGCAGCATGGGTTTATATGTGAGTCTCTAGCGCTCTTTCATCGCATAGTAAGCGGAAAACTAGGTCTCTGCAGGGCCATCCTTAGCCATGCCTAACCTGTGGATGGCCAATAGATTGTGTGCTTCTATACGATGGTGCCGTGTGACGGTTAGGCCAGATCAAAGGAGAAAATATCCATGGCTCTGCTAGCTACCGGCATAGCCAGTTTCTAGGGTTCGCACTGTCCCCTCCCATATATATATTGCGAAGCGGATATCTAGCACAATTGTGCATTAGCTTGATATAGATTCCATCAAGGAAGCATATGAGAATCAAAAATCAACCAACCTGCAGTGTCTTCGGCGAAATGCAACTCCAGACGTCGCATTGTCATCTACAAATTTGACTCCCTCCACCGTGTCTGGTGCAACCCCTTTCTCGACCCAGTCTACTATAGCCGCGAGAATATTATTTTCCCTTTTGAACTCGATGCCTTCTGAAGGAGCTCCGCCCCCCTGTCCTAGGACCCATGCTCCTGGCCCTCCGCTGCAATGGAACATGCCGGATATGCGAAAGAAGCGGAGAAAACTGTCAAGGTGCCCAGCACTGCCAGCACCTGCAGCAGATTGCAGCAGATAATCATAGTATCGTTTCGTGTTGAAGCTCGTGATCTGATTATCTTGTCCGCCGTGATGGATGATTATCTTGCCATGTCTAGTTCGATACTTGGCTAGGTCGTCGTACGTTGGCCATGTTCTGATATCTCCAGGATTGCGAGCATCTGCAACCGCGGCATCATGGATATTGAATGTCGATGCGTTCCACGATGGGTCATAGATGACATATTTGAACCATTCATCCGAATAGCTAAACGGTTTCCCTGCGTACAGTTTTGTGGTAGCCAGCTCTTCGCTACCGGGCTGCATGGCGGGATAAATCACTCTACCGTCCTCCCCAATCAACGGAGAGAAGATTCCCTGCACAATATTAACTTGCGTTGGGGTTAAACAATCCTTTTCTTGTCCTGCCTGGCACAGAAGCTCTTCGGCATTGAAATGGCAGAGCGAAGGGTCTTCGATGATGCCGTCTACCACACCGTCAATACTATCACATTGTCGCAGAACCGCCTTGTGGATAAATGTCTTCCATGCCATTGCTGTAATGAAATCGGGTGACCCTGAACTCCCCGTCAATGGAAAGAAACTTGCTCTCCACGAAACTAGATTATTAAAGTCTAACCCCGGTGCCCCCGCAACAATCCCATCGAAGTCATCGGGGAACTTCACTGCTGACTGAAATCCCTGCCGTCCGCCGAGAGAACAACCAATATAGTATGACTTCAAGTGGGCCGTGTTGTAGAACCGAGCCACAATACCTTTCCCGGCAACTACACTCGTATGCAGCCTTTTGTACTTTGGTATAAGAATAGGTCTCTAAATTAAACATAATAGGAAGGCTTATTACTTACGCCCTCCATGAGAAGTCGATTTGAACGTCATAGTTCTGGTACATTGAGACGGCGGTGGTACCATTATGCCCGTTGTTCGAGCCAACCGCCGCAAACCCGTTCTCCACCCCGTAGGCAAGATCTTCATATTTGATGCCTAAGTATTTCATAAATAGGATTGCCATAAATTAACCTGTTCATACCATTCTCCATTTGATGATGCTGAAAAGAACAAAGACTTACATCCATCAATTCCTCCATTCCCCGTAGCTAAAAACCTCTTTCCTTTCCATCCAATGGGTAGCCAGACTTCATAATGAACTCCAGACCTATGGGAGGTGGCAGTGTACAGTGTCACCCGGCAGATATCTACAGGTACCACCTGACTGGGCCTATTACAGGAATGATCATTGAAAGGCAGGCTCAAATTCGTTCCTGCAGGAATGTACGAAATCACTTCAGCGTCTGGAAAATCGAGGATGTCTGGGGTACATCTTTTTTCCAAAGGCAGTGAGGTAGCCAGATGAAGGGGCGGCAGTAACAGAAGAAATCTTATCAGGAAAATGAACGCCATATGGAGAGACGCACTAGAAACCAAGAAAGATGGATAGATATGAAATACAGAGTCTGGAATACTCCATACTCTACGGAATTGAGAATGAGTCGGTAATTGTGAAATTGGGGCTGGGAGAAAAAGAAATTATAGTGATTGATCACCTTTAGACATGGGTGTTACCCATGATTGATACGAATGCGGATCTTTATAACCTTCAACCTTGTTGATGGGAGTGAGTTCTATTAAAATATCTACATGTTCAATGTATCATGTTAATAAGTACAAGCATAGTCCATATTGCAAATCCGTTAATCCTCTTCACTAATTCGCAAGGTTGTCAACAGAGCGCGCATACCTCCCATTCTCAACAATGCAGCCATCCAAATTGCCTGCTTGATTCCTAGAGCGCGCCCAATATACTCAAAGCGGTTTACTGCCCAGTCCCGCAATGAGGTCGGGGCATAAGGTAGATCACCAGCAAGACATAAAGGCCAAAGCAATACATACCCGCCCACGGCTCTGCCGTTTCTGCCAAGGTTCGTGCCATCTTTTCTCTTTATTTCGACGCTCCCTAGGTCGTATGGAACACTGGCACATATATCAATTGCTGCCTGAAGGGCAGCCGTTCGGCTTTGCTCCATTAGCAGAGGCAGATTATCGATTTGTGAATAGAGGGGCGAGGATGGCGAGAGTTTAGGGGACGCCTCATCGATGATTTCTGTGATGAGAATACGGGCACCGCGTAGGGCGTTATATATGTTTGGAACGAAGTAATCGGTATAAGAGTGGTAATAAGTCCCATAGACTTCATCTGCTGGAGATGGTGGGGTCTCCCGACCGAGGACTGGAAGAATTTCATAAGGGTAGTGTTCCCAAAGCTCCGCTTCAGATGCTATAAACTCCGCTTCTAAAATAAATGCCTGGGAAATTATGTGGTCTGGGGAAGTTAGTGTGCGGTCCTCAATCTCAGCCCGTAAGTTGCAGAGCTTGACAAGCAATGTGGTCACATCTTCGAGAAGTGCTTCTGACTTGGGAAGAGCAGCTTGACATTCCCGAGGCACGCCTGCGAGGAATGGAGGTGCTCGCGATGAGGTCAATAAGCAGCTAGATAGCTAAATATGGTTGTTAACATTTGGAGTCATCTGTATAGTTTTTTGACAAAATGTGCTTACGATTTGACCGCGAGCTTGCACAAACATCCGGAAGTTAACAATGTCTTCTGGGGATGGTGTGGATCTTAACTTGAGTAGAGCAAGCGCTCCCTCATGATGACTTCTCCAACTACTTAGGGACCGGTTGCTTCGACATGTTATGACCTGTCAAGTGGTTAGTGGCCACGGGATCTTGACAGCAGCAATAATGAGCTAGGGCGGAAAGCGGCATACCTCGAACATCCCCAGCAACATGACAGTATCAAGAGCTTCCGGCTGCTTTGCCTTGATAGGATCTCGCAGCATTGCATTTGTCAGTGAAAGTGCATGAGCATACTGCTCTCTCGCTGCAATGCGGAGGTCAGCAGAATAATTTATATTTGCAAGTGTTGCCATGCCCACGGAAGCCATGCACGCGGTCACTGCTTCCGAGCTTGCTGTTTGAAGGCTATGCATATACCCAACCCGCCCCGAAGTGGGCGTGGAGGGTATGACGTAATTATGCAAGAAGAAACAGATGGCCTGCTGGTTCAGGTTCATAGAAAGACTTCGCGAGATCTCCTCTGGGGTATTTGACGACCTTAATGAAATAAGGCTGGCTGAGGAATTGCTATCGGTAGAATTCTTGGAGCTACTGGGAATGGGGATTTTGCTGTTTCTCTGCTTCTGGGCCTTAGTAGAGGCCTTGTGGGCTGTCTTCCGCGTCTCATCGCGAAACATCAAGTCCAGTTGGTTTCGATAACCGGTGCACGTCCTGCCCCCTTTCGTACATTGAAGGCATAACGGTTCAGTTTGGTCACACTAGAGAAATGGTTAGAAAGTTCTATATCTACCAATATAGGGAACTAGTGCAATTATTGGTGGTACAACGTAGGGAGTAAACGAGTCTAGGCAGCAATAATAGAAAGAAGTACCTTGATTTTGCGGCGGCGACACTCATTGCAACCTTTGCTTGGTTTACCACAATATACCATCTTCACCAGTTCATACACCGTAGACTCTGTCTGTGTATTTATGTATATGATAGCGGAACTAAAGGGCAAAACTTGTTGGAATCTCAGTTTAAGCGGGAATACCCAGCATAACTAACTGGACTTGGGATGCCCGTCACTTATTATATTCAAGTTAGGGATCTGTGAGTAGAAAAGCTTTTCACCACAGAGGCTGGGCGGCATCACAACTTACAGGGCAAGCCATCCAGCTTGAAGGGTCGAAGAAACCAGCAAGGAGCTGAAGTTTCGTATTTGGCGACTCATCCTGGGATTTTTGTAGTTATCTTGATAAAAGTTCAGCTGCGACATTTAAGGTTCGTATTTTTTGCTGCGCCATAAAGAGGCTAATGGATTATGTAATCATTTATTTACGGAGCGAAGTAAAGGGGTCAAATGTGCGTATTTGTGGGTCTGCTGTAAATTACGTGATTGGTTGAATTCTGAACATTTTATTGGATACTTTTAACCTTGCATAAGTAGTGGCTTGGTAGCTTAGTCATCTTACCCTATCAAAATTGAATGGTGATGCTTAGTCATCTTGCTATCTCAGAATGCTCGCGTTGAAAAAGATGCTGAGTCATTATCTTAGTCAGTAGATCACGTGATACTTTTTTTAATATCTATATTGAATACATTGGCTCCATTACTTATGGCTCTGCTAGCTATAGGAGAAAGCTTAAGCTTTTGACCTAGTAAGTATAGTATTTATATAGTAGCGTTATAGTATAGTTATTTCCTTATATAATATAGCGCTCGGAGTATAGTTATATAAGTCTAATAATATAAGCGTAGTAATAGTACAGATCGACGGAGTTGACACAATGCAAACCCTAGGGCAGTTGGGTCAGCAGGGCCTTCTAGACACCTTTTTTCCTTAGACGACCCCCAACGAGGATCTAATCGGCCGGTGGAGATTAACAAGGGCTGTACGGCTAACGACTAACCGCTTATACTGATAAAATTGTCTCTCTAATAAGTCGACAGGTTCATATTTGAACCAAGATGTAATGAGCTAACTAATTTCCTTTTCGAGGCTTTCAGACTGTAGCTCCTGATCGGATATCCCCTCGCATGTTCTAGCTTCATCAAAAAGAACAAAAAAAATCCTCCCACCTACTAACTTCTTCCAGCTCAACCTCGTCTTCCCCAATCAGCTTCATACCCACCTTCTTAACAACCTCTTGCACATCCTGCATCACTTGCTCCGCACTCTGATACTCTTGGTTCCATGCTTTTACGAGTATAGGACCAAGTCTTTCCTCCTCTAGTTCCTGCCACGCCCCTTGCCTGTGCTTCTCTTCTTCATAACGTAGGAACTGAACATGACTAGTAAATTCTGGCCATGATGCTGGGTCTATTGGTAGAAGGGGAGACCAGGTGCTATATCACGGCTCTCGCGGTGGGCTTGTTGAATAATAATTTGTCATGTGTTGCCACATCCATGTTGCCCAGTCGAATAAGTCATAAGCTGTGTTATGTGGGAGGTCACTAGTACCGGCAACAAAGCATTCTAGAAGATTATTTCCAGAGCGAAAGTGTGATACTGCTTCTATCTGGTATATAAATTTACCAGTTTCACCATGATCATCCCATTCGGGTACTAGGGTAGGGCTGGCGACGCATGTAAGCCCGGTAATGGCAATCGACATATCGGACCGTAGCCAGGTAAATGTGTTGCCAACAGTGGCAAGATATAGGGACTTTGTATGCATAAAATGTAGAGCAGAGAGGCTCTGGAGTGCCCATCGATAATATAAGGCTAACAACATCCTATTCTGCGTTGATGGTGTTGAAATAGGGAGCGAAAGAGGTGGAAATCTGATATTATCCAAGGGGCCGGGGGTGAGACGTTCGAGGCAGAACCCAATACCGTCGTCCAGCCGATGGAGATACCTATGGAGATGTTAATGATATCATGCATGCAAGAGCGTAAATAACATGAGTAACCATTACTTCACCATCCGTGGATGTCCACCATGTTTAAAGAATAAGCTCTCGTATATCGTAGCAGCGTTCGCTATGATATCCTTTGGATCCGGTTCGTCGACCCTTACCTCACGGTTGGGATACGGCCAGAATACAACGACAGACCGTCCATCCCGATGGGGGGCGACAAATGCTTGTTCAAAGAAGTCAGTGTACCAGTCCTTGAGGTCCTCGGGCCTCCGACTGACTTCATCGGGTAGATAGTCAGCCCGGAACGAGATACTGGGGCGGGTAGGCGGCGGTTCAACAATATCGGCTTCCTCGTTTCTTGTGTTGGAAAGGAATTGCCCCATGGCTCGAACTGTTTTAATCCATAAGTGCGTGGCTCAGAGGAGGCTCAGAGGAGGCTCCTAGGAGGAACGAGGATGAGCGCAGAGGTAGTGCTGATGGCCGAAGGGGATGTACTGTTGATATAATAGGAAATGCAAGCTCTAAGGCATTGCGGAGTGGTTGTATCAAAGGGCTTGTTGCCTAGACTTGATATCTCTTTACAGCCTGCTGCCAACAGTAGGGCGGAACATAGTCTAGCCGTTGGTTGGTTGGACGTGTTCGCCAGGAGACGGTCTTCGTCATGGTATATATGATCAGGATAATAAATAATTACAGGATTCGAACCGAGGGAGGAAAAGAAGGTGGAATAAGGATAACTGCCTGAGTATCTACTTCGCACTATGGGGAGAAAGACGAGAAGAAGCGATAAAGAAGCACTGGAAATAGATCCTCGGTCGAAGATTCCACCCATGGTAACAAAGAAGTAAGACGAACATCCACCGTGAATTCTCTACCTTCGCACTAAGAGAAGAGGAAGAAGAAAAGAAAAGAAAGATTTCTCCCCACAGTAGTTAAGCAAGTTCTGCCGTAACCGTAAAACTGGAGATCGTCGAGGCTAGATCGCTTGAATTTTCGGCTTCACACATACAGGCCGACAGGATGACGAGCGAAGACACGACGAGGAGAGACGAATAACGACCGGGATGAACGCCTGCAACGCCTCCTGTGAGTAAATTACGATTTGAACGCTTGGTGTGGTCTTCACCTCTCCTTTCACTGATCTGGTTGCGCGATTCCCTCCCCCCTTTTCCTCCCCGAGTTTAGGTTGTGCTGATTCTCTCATTATTATCTTAACCAAGTGTTGCTTGTTACTCTGTCCTACTCCCTACTCATACCTGCCCTGACCTTTTGCTGTCTTCTTCAAATGTGTTCAAACCATCAAAGTACCCATATCTTCTGGTGACATCTTGCTTTGTGGCTCCCCCCCCCGGGGTAAATTGTTCATTTAGCCCCTGACGATAATGAAATATTAGTTTGAAATCCGTTCTTTCATTTGACTAGTTATACTACACTAACACTCAGTTATTCGGGCCCAAAATAGAAGTTGATATTTCCAACATAGGAAAAGATATCTTTACTTGTCTATCGTTTGCTATATGACGATGTCTCTTTGGAGATCTGCAAGAGCCAAAATACAGCCAGGCCATAGTAATTGTACTTTTGTGTCAATGATAACAGACATTTATATGTAGATTCGAAGTGTATGGAATTAAATATCAAGTGTACCTGTCCATCAGAGCTTTGAATGGGGGGTCCTGGAGAAGCTCAGCTGCGGTTGGACGTTTCTTCGGGTCAGGACAAAACCCTCGGCGGAAAATTGAAGAGACAAGCTCCAGCTCGGCTGTATCAATGTCGCTACGGAGAAGTTTCATATTTTCTTCGAGGGTTAGTTCGGGATCTGGCTTTGTATCTTGATCATACCATCGGTCCTCATACTCCCAAAAATGACGTCCCTTCCAGCTCGTAGGTAGGGGCCCAAGGATGTTCACTATTCCTGGGATCACACTACCACCAAAGATGCGTCCAAAAAAAGTTAAACCCAGGAAAAGTTCAGAGAATACACACATGTAACTCCATATATCGCAGGCTGTGCTGGGTGGAAAGCCATGAAGCCGTTCTGGAGAGCAATATTTCACGGGTGGCCGGCCTTCTCGTTCAGGCGTTACTGGTTCGCCCACATTAATGGCAAGGCTAAAGTCTCCAAGATAAAATGTGTTTTCCTGTAGGTCCACTGGAACCGTTACTGGAGTAACTAGCTGTCCCGGTTTCCAGATATCTTTATACCATGTCTCGATGGGCAGCTTACGAGGGCGACCAAGTCGTTCATACTTGTACTTCCTAGTATGATTTTTGAACGGAGAAATGCCTTGGAAGCAGTTGTAGGCTGTCACATCTGCAGATAGATAGTGTTAGTAATGCTGTTTAAATGTTTGCTGGAAAGACTTGTAAATAAAATACCTCGATGGACAATCCCAGCCCTATGTAGGTTATCAAGAGCCTCAAGTATTTGCCTGGCAGCCAACATACGTGAAGCCATTGACATGTTCTGAATCTTAACATAAGAGAGGCATTCACCGACCCAGGGAAATACCAGAACCTGGTGGCAATTAGAACCTTCGCCCTGGAGCGAAAAGGTCCCCAGGCAGATCATAAGATGGGAAGTGTCCTTGACACGCCAAATAATCTGTTCGTGTATCTGAGCTTCATGTTTGCCTATCTCGCTCGAGTCTGTGATTTTAAGGGCCACGTCCGTCTGCTTTTCAAGGTCGTAGGCTAGCCAGACGGTAGAGAAGCCGCCATGTCCGAGTTTATGGTCGATGCGGTATCTGCCATTGAGAATTTCTCCTATGCAGACTGGATAGAAGACTCTTGATGACGCCTCACTGCAATATCTAGAGCAGTCCTCGCTGTAATCATCCACATCATCCTCTTCTTTCTCCGTTGTTACAAAGTCGCCCAGATCAGAGCCACCATCGTCGGGGATGCCATCACCTCGCGGGGGTATCTTCACGTCCTGCGGCGTCATTTGCGCCAAAGTCTCAGTACTCGCCATAACTCGTTGCTAGCAAGTCTGAAGGTGAGGTAGGTTGGTGCGAGTTACCAAGCAGGGTCCCCGGACGGAAGTGATCGGAGGTTAACAGGCTAGTTAGCACCGTCACACACGGGAAATTCCTCCAACACTGCAAACTAGCCGCTGACAGCGACAACCTCAACACCAGCCTGCAGCAACAACAATGGAAGCAATGACGAGTCAAGGGTATCGCCGTACATTAGCTGCAACTAGTTACCTTGTCATGCACTTTAAAGGCAGCTCCCAGCCAATCATTCACTGTGCGAGGCAGTGAACGGCGAGGGCGAACACCGGTGCAACGGTCTACCTAGGTGGAACCGGTGGAGCAGGCGGATATCGCCTGTTCCGACAGTTAGTTCTTCGGCGCTTATTAATTGGAAGGATCGACCTGGCCGACGGCTTCGGCTTGCTAAGATTTGGTGCCTTACAATGTCACCGACCGAAGGTCGAATAGTTACCGAAGACCTGGCTATAAAAGTAGGCCAAAGTCCGTACCATTTCATTGTAATCAATCAAATTGGATTCCATCTTATCAGAATCTGCCACTACACTAAAAGGAGTGAGCCCACACTAATAGTAGGCAGATGTTGAAGTTTGACACATCTTTATATGCTCGTTGTATATTCGCTTGGTACGCTGATTTGTTGACCAATCACTATTCCGCGCCAAATAACCCGTAACAAGCATCATGGCTAATGCCTGACCGGATCGTCACAGCTTATAATAGTCTATACCAAACATAACCGGTATATATCCGCTTCCTCACCCACTCATATCTTACCTAACGAACCGTACCCGATACGGCTTGACGCATTGACCGTATTGTCCACGGGCCGGCCCGTAGCTTCCGCATTTTCCGCAAGTTTACTTTTATTTTTTAGAGTGTATTTGGTAGACCTTGTTGATATCTCCCACTTTAGTTAGTGCCTAAGTTTGATTTATAATGCATTCAGGCCTACTTAGAGAGTAATAATAGTCCCTCCCCCTTCCCCTTTGGTCCAACTTCCTAGCTATGCATTTCTCTGCACACAGCCACAGCTTCTCTTTATTTTCCCTTTTCCACCAGATATCCAGATACCCAGTTACGCGTCTAGTAGTATAGTCACAACTTGCTGTATACCAACTCACACACGACTCTCCTTCCCCGGCTCTGGCTAAGTTTGCTATATCGCAAGGCGCGCCACCCAACAAACTCATCCACCGATTCCTGCTCATCTTGTACTTGTTTGAACTTACCGTTGTTGTTGCTGCCTTGGTAATGCGCAATGTCTGAATTACAGCAGCCACCACCCGCGGTACAAGACGTGCCTCACAACGACGTGCCTCACAACGACGTGCCTCACAATAGCCCTGGATTATATCCCTCGCTTGAGACTGAGAAACGCAACTCCGTGGCCGAATTGCCAGAGGACCAAGACTCGCCCAAAAAGAAACCCCTTTCCTTCTACTTTGCCTTTCTTTCCCTCGTCATCATGGTCCTCATTGTATCTATCGACTCTACAGCCCTAGCCGTCGCCATTCCTGTAAGTGCCTTTTGATCTGCATCTTTGACCTGCATCTTTTGACCTGCGTGTGTGATTTTGAATAAAAACTTGAATTGCACTAACAACGCTCTGCCCAACAGGTTCTCACCAATCAATTGCGCGGTACGACGCTCGCAGCCTTTTGGGCTAGCTTATCCTTCATGTTATCCGTCGTCATCACTCAGCCTCTCTACACGAGTGCCTCTGATGTCCTCGGCCGCAAGCCTCTTCTATATACAGCCTTTATCCTCTTTTTTATCGGCTCCATTGTCTTTGCCGTCGCCAAAAGCATGTCCGTTGTCATCCTTGGCCGTGTCATTCAAGGTCTCGGCGGTGGTGGCCTCGATGTGCTCAATGAAATCATCGTCTGCGACATAACCACCCTCAAGGAGCGACCCTTTTGGCTGGGTATCTTGGCCATTCCCATGGCTGCTGGAGTCATCCTGGGTCCTGTCTTGGGCTCCCTCTTTAGCGAGTACGTGGACTGGCGCTGGATTGGATGGATCAATTTGCCCCTCGTCGCCATTAGTGCTGGCTGCGCCGTCTTGTTCATGCACTTGAAGCCCATGGATGGATCCTTCACCTCTAGGCTTATCAGGCTCGACTGGCTCGGCATGGCCCTATTTATCACCGGCTCTACCCTCTTTGCGTTGCCGCTGAGCTGGGCCGGTGCCTTGTACGCTTGGTCTTCGTGGAAAACAATATTGCCTTTTATAATTGGCGTCATTATTCTGGTTATTTTCGCCATTTATGAAAAACGCCCTGCCGAGGCCGTCATCCCTTATCGTTTCATGACCAACTTAACCACCTTGGCGACTCTAATCGGAGGCTTTATCCACGGTCTGGTGCTATATCCATCGCTGCTCTACCTACCCCTCTTCTTCCAGTCTGTGTTCCTCGAGTCGCCTCTTCAGTCAGCTGTATCCATTCTCCCACTCTGCTGCATTCTCATTGCCTTTAGCATCATCACCGGCTTCGCCATTGATCACCTCCGCCGATATCTCTGGCTACTTTGGGCATCTTGGGTCGCCATGGCAGTTGGCACGGGATTGTACGCACTCTGGGATGAAAAGGCTACAGTGGCCATGACGGCTGGGCTCCAGATCATCGCTGCCATTGGCTTGGGCGTCCAGTTTGTCGTCCCTGCCGTCGCCGTTCAAGCAAGCGTAAAGCCCGACGACCAAGGCTTGGTTGTTGGTATCCTTGTCTCGTTCCGTCTCTTCGGCGCTTTGGTTGGCCTCGCTGCCGGTTCCACTATCTTCAGCAGCGTTTTCGCCACGTCCATTGTAAAGGCGGAACCGCTTCCTGAGGTTCTGGCTATCCTTCGCGACTCATCGGAAGCTGTCGGGTTTATTACCCACCTGCGTGAGGTTGACGTCTCCCCCGCAGTCATGGTTGCCGTCCAACAGGCATATAGAGACGCATTCCGAGCGTTATGGTATCTCATGGCCAGTTTTAGCGCATTTGGCTTTGTTTCTTCCTTGCTTGTTAAGGAGCTGTCTCTTGAGACAGAGGAGGTTGGGCGACAGAATATAGAACAGGACAATGACAAGCAGGGCTCACCTTAGCCAGAATTTTTTCGTCAAAAAGCGAAGGAAGATTAAAAAGTTGGTGATTTTTCATGAACGATCCACGCAGCCTTTAAAAGCCTTGGATATGAAAAGATTGTCGCAATTTTACAGAGCCTTCTGAAGCGTGGCATATTTTCCTCGGAACCACAAGCGAAACTTGCCTTTCCATCTCTCTTCCCTCCTCCTGCTGCCCAAGGCACGCAGCATTTAGAATCTAAAGTTGGGGGGTCGTTGCTAGAAGAATCAATTCGCCCAGTTTTCAAGATGGGAAAGGAGTCTGACAATGGCCATGCGAGGCCCTGCGAACACGAGGCTATGGATAACCCGTCTCTAATAGAAGGGGCCGTAGCCGATTGCCCGAAATAAAGCATTTGCTAACGAAATATTCATAGAAAGTGAATAGTTTATACCCCGCATTACGCCCTAGTCATCACCTTCCTGGTGATTGTTTCTCTTACTCCCAGCTTGCCCCTACAGAATGCGTCGGAGTAAGGCCTTGAGGAACCCATCCTCCTTAGCGGCTGCTTTGGGGAATATTTTGCCCTTTGAGACTGTATATTCCCTAAGCGACTGGGAATTCGGAAATTTCGTGGGAGCCTTGCCCGTTCGACGGGCGTCGATAAGGTCAACCAGATTAACATGGACCTTGCTGAGCGCCTTTCAGCCTGTTAGCTATGTCAAATCCAAAGTATCAGTGGAGACAGACCTTCCGGCATTTCGTGATTGTGTCGATGGGCTCTCTGATCTGAAGTTCGAGGCAAAGAGCTTGCCAGTTCTGCAGCTTTGTCCCGTCTGCGCCGTAGTGGGTGGCGAATTCTGAGGCTAAGAAACTTGCCCGCTCCCTCTTGTAGGTCTTGGATTTTTTTCCCCAGCCCATATGACGTGCCAGGCGGGTAAATTCGTCGCTTGAAGACGCAGTTGGATTGGACTGAAAGCCCGGGAAACGAGAGTAATAGTCAGGCCCCATAGCCATGCGATATGCTTGTATATGTCAAGTGGAAGGTGGATAGACTCTCTCAGGTGCCTGGGAGGGCAGCAGGCTATGTACGTGTTATAACTGGCGCCTCTCACTGCCTCTTGGTGCGGCATCGCCTTTAATAACTAGCTATCATGGGTCCGCAAGGTACCTAAAAGTTCCGTAACATAGGGCGCTTAACAGTTCGAAGGTACAACCAAGAACGAAGTCTCGTGGGGGCTGAACAGGGCCATTTCATCTCTCACCCCATCGCCATTGACCTCAGCCACGCAAGCCCTCCGCCGGCAGCAGCCAACGCTCCACCAGCCTGAACACCCCCGTTAATCGCTGCCAGGCCCGCGCCACCTGCGCCAGCGCTCTACGCCACTGCAAACAGGCTGCCAGCCTGTAGCCAGAAGAGGGTTCTCAATTCCCCATTCGGTGGCCTTGATTAGTTATAGATTTCAGTTTTTGCCTATAAAACAGGGAATAGCACAACTAACCTCGCCGGCGCCCTGGTAAACAACGTGAGTTATAGTATAGCCTCTAGACCTTCTATCTATTATTATCTAATTCTATATCTATTTATTACCTTTTCCTATACTTATTTAGTTGCTAAGGCATTATTTTACTACTCCATCATGTCTTGCAAAGGCTCAGCCTCCGAGATTTTCCTTGCCATTTATTTGATGATGCCAAGACTCCGACTCCGGGGAAGTGAAAATAAGCATAAGGCTTAAGATATTATGTAATGAAATAAAGGTAAATTATTGGTTGTATTGTGTCTTAGCGTGTAGGGAGCTGCAGAGAAAAGCAAATCCACATTAGTAGACAACATGCGACTCGGGGGAGAGATAGTAAGAACAGATAACGAGAAGAGACAAATAAAAATAAAATAAAAATAAATAGACTATAATACATACCTTGAGCCATTTCACGGTAGGAAGTAGGCCACCGCAAAATTCACATTGTTTCCTATCACGAATATTATTATGCTTACATCTAAAGCACATCATATTTACGGTCAAGGTTTGAAGGAGTCAAGTAAATAATATACGTTCTTGGATAGCTTGATGTGCAAGTTCTTGGGATGCTGTGGATTTGCTGATTTTGATCTTGTGTGATGTATTATTGTTGAAGAGAAAAGTAGATATCTTTAGAGAACTAAACTACTTTATATAGTTCTCTAAGTCTAACATTTCATAGAATTCCTTGCTCTGCTATTTAGCTGTAGATAGCTTCTGCTTGAAGCCATTGTAGATAGAATCAAGCAGAAGCCTAGTAAAACTGCCTTATACAGATAAAGGCTACATTGGTTTTTTAGGGAAGAAGATCATTTATCGCTTTTTGAGCTAGAACGCTCTACAATTGGTGAAGATAGAAAGCCCAGTTGATCTATAGATAATGTGCTTAATCTATAATTCAAATATTCTGTAATTAAAGTATGTCTTTGTATATAAACTTTATCTTATGTTGGATATGAATCAGGAGAAGGTCTGCCATGTGGTCTGCGCAGATAATAGCTAGGGTATAATGAGTTAGTTCCTGACATATAGACCGCAGTGTGCCTGAGGAGTCTAGTTTTAATTTATTTGGGGCTCTATCGAAAATAATAGAAATGATCATAGATCTTGTTGATGACCATCTTGTAATATTCATTTCTTGTGCTTCTAATTTTTTATTGTTTTTTGAGAAGGTAGATTGTAAAAGGAAAGAAAAAGATAAAGATAAAGAAGACAAAGAAAAGGAAATTCATTGAAACCGCCACCGATATAGGGAGCAGAGAACAATATCATGTGTTTGATGTCGAATGATTATAGGCGGCATATTTCACCTAATAAATTTGTACGCACGGCGATGTATAGGGCTAACTGCATCCGTTGGAAGGGAAGTTTCTCAAGCCCAGGTTAATAGTAACGTCCGGAGACGGAACTCTCTTTAAGCCATCTCTGTGGTGTTATACCGAGTTACTTTGTATATCCTGGCGGTAGATACTCCTTAGTCGTATAGTATTTTTTCCGCTATTAGCGAACGAGTGTCAGGGCTATAAAGAAATCCTCTAAATACCACGTTTTGACAAGGAGATATCCGGAGCTGGAATTCTCTTTAAGCCATCTTTATGGTTTTATGCTGAGTTTGTATATCTTGGTGGTAGATACTCCTCGGTGGTGTAGTATTTTTTCCGCTCTTAGCGAACGAGTGTCAGGGCTATAAAGATATCCTCCAAGTACTACGTTTTAACAAGGCGATATCCGGAGCCGGATCCGGTTATAATGTTGCTTTTGAGTCTCATTGACAAGGTCCTCAAGGATGGCCAGTTAGTTGCGGCACAGCTTTTCTATAAATTGGGCGTGATGTTCACATGCTAGACAGCAACTCCTATCCATTGCCTTTCTACTCACCAATCGGTTAGATTTTTACACTCAAGCAGTACTCTATTCAAATGGAAAACGTCGACGCCACAGAAAAAAAGCCAGAGTGCCCGAATTGCGGCTGGGCAGATCCACCATCTAGTCTCTATAAAAGTCGAATCAAACTTTTCTACGAAGTCAGCAACCGCGGTTTATGGCATATTGGATCGGACATGATCCTTAAAGAAGATCCATTCGATAAGTGGAATACTTCGGAAGTGGCCAACATCCAATTCATTAAAGAGAATACCAAAATTCCCATTCCGGCAGTTGTGAAGGAATGGGTCCAGAGCGATAACCAACACTATCTTCTTATGGAGCGCGCACCAGGAGAGACGCTTGAAAAGCTATATCCAACGCTATCCCTCTCTGACAAAGAGCGGATCGCAGACCAGGTGGCTGAGATAGTGCACCAGCTCAGACCATTGCAGTCTCCCCAAATTGGCGGCCTTGGAGGCACGCCGCTACATAATGGCTGGATCTTCATGAATAACATGGAACCTGCTGGGCCGTTTTCGTCAGATGATGAGCTTTGGGATTACATGAAAGTTCGCTTAGCCAAACTCCCAGAGAAAGCAGTGGCGAATCTTCGAAAGCGCATGCCAAGCTGCAAACCATATACCTGGACTCATGGTCACTTGGAACCAGGCAATATTGTGATCAAGGATGGAAATGTATCTGCAATCCTCGATTGGGAATTTTGTGGGTATTTTCCAGTTTGGTGGGAATATGTGACATCTGGAACAGGGAGCCCAGTTGATGTGGAATGGCTGGGGCTGTGCAGAGATAAGATCAGGGATGCTTATCCGGAAGCCATGATGTTTTTCAGAGATCTTGACAATTTGCGTTTCTACCCGCATCTTGATAAACAGGGCAAAAAGACACTTAAGAGACTGATGGAAGACAGCGAATAAATATAGCACAGCTACCTGTGTTATGTCTTAATCAGTGTTGTTGGGGTAGTCAGATTCGTTGAACGTCGATAAAAGGCAAATAGAAGAAGGGGATAGTTAAGTTAGTTGACTGTGGTGCTGAAGTCCAAATGAATAAAAAGACAGTATTTTGGTCTACTATTCTTCATCAGAACGTTCTATCCGACTCCAAGTCTATGTAAAACCTTGGGATCGTACTGTTCATTAAATCATCGCTGACCAACGTGTTCACCCATGTGCGGCTCCCAAGCCCATACCGACCACCAGCAGCGAACCCCGACAGGTAAACCGTCCTTAGTAGCCCAGTCGTCATAGCCTATCTCTTCTCCTTCTTCGAGGACCCTTAGCCCCAAGTTGTGTAATCTTTTCTTGAGTTCGTAGACCTGTGGTAAGTATACTTCTCGTAGAGGTAGCTCCAAAATGAGCCTTGACCGGTATTTCGAAGAGAGATGTACCTCTATCGCTTGAGCGAGCCACCTAGGGTGATCAGGGGAGTATAGTGGATCAGCAACTAGGACGACATCGTACTTATCAGCACTATGCAGAGAGATGCCGAACTGGAGTGACCAATCTAATACGCCAGTGGTAATGCTTGACCCAGTCTCGGAAATAAGATCGTTGTTTAAAGATACGTTATGCGTAAGATTAGGCACAATTGGAGGTAGATCTGTGAGATGAACGGTAGTTGCAGCGCCCCATATTGCAGCGAAAGATATGCCCACTAGACCAGTACCTGCTCCAAGCTCGAGGCTCCGTAAGGGAATATTTTGATCTCCCGAAGAAGGAACCAAGGCGGAGGAATGGAGGGTGTGGAGACGTTTAGAAAGCAAATACGAAGAGACCCAAGTTTTATTTCCGAGGTTGTCAGAGGTCAGCGATGGCTCATGTAGGGTGATCAAGAACTCGGAAACAGTGTTCAGTGGAATGGTGAATTCTCTGGACATAGAAGGCATGGCTACCAAGAAGAATTATTAAGTGTTCGGTAACGAGGCCTAGACATGACATGACATATATCATACCATTTCTGCCTGCTCGTTCGCAAAGCCTGGCGCTTGCAGCATCCCATATACTCTCTCTTGAACTATCCGAGTCGATCCAAGACAACGAGCTACCAACTACCGAAGTGAGGTACCTGCAGATACCTCCGGCCTGCAGCTGTACAGCCCTTTGACCTGAAGTCTCTTCAGTAAAGGCGTGCGGGCGAATTTTGAGTAGGTCTAAGGCCTGGAGAATATCGCTTGCAGGAGGTTTGGTATGAAGCTGTGGGAGGTCAAGGACTATAAGAGCAATACCAACTCATTAGCTTGCTGGAACGGAAGCGGTGAGGATCTTGAGAGTAATTTTGAATACCATGGGTGGGGTGGCTATCAGGATCTCTCATACTCGAACGATGATGGAGAAATAACGCCGTCCAAGGCGATATATGAAACTGGGTTCCTTTCGACGTTGCACAAGATCGTTCCAGTAGTTATGCCATATTCAGGCCTTCTCTTTCCTTTCTCTTTTCCCTTTTTTTTTTAAATGACTTGGCACATGCACAATCTTATCAGATCGCTTAGTAAGCGATATTTGGTAAAGGAAATGATAACCAACTTGTTACGGCGAAAAGGAACCATTTGGTAGACGAGGGAGGATCCCAGCAGCATCAGGGCACACCGCGGGATCAGTTCAGAGTTGCCTTGAAGCCTTGATACGCCTGCTCCATTTCGAATGCCAACTCCCTGGCCTGGTCTTCGCTAAGTTCTTCTGTTGCCCTCATTTGATTCAGCGTGATGAGCCATTGGATTATTTTCCCTCTGTTTTCGAAGTCGTGTTCCGTTACTTTATTCACCGACTGGATAACTTCTGATAAAAGGGGATGAAGCGCATCTTTGGAAAGCATGTTAAGTTTCAGCGCGTCGAGGAACGTTATAAAGTTTTCCGTGGCAGTGAGTATAAGGCTTCCTGAAGCCGAAGGTCCTGCAGTGGTATTATGGGAGAGTGAGTGAGAAGGTTGTTCGACAGTAGCGGGAAGGCCGATACGTAGTCGCTCAGTGGCGCGTGGACATTCCATCTGGATAGTATCATTAGACCAGCATCTTACAACCTGAGAGTACACAACAGCATACCTCCCAAGTACGCTTGAACGTGTCTAAATCGACAAATTCGGCCGCAACAGCATCATCACTTAGAATGGACTTGTACTGCTTTAGCAGCCTAGCACACATCTCCGTATACTCCGATTCTGTAACGGCATCCTTGATGTATGCCTTTTCCAACCCGTCCAACGTTACGATAATACTGTATATTTCGGCCAGTGACTCGTATAGATCTCTTTCTGCTGGTGAGGAAAACGGTTTGACCTCCTAGAGCCAGCCTTCCAGTTAATAAAGCACCGAGAAACATGGAACCAGGTCCTTACCTCGTCTAAGCTGATGGTTGCCGATAGTGCTGTGTTTGGGGTATAGCTATACGGCGTCGGAGCATACGACAGAGGCCTTTGAGAGTACATCTTGTCTATCGCTTGATATCTCTGATCGCTTTTATTGCTTGCTCTTTGATGTTTTCGTATCCAAAAAAGAAGCGTGACTTTTTTGTCCGTGCACCGGAAAGTCTTGGCATTTTTACACCAAAAACCAAAATTTTCTTGAAGCTAGAAAATTTCTATAAATTTTGCGACTCGCACGAATAATCAATATCGACAGCTGCCGCAATAGGGACGCTGGGTTGTTCAAGATGGGAACTAAGAAGTCTACCAAGAAGTTCGAAAAGAACCATCTTAGGGATACGATTGACCGGCGACGAGAGTTCTCTAAGGTTAAACAGCGGCACCAAATCAGAGACAAGAAGAAGACCAAAAATGCGGCAAAGCTTGAAGAGGCTGCCAGACAGGAAAATGAGATGAAATCGACCTCCGATGGGCCGCCGGATACATCTTTTTCGAATATGGCGGTAGATGACTTTTTCGCCGGCGGATTTGAAATCGCAGACGTCCCTGCAACTACGAAGCCCTCCAAGAAGCAAAAGAAGGATGTTGGCCCAAAAACGGGTAAAAGGAAGCGAGTAGAGGATAAGGATGACGCTGACATGCAAGACCGAAGTGATGATGAGAGTAGTGCAGCTGGCTCGAGTGAAGAGTCAGGCGGGAGCGACTCGGACAATTTGGAAGCTCATAAAGACCAATTGGAGGCTCTGAAGGAGAAAGACCCTGAATTTTATAAATACCTGAAAGAAAACGATGCCGAACTTTTGGAATTTGGGGATCATGGTGATCTTGCTGAGGTTGACGAGCTAAGCGAGGCTGAGGAAGAAGAGGCCCCCTCCTCGAAAAAGCCCAAGAAATCCAAAAAGCGCGATGAGAAATCGGACCTGATGCCCGACAAAACCCTCAAGCTGTCGATGGTGAAACAATGGCAGAAGTCAATGCTAACACAGCATTCGTTACGCGCGACAAGGCAAGCGGTTCTAGCATTTCGTATTGCGGCTTATGTTGATGAAGAGGATAACAACGAGGACCGAAAATACACCATATCCAACCCTGACGTATACCACCAGGTTTTGATAACCGCGCTCGAGGAAGTTCCAAAGGTCTTGAATCATCATCTCCCCATTAAAGAGACAGCTGGCGGGAAGATAAGGGTTACCCTCGATTCAAAGAAATTTAAAACCTTGACGCCTCTCATAAAATCTCATATTTCTTCTATCCACCAGCTCCTCACTACACTTTCCGACGCTGCAGCATTGAAGCTTACAATATCTTCGATTGAGCCGATGCTTCCGTACATTTTACCGTTCCGAAAGCTGCTAAAGGTACTTGTAAAGACTGTTGTTGGCCATTGGTCAGAGGCGTCAAATTCAGAGGCCACGCGTATAACTGCCTTCTTGATACTTCGGAAGCTGCTAGTTATCGGGGACGCTGGAATTCGAGAAACAGTTTTGAAGGCCAGTTATGAGGGCGTTGTTAAAGGCAGTCGTAGTACCTCTGTTCACACTCTGCCCGGGATAAATCTGATGAAAAACTCCGCGGCTGAGCTTTGGGGCATCGATCAAAATATTGCATACACAGCGGGATTCACCTTCATTCGACAACTCGCTATTCATTTGAGGGGTAGCATAACCAACCCAACCAAGGATTCTTACAAGGCTGTTTATAACTGGCAATATATACACTCGCTGGATTTCTGGTCCAGAGTTTTGGCAGCCCATTGCGATCCTCTAGTCGAAGCTAAGGCGGGAAAACAGTGTGCGCTCCGCCCTTTGATATACCCTGTTGTGCAAATCGTCCTTGGAGCCATGCGCCTGATTCCTACTGCCCAGTACTTTCCGCTGCGGTTCCAGCTCACTCGGTCTCTTCTCCGCCTATCCCTTTCCACAGGGACATATATTCCTCTATCTTCCGCATTATTAGAAGTCTTGAACTCTGCAGAGATGAAAAAACCTCCAAAGGCGAGTACACTGAAACCTCTAGACTTTCCGACCACAATTCGCACACCCAAAACCTATCTTCGAACTCGGGTATACCAAGATGGTGTAGCTGAGGAGGTTTCTGAGCTCCTTTCAGAGTTCTTTACACTATGGACTAAAAATATTGCTTTCCCTGAGCTTGCCCTCCCTGTGGTCGTGATGCTCAAGCGCTGGCTTAAAGAGATTTCATCCCGTTCGTCAGGGAACAAGAACCCTAAAATTTCTCAAAATTTCATGCTTTTGATACAGAAACTTGAGGCAAACAGCCGCTGGATCGAAGAGCGAAGGGCGAAGGTTACCTTTGCGCCCAGGAATCACGCAGAGGTAGAGGGGTTTTTGAAGGGGGTTGAATGGGATACAACTCCTCTGGGCGCTTTCGTCAAAACCCAAAGAGTCCAGAGGGTAGAGCGGGCAAAGCTGCTTGACAGTAGCCGGGCGCAAGAGAGAGAAAGTAAGCGAAAGAATGACGATGATGATACCAATATGTTGGAGGATGATTCGAGTGATAGCGAGTAATTAACTGCTATCTTTGTATAAACAGTCCTCTTTAGCACTACTTCTAAACTTATTTATTTGAATACGCCATCTTGTGGCATCACCAAGACTAAATACAGCCTGACAACAATACATCTACCAGCCACGCCATTCTTTTCTTTTCTAAGTTAACTGGATTTCCATTACCCAAATTTGGTCGGTTCTACAATATACCCAACAATCAATTGAACTAGAGATTTCGAAACTATCGTTGGAGTTTTTTATCTTAAGAATTATCAAAGCGAGACAAACGGCTGGCAACAGACTTATGCAGCAGAAATGCCATAATGCCATATTTGCAGGCATGAAACAATAACTAGCAGCCTTAAGTATGTCAATTTAGCCTTAGGCTCTCGGTTGTGTTTTCAACTATGATAATGATGTGTGTGTATCCGGGAAGTTCACCAATCTGTCGCAGGAATTGCCGCTCTTATAATGAGCTAACGCAATCCTGGTCTCATCTAGTTTGATACCTTAAGATAGATAGAAGTCTAGTTATCGGTTTACACCTTTGCCTCTCAAATCATGGCAATAGCCCAGGCAACTGTTTGCTATAGGGGCCGTGGACCACCTTGTAGGCAGCCTTTTACTCCGCGATGTAACCCAGGTTTGGGAGGAATATCATCTCCAGTCAGACACCGGATAACTGAGGTTTACGAGTAAGCCCTTTCTCTTCCTGGTAGCTCTCACATTCTAATATGTCATACAACTAGTGGAGGGCCGCATATTCACTCTGAAGCGGTGAAGCAGCTAGAAAACAGTGTGGTTGCAAGAGGAAATGCAGGACTTGATTCGAAGCTTATGAATCTATGAGTAATTCGCTGAAACCCATTGCTAGACCTGGATACGGTGGTGTAAACCAAACTCAGGTCAAGCTTTGGGTTAATTACTTTGAAATCCGGTGGCTCGGATCGATCGCTCTCTATCGATATCAAGCATTCCTTGACAAACGCAGGAGGTTGAATGACACTTTCAGGGCACTGGAGCTTGATAGGTTCCTCCGAAAGGTTCGGGTGCAGATATCGTACCTGATGGAAGGGGATCACCTATTCACGAGTGTTAAGACGATCCAGTATGTTGAACGACGAAATAATGTTATTGGATCAATCGACAACGTACGATTCAAATAGTCTAGTAGTGGAAGAACAAGGGAAGTCAGCGTTAGAGAGTACTATCGTCAAGGTCAGTTTATACATCTTCCTTTTTAATCTATTTTAACTAATATATAGCTGTATGTAGCTCATAATATCAACCTCCTTAAAAGAGAACAGATAGTAGTAGACGTCGGGACGAAAGGAAAGGCTGTGTATATACCAGCTGAGCTTTGCCATGTTGTTTCTGGCCAGGCTACTCGTCATAGACTCTCGGCTAGGCAAACAAGTGACATGATTAGAGTGGCTTGCTGTCGCCCCAGGCCTAATGCAAACGCTATAGTTAAGAGAGGTCTACCGCTTATGGGAATGGCATCAGAGGCAAATGGCATAAAAAGACCAGTAAGAAAACACCTCCCACTGCTAAACGTTGTTTTCTTTTCATACTAGATTTCTAATGCATAGCCTATAGGAAGATTTTGGAATTCAAGTTGCACGTAACATGCTCGCCGTCGCTGGGTCAATACTCTTGCCGCCGCAGCTTGTGTATAAATACCCATTGAAAGTGACAAAGCCGGGAAGTTGGAACCTCTTGAAAAACGTTGCATTTAATCAGCTAGGTTTCTTTTGTCCAGACAGAGGCGTGGGATGTCTTGTTATTACACATTCTCCAGGCAGAGATACTCCCGAAACCGCAAAATTCATGGCAGAGCTCGGCCAGCATATGATTAACTACGGAGTCAACTGGCCAGTGGAACAGATATCCACAGATGCTATCAAGCTAACACGAAGTGAGAAGGAGAATGAGTAGTTGTTTGACAAGTATTTCTTGCGTACCAAGAAAGCAAGGCAAGCATTCACCGTTATAGTTCTTCCTCGATACGATGCGGAGATTTACAAAAAATTTCGCTGACGTGAAGTATGGCTGCCATACCCTCTGTGTGGTACCAAAGCCTCCGAAAAATGGTGTCCCAGGCGCACCCTTGGAGATCAACCTGCAACCCTCATACCTGGCAAATCTAGCTCTCAAAATTAACCTAAAGCTTGGAGGCGTAAACCACCAACTTGAACCAATACGCAATTCCCAGTCGTCGTCTCGGGTTATGTATCTGGGGATTGATATGACCCATCCAACGGGGACCGAGTCCATACCAGATGCTCCAGCACACTACGTTGTCCTGAGAGATGAAAGCAGTTTTACTGCCAACGAGCTGCAAACTATGGTATGCATTCTCTCCTTTTTGTCCCCTCTGAGCCTTGCCAATAACTTTTCTTGTAGACACATAACCTGTCATATGTCTTCGGGAGGGCTACAAGGTCTGTCTCGATCGCAACCCCAGCATACTATGCAGATATCCTGTACGAAGGAGGGCGATGCTATCTTTACGATACTTTTCATCGCCGAGATCACCTTGCTACTGCTCCGTATGACGAGTCACAGTCTAAATGGCTCTGGGGGGTACATGAAGATTTGGCGGAGACTCTGTTTTATCTCTAGCTGTGATCCTCTCCAATGTATCCTTTTTCTTGGACTACGCTTTTGTTTCGTTACTTGTCAAAGTTCTTCTTTTATGTATCTCTAGGCCTCTTTTCTTTTTATTGTAGACCTGATGTTTAATCGCCGTTGTCATCGGGGTTGATAGCACGAATGCCTTCCTCCCAATCACCACTTTTCCCTCCTCGTTTTCGAACGACTCTCGCTTCACCTATAACCATCCCCTTGTCCACTGCCTTACACATATCGTACACGGTAAGGGCCGCGCCCAAGACGGAGGTCATGGCTTCCATCTCTACTCCTGTTCGTCCAAGGCAGCTAACGCTAGACGTAACGAGAACACTTCCATGGGGCCCATGACATGGCTTGCCTTGTTTGTCCGACATGCTCCCATCTGAATGGGGTGAACATATGCTGATATCCACTTCTATGCCCGTTATTCCTAGGCCAGGATGAGCCAGGGGAATGATATCTGCCGCCTTTTTAGCGGCCATTATGCCAGCTATACGTGCAACTGCGAGCACGTCCCCCTTTTTCATGAGGCCGTCCCCCGTTGTAAGGAGTGATATTGGCGTGGGGTTCGAAAATGATATTCGGCAGACTGCAGTAGCTAAACGGTTGGTTTCTGGCTTATGAGCTATCGATGTCATGTGGACTGTTTCACGGGGAGTAAGATGTGGGAGCTGCGCATGGGATGTAGTCGGGAGATCTGAGACAGTAGTATTTCCTGCCTGTTCGGATTTCTGTGAAGCTGGAGATGGTGACTCTGCTCCGGCTGGGGTTTCTATAATTGAATATAAGCGGATCTGTTGGTTTATCCGCTTTTTATGAGCAAGCATATGTAAAGGGGTAGGCTGCCACCGGAGGAGAGAATTGGCATTTGTTGAAGTCCATGTTGGTGATCTGGCTGTAGCGGTTGGGTAGGAATTGTTATCGTATGTGTTGCTAGCTGTGTCATCTAAAAGAATAACCAGGCTTAGCATATATATAGTTCAATTCAGGGGGAAATGCCTAAAGATATGTATATTTGCATATATGTACAGTCAACCACGGGCCGATCGTGACGCGTTCATAGTACTTTCATGGTATCATAATCAAAAATATATAAACAGTGGTATAGATGTCCGCCACCACCCCCTTAAAACAATAGATAAGAGCGATCCTACCCACCGATCAGTATCATGGGACGGTTCTTCATATTCTCCAATATGCCAATTCCGGCGTGTTTTGCCTTCTTTCGTTTGACGGCGGCGCCAATTATATTCAAAAGGTCTCTTTCTCGTTCATTGGCTGGATGGCCATCGTCTTCTGCTCGAGCAGCCTGCCTAGCCGACTCAAGTAAGTTCAATGACTGCAAGGCATCCTCGTAGATGGGTTGATTGTTATTCTCCTTTCGGATCATATCCCGCAGAGACACTTCTGTATTACCAAAAAGACACACTTTCAGGTTCCCGTCACTGGTTATCCGGAGACGGTTACATGTCCCACAGAAGTTATGGGTCATGCTGGTAATGAAACCGACTTTTCCTTTGAAGCCAGGGACTTGATACGTCTTGCTCGTATCATTCTTGTGGTCAGGAACCTTTTGAAAGCTCGGATACTTCCCTTTGATGACATCCAACATCTCCTGGTAGGAGAACATCTTGCCTTTACTCCACTTGTTCCCGTCGAACGGCATGTATTCGATAAAACGTACTTCAATCGCTTTATCGCGACCCAGCTCGACAAACGGGAGTATCTCCCGGTCGTTCATGCCTCGCATAACCACGCAGTTTATCTTCAGCTTGATGCCAGCACTGTGACAGTCGTTTAGCTCCAAGATCTTCTCGATACTCTTCATCACGGCTTCAAATCCTTTGCGTCTTGTCATGATCTGAAACTGAAACGGGTCGAGGGTATCTAGGCTTAAGTTGACTCCGGTCAGCCCTGCTTCCGCCATGCTGTCGAGTTTACGGTGAAGTGATATCCCATTTGTAGTAAGACACAGCTCCTTCAGACCATCACGGCGTAGCTTGCCGAGTTCCTGCATCATCGGCAGTATATCCTTACGCACCGTGGGCTCGCCTCCTGTCAGCCGTATTTTCGTCACTCCCTGGGATACAAACAAGGTTGATAAGTAAACGATCTCTGGGGTGGTGAGCAGATGCTCTGGCGGAGAGAGCGGGACACCTTCTTCTGGCATACAGTAGAGACACCGTAGATTGCAGCGCTCGGTGATGCTGATCCGAAGATAGTCATGCTGCCGGCTAAATGTATCCGTCAAGAAAGAGGAGAACGGTTTGGCATCCTTCAGCGCGTTGAGACGAGGAGGCAACGCTGGCAGTTCAGACGGCGCCTGAGGAGACTTTTGAGCGAGTGGATGCGGCCTATATGATGGCTCCCTTGAAACTGCCTGACTGCAGCTGCTTGAATACCTGCGAAGACACTGGTTTTGCAAGGATATGCCAGCGTCTCGAACTCGCTGTGTGATGCGGCTGCAGCGGACGGCCATGTCGAATAAAAGAAGGCCTCGGAGGGAGGCAGAAAGTGACGGCATGCAGGAGTTATGGCATTTTATATATAGGCATATCAAACGACTCTCTCAACTCTCCGGCTTAGAGAAGCATTTCTCTTCCTCTTCCTTTTCTTCTTCGTCGTCTCTTCTTCTCCGCAAATAAATACGAATGTCATATCACGTGAGAGGCTGTCTACTTTCTACTATGTCGATTCGATGTAAAAAATTATCACCAACGTTCGTTATTGATAATGCGATTAGTATAGCTATTCTGTCTTTGGATTTTCCTCTATAATCTACCGTTGTCTTTCGGCATCGTCTCTTTAACGTACATACCAGATCCCAGCATTCTATCGTTGATGCCCCAAAGGGGAAACAGTGACAACAGCCGGGCAGCCGCGAGACCAAACAGTGAAGGCGACAGTGAAGCAGCAAGAGAGAGTGAATATCGCGGTGTATCATGGCATGTCACGGTGAATGCTATGGTGGATATCATGTTATGGGTGACCGCCATAGCATTCACTCCCCCCCCTTTTTTTTTATACCGGTGGACCAGTGACTCTATGCGGTGAAGATGGGGATACGCCGAGTTCATGTCAATCATTTGCTGCCATTTATCAGGTCTTGTATGTGACTGCTATCCAGCCGTAGATGGCAAGGAATAGAAAGAAGGATTAAGCTATTATATACAAAGCAACAGGGTATACCATGCTTCCGCTGCTCTTCCGTTTTTTGCGCCCCCATATACATTATAAAAATTTGAGTACGTAGAGATTCGTCAAGTCAGGTTAACAGAAAAACTTATAAACCTTCTTCCAAGTCGGCCAGGACATCCTTTCGGCCCTCTCCTCTGCTATCAGATGGGCGAGGTTAAGGTCTCGACGACCGGTGATCAGGTCCATGTCCTTTGCTCGCACCAGGGACGTGCCGTGCCACAGCTTATAGACGATGTAGAAGGTGATGACAACCGGGGCGGCAAGGTAGGTTGAGAACCAGTTCTTCACGCGGCCGGCAGGTGACAGCTCAGCGTAGCCGATCGGGGCAAACCCGGTCCAGAACTGGGCTACGAGGACAATGCAGTTGATGGCGAAGCCGATGCAGGAGCCGATCATGCCTCCTTGGGCCTGGAAGGGGAGGTCATCGACCCTCTGGCCCTGTGCCTTTAGGCCTTGACGGAACCGGATGTGGGCCAGGCAGATGGAGCCCCAGGTGAAGACGGAGGAGAGGCCGGAGATGGCCAACATCCAGGTGAATGCATCCTGCTGTTTGGAAGAAGCAGCCAGGAACCCGAACAGGCCGCACATCGAGGCGGCGATGATGGCGAGCAGCGGCCGGCCCTTACGGTCGATGTACGATAGGAATTTTGGGGCCTGTCGTTGCTCCGCCAGGGCAGCAAGTGTTCGAGAAGAGCCGTAGATGGCAGCGTTTCCAACGGACAGGACTGAAATCATGATGACAACATTCATGACAGAGTCGAGTCCTATGATGCCAGCATCTTGGATGGCGATAACAAAGGGAGAGGCCTTGACGTCGGAACTGGCGGTTCCGTTCAGCAATCTTTGGTCAGTGTAGGGTACCAGGAGGCCAACGATGGTCATGGAGACCATGTAGAACAAAACAATACGCCAAAAGACCTGCTTGACTGCGGTTGGGATAGACTTGCGAGGGTTGCTTGTCTCCGCGGCAGCCAGGCCAACGAGCTCTCCTCCACCAAAGGTAAAGGCAGCTGTGACGAAGACGCTACAGAGGCCCTTGAATCCATTGTTGAAAGCACCGGGTTCTCTCCAGAATTTCCCTCCGATGTACTCTCCATTCGGCCCACCGCCGCAGTTGATGGTGATTCCGAGGATGCTACAGGAAAAAATTTGTTAGCCAGCAGTCTCGTGTCGGCCGTATGTCGAATATCCTATCAAGTGTCCGTGGGGGAGGATGCCATACATGAACCCAATAACCGCAACGACCTTTATTATAGAGAATACAAATTCTGCCTCGCCGTATCCCCTGACTCCAAACATGTTGATGCAGACGATGAGGACGTAGAATATGGCGACCCAGGCCGCCGGCGATATGCTGGATTGCCAGTACCCAACCGTGATGGCGGCCGAGACGATTTCCAGCGGCAGCAGCGTCAGCCACATGATAGCGTAGTTCCACCCCATGGCGAACCCCCAAGCAGGATCGATGAAACGGGTAGAGTAGTGGGAGAAAGACCCGGCGACAGGGAAGCAGACGGCAAGTTCGCCGAGGGCATGTATCGTAGCGTAGAGCATTATTCCGACCAGAGAGAAGGATATCACCACCGACGCAGGTCCTCCAGTCGCGAGCGCCCTTCCAGACCCGACAAACAGACCGGTCCCTAAATAAGGGCGTCGAGTTAGCTAGTTAATATAACAGAGTCGAAAAAAAAGAAAAGCCCAGCTCACCGATAGACCCTCCTATTGCGATCATTTGGAGATGCCTAGACTTCAACGCTCGCCTCAAAGGTGACGCTGCCGTGGCGGCCGCAGCCTGCTCAGCATCAAACCCGTTGTCCGCATTCGCCGGCCGGGAAAAGTATGCATTCGGGTCTCGTCTGAAGCTGTCGATGAAGCGGGTGCGGAAGTTGGCGACTGAATTCTTGCGAGGCTTGTCTTCGAGAGAGATGCTATTCGCATGCTCTGAGATGCCGAATTTGCCATCATCGATCTCGTTCAGCTCATACTGATCTCCCGCCATGCTCGCCTATGTTCCAAAGGTCGTCTTGATAGGGCCGGTAAGACGTTATAAGGAGCCAGTCCAACCGGCCATGGACACCAGGACTGGATTCCTCGTAGCAGAAGATAGCTTGTTATTCAGCCTGTGAGCTTCAAGATCCAGGTTCCGCAGAGAGGGGGGGGGGAAAATGGGCGATGCCAGCCCTTATATATCAATTCGATTCGAATATGCTTATATGTATGACACGAAAATATGCCTATGCGAGCGCGGGGGGCGTCTAACCCGGGGTTTGAGAGCAAGGATCGATATAGCTGGCCAATGGCCAGCGTTCCAAATGGTCCCGCTAGCTTTGCCTGGCTCTCTGATGAGCGAAGGAGTCGCAAAGGTCCCCGGGAAGAGCTGGCAAGGGTTTCGTCTCCCTGATTCTCGTACTGTTTCGATATTCCCGTCTTCCGTATGGCCAACGGAGGAACACCCGGACGTAAGCGGTATCGGATGCGAGCGCTCAGTCTCCTAATCTCTCCTGTTGCTCGCTCTCTCCCTCTCTCGGTTTTCTCTTGAATTCTTTCTGTCTCCGTGGTCGGAATGTAAAACATGGTTGAAGGCGATAGCTTGACAAGCCTGCCATCAAATCTCCCCAGTGGAGTTTGCGCCGTCCAGTGGCGTCTCATCCTTGTGCTGGGTCCATGGATACTGTGGAGAGTCTGTGATCACAGGCCAGTCGAGGGGCTCTTGCAACAAGGCTCTTGGTAGATGGTGCTAGTGATATCATTCTGTGCGATACATATAACTAACCACTGGTTATTGTTATATATATGCAAGACACGACCAGCCCCCCTGCGGCCTCCCTCGTCAGCCCGATTTCAAACATCTCTCACTCCGTCTGTCGCTTCACGGCCATGATAAGCCTTTTTTCCCCTTCCTTGAGGCCGCAAAAGGACGCTCAGAGCCATGGTTGAGGGTCTCGTTACGAGAGGCGCGAAGGTTTATCTTCCGTATAACCGCCTGGTCAAGCCAATCGCTGGTCTTATTCCCCTTCTTTTCTTTTCCTTTGATGGAGTCTCTAGAGACGGTCGAGATTGATTGATAATAGCATATTTAATTGGTTCATCTGTCTTGTTGCAGTTTTCTCTTCAGATGTGGTGCCATTATCACGATGCAAAAGCTCTCCACTCGATACTCTGTGCTTTGTGCTATCTTCAAGTCGACCATCTTCCAAGACAAGCCGATGTGGAATGTTTCTTGTTATTGATAGTCTTCACTGAGCCAGAGTCCAGCTGGTGGAATATCCTGTTGTTGTTGAGAGCGTGAGCTTCCGGGTAAAAGGGAAGTAAGTCATGGCGTTGTATATACTTATACGAACGGCCTTGAACAGCTACACACTACGGAGGTCACGATGGCCACGATGACTGCGAACACTCCTGAACATCAGCAGGGGATGGCCTGATGTTTTGCCGAGCTTTGAAGCCAGCATACGGATGATTTCTAAGCACCTCCAATTCTACTCCGTATATCAAACCGAACTGACCGGTGGAGGGCCCCAGAGACAGCAAAGATACATAACGATACGGACGCCCTATCAACTCAAAACTATGGGCTTCACGGCCTTTCCCAAGATGTCTACTCTGTAGCTGGAGGAAGTACAATATAAAAAATATCCTGGAGTTCCGGCCTTCTAGCGGACATTACTCCTTTCACAGAACGAAGAGAGATATCAAGATGCATCGAGAGTATGATGATGAAACTCCGGGGGAACCCCCATCTCCATCTCTCTCCATATCTAAAATCTCCATATCCAGCAGAAATACCCGGGAAAGGCTAGGCTATCATCTTTCGGACCCGTTTCTGAAGGCTGACCTCAAACTGGTCGACTCCATCCTCCTGCAGCTGCAGCTTGCCTGACTTGAGCACGACGACATCTCGGCGTTTAGACTCGTCCATGGCTTCGGTGTGGCCCTTGGGCTCATGTTCTGTCCCACCATCGTCGCCGTCTAGGTTCTCCTTGCCTTCCACTACCTTCCGAACCAGGTATCGGTCGTGGGAGACGAGCAGAAGCGCGCCGTTATACGACGACAGCGCTGCAGCCAGGGCAAGGACAGTGTGGAAGTCAAGATGCGTTGTTATCTCGTCCAGTACCAAGATGTGCGGCATCTGCCATAGTATCCGGGCAAGGGCAAGCCGAACCAGCTGCCCCCCCGACAGCTGGCAGACGGGCACGTCTGACGCCGTCCGTCCAGGTAACCCCAACGAACTGAGCATGCCTCGAACCTCTCCTTCGTCGAGCACGCCTTCAGTCTCCCTGCACAGTAGGCTGAGACCTGTCTCTGTCGGGGACGACCTTCCGAGCTCCTGGAGCTCCTCGACCGAGTGCTGGGAGTAATAACCCAGTTTCAGTCGGGGGTGTCGAGATATCTTTCCCTGCGTGGGCTCGTTCGAGCCCACAAGCAGTTTCAGCAGTGTCGACTTCCCGCATCCGTTGAGGCCCAGGATGCCGACGCGGTCGCCCATATGCATCACAAGGTCGATGGACTTGAGCACCACTGGGCCGCCCCGTTGATATTGAAACGTCACGTCTTCCAGGGAAAGCAGCGGCCCGGGGAATCTCAAGTCTGGTGCATCCGGAATGTGAATGGATACCCCCTTCTCGTCTGCTGGAACTTCGATCTCAGCTCGCATGGAATCATGCCATCCAACCCGATCACGGCTCAGCTTGAATCTGCCTCCTGTCGCACTCACCTGCACTCCCATCCTGTCATCAAGCTTCTTCTGGCGAGATTTTGCCATCCGCAGCTTATTGTCATCTCCCGTCTTCTTGCCGATTTTTGTGTTTGTCTTGATAGTGTTCTCCATATGC